AAATAATATACTAGGAGGTTGTGATGTAGCTCAGTACTAGAATGCTTGCCTAGAAGTGTGCAAGTCTCCAGGTTCAATCCCCACCACTGCAAAACAAAGATACTATAAGAAAAGACCTCTGGTCTACAAGTGAAAACGTTCAAAACAGTAGGAAAAAAATCTATCTCTGTGTGTATATCTGTGTGTGTCTGTGTGTGTGGTAACGTATTTCAACAGAAAAAGATACAGGATGCACACATGTACTCTTTTATTGGGCAAAATAGGCATTCTTCCACTTTCTTGTCACTTTTTTTTTGTCCATTGTGGGGCTTGAACTCAGGGCCTGGGCACTGTCCCTAAGCCAATTTGTGCTCAAGGCTAGCACTCTACCACTTGAGCCACAGTGCCACTTCCAGCTTTTTCTGTTTATGTGGTACTGAGAAATCAAACCCAGGGCTTCATGCATGCTAGGCAAGCATTCTACTACTAAGCCACATTCCCAGTCCTCTTCTCACTCTTTTGTAGCATTTATTCTTTCAAACATCTTCTGAGTTTCATTTTTATCAGTCTCACTGGAATTGATGTGTTGAGAAGGAAGAAGGGATGTCACATCCAGGAATGGCAGAACTTTTCCCAGAAGGCTTGGACTGTGGCCCAAGCCACCCTTTTTGGAGATTAGATTGAAGAAAAACAGCTCAGATCAATTAGCTTAGAATCTAGAGAAACACCAGAGTTTCTACCTATCAGGGAACTGAAACCAACACTAAGAGCCTATTGTTAGAGCTGCAGGGCAACCAGCTGAGGAAGTCCAGGTGAAAAGAACTGCGGCATTTATACATGGATTCAAGACAAACAGGGCCTCTGCACGTAAACGGGGCCTTGTGCTTATCTCATAAATACTTTCCCACTGCTATTAAAATATGTTACATGCACGCAGTTTGTTACATAACCTCCACTGTCTTCCAGTTTATGCTTTATCATCAACCAATTTTTAACTGGTGTGTTTAATTATCAATACTGATGACCTAGGAATCTGGGCAGTGTTCAATTTAAGTCAATGAATACTAAATTAAAGGCCTGCAAATTCAGGTGAGTGCTTTCTTTGGAAGTATGGAAGTCTAAGGAGAATCCCCATATAAGTTGCTGGGCGCTTGCATCTGACGTTCCTCTGCTGATCAGGCAATTATAAGGTTGGTAGGCTTGGAACAGCCACACCTGGAAGCCGTAAGTTAAATAGTGTTATGTAAAGTAAGTGAAAAGAGGAAAACGCTCCAAAAGCCCTTTCATTATAATCGCTGTTCCTAGAGAGTGCAGGGACATCAAGCAGATCCAGAGGACAATGCCTTGGACTTATACAAGATGCAAATTAATTATGAATCAATTTTTAGGAGGAGTCTCTCAGATCAGTGAAATCACTATGAACCACCTGAGTTGGAGTTAGGTCATGGTATATTGCTGGACTTTGATAAAACCACAACTTATAATAGATGTGGCTATGTGTGTCTAATTGATGTACTGAATCCAATGTGGACACACTAACTTCTCAGTAGCTCCCTGCCAAACAGGACAAACAGCTCCTGCCTGAGGTGCAGTGAGGTGAGATTCCTGGTGTCAGAGAAAGCTGCCCCACAGCTGGAGAACTTTACTCATCATAGAAAATAAAAATGAGTGGGGGATGGGAGGGAACACTGAAAGGGACACACATTGTGCTCAGAAAGTGCTTTGTTGATGGGGCTGGGAAGGTGGCTCAGTGGTAGAGCGCTTGCCTTGCATGCTCGAGGCCCTGGGTTCGATTCCTCAGCACCACATAAGCAAAAAGAAAAAAGCCGGAAGTGGCGCTGTGGCTCAAGTGGTAGAGCGCTAGCCTAGAGCTGAGGGACAGCGCCCAGGCCCAGAGTTCAGGCCCCACGACCGGACCCAAAAAAAAAAAAAAAGAAAGTGCTTTGTTGAAAGGTAACCCCTTTGTACAACTTCTGAAAGATAATGCAAATATTTCTAAATGGTTTTATTAATATAAATGCATGCATACTTATCATAAAAGATGACATAATATAGAGAATAAAAGCTAAGTGCTTGCAGTCAAACTACCCTGCACAAGGAGTGAAAGTCAAAAATACGCTTCACAGACCACAAGATGTTGCTGACTTAAGCTAGGTAATTAGCATGCTTATACTTATTTCTATTTTACTTCTGGTGTAACTATATGAAATAGGCTATTAGGGAGACAAGATTGCCTTTAAGGGAGAGTTTAATACACAGCACAACATACACCATTATTTACACTTAAATTGATATGGTACTTAAAATATGACACAGGCCTAGCTGAAGATTTTCACACATTTTTTACAAGTTTTTATTGTTAAGGTGATGTACAAAGGGTAAAGTTACATAAGTCAGGTTTGAGTACTTTTAAACAGTGCCACCTTTTTCCAGAGGTTAAGTATCATCTATTCTATCACCTGATGTTTGCCTGTTTGCCATAAAATTGTGCAAGTTGCCAGTGAGCCTTACACTCATAAATCAGACTCTGTATATGCCAATATTAAGGACACAGATAACATGAAAGAAAAACAGAACAGAATAGAAAGACAGAATGTACTAGAACTTCTCTTGAAAATTATAAAGGTAGGGTTGGCAATCACTGGGCTTGTCTAATTTGGAGGCAGGGCACAGGCTCAACAATCTCAATCATCATGGTGTAGCTTTGGGAAATTCAAAGTCCACCAACGAAACTTTGTACAAGAAGTATTTATTCAAGCTAGGTGCGGTGGCTTGTGCCTGTCATCCCAGTAATGAAGAAGCTATTGAATTCAAGGCATGTCTCTAAAAGAGAAAAAGGAAAAGGAAAAACATCCTTCCACAGATGTCCTTGGGCCTGACTGGAGATGTATCTCTGGGCTTATGCATAGGTTGAAACTGTTAACCTTTGACAGTTCTTCACACTCTGTAGCCTGTGCCTTCTGCTCTTCAAGAAAGTTCACCTAAGTCATCCTGTTGGTCTGAGGCCTTACATTAGATCATCTCAGCAGACTCATGTTTCCAGTTGGGGACACTTGGGGATAAGAAGAAAATAGTTCATTTGGGAGAAGTTTTTCTGAAGCCAGTAGGAATGATTCGGCTCATGAAAACAGCAACTAGGAAGTTGGGTCAGTGAGAGAGCCAGGAGGAACATTAAGTGACCAGATGTCAAGAGTACGGAGAAGATATATAGGGGAAGCAAGGTTCAAGCCAACTCCAAATACAGTGTTGCATGGACACAGATTTCTTTTTTTTTTTTTTTTTGTCAGTCGTGGGGCTTGAACTCTGGGCCTGGGCGCTGTCCCTCAGCTCATCAGCTCAAGGCGAGTGCTCTACCACTTGAGCTACAGCGCCACTTCCGGTTTTCTGGCGGTTTATTGGAGATAGGAGTCTCACGGTATATCCTGCCCGGGCTGGCTTTGAACCGCAATCCTCAGATCTCAGCCTCCTGAGTAGCTAGGATTACAGGCGTGAGCCACCAGCGCCCGGCAGGACACAGATTTCTCTAGGAATGAATGAAGTGATGAACTGGGAGCTAAGTTGCTGGTTCCCTAGAGATTGCAATCACAGCTTTCAAGGACCATTTAGGGGAGAAGGGCCATTTCTGATGACAGAGATAGGAACTGAGGCGTTCCACAAAATTTTCAGTTTTTCGTTGAGTAAGAGTGGCTCACACATGTAGTCCTAATTACTGAAGAGGCTCGGCTCAAAGCCAGCCCAGGCAGGAAAGTACGTGAGATTCTTAACCACTAAAAAGCTTGAAGTAGGGTTGTGGCTCAAGTGGTAGAATATTAGCCTTCTGCAGAAAAGCTCAAGGACAATACCCAGGTCCTGAGTTTAAGTGCCAGGATGGCACCCACATACACACTAAGTTAGACAAGCCCTCAACTGACAATGTGACATCTGGTTTAATGATATTCCTTTGCTTAATATGGAGCAAGAAAAATAAAGTTTTTAAAACTTAGAAAAAGTTATTAATAAGATATTGATCTTATTTCCATGTATTTCTTAAATCAGATGACTTTTAAATATCTCCAAATTTACTCCCATTATATAATATTTACTAACATAGCAACCAAATTAATATAGCAATTACTTTTGAAAGGTAATCAATAGATTTAAAATCTAATAAATTGTAAAACATAACACTATAATCCATTTAGCAATAAGAAAACTGTTCTAGCTGGGCACCAGTGGCTCATACCTGTATTCCTAGCTACTCAGGAGGCTGAGATCTGAGTGCCAGGACAGGAACACATTTGAGACCCCCTTCTCAGCCAAGAGCTGGGTGTGGTGGTAAGCAATTAGTCATTCCAGCCTACAAATGGTAGCTCATGGTCTAGGCACATGCCTGGGCAGGAAGTAAAATCCTATCTCAAAACTAAGCAGCACAAAAAGGGCTGGAGCTTTGGCTCAAACTCATGCTTAGAAAGTATAAAACACTTAGCTGGGCACTCGTGGCTCATGCCTGTAATCCTAGCTACTCAGGAGGCTGAGATCTGAGGATCGCAGTTCAATGTCAGCCCAGGCAGGAAAGACCATGAGACTCCTATCTCCAATAAACCACCAGAAAACCAGAAGTGGCACTGTAGCTCAAGTGGTAGAGTGCTCACCTTGAGCTGAAGAGCTGAGGGATAGCGCCCAGGGCCAGAGTTCAAGCCCCACAACGGACAAAAAAAAAAGTATAAAACACTGTGTTCAAACCTCAATACTGCCAAAAAGCAACACGAACACTATTTCAGTAAACGTAACTATAGCCAACATATTATAATAATTATTACCCAAACTGATTTCTAAAGTCATAACTATATCTAATGTTAGCTATTGTCTTTTATGAATGTTTTGAAGTGCTTTGAAACAGATTTTGTCAATAATTGGATTTCATAAAGCACTCTGCAAATTAAATTTCATTCAGAGCCAACACACTTAAATATATGTTTTTCTTCATCATATATCTTATTCAGGATTTATCTCAAGAAATTGTGAATCAAAATAGTCATCCCAAATTAGTGATCCCAAAAGTGAGCTCTCATCAGGAAAGAGACTTACAGATAGACTTCAAGACAACTAATTCTATGTTTTTCTAGCAAAACTTCTAGTAATCCCAGATAATCAAAAGCAGCAATAAAAATATATCATGGAATAAATGAATTGTAGCAAAATGACATATCTGAAAGAAGTTAGAACTGTAACAAGTATAATTTTTTAAAAAACCATACATGCCTGCTGAGCAAGTAGACTCAGCAATAATAAAAAAATTATCAATGTAAATGTGTTTATAAAATGTCACTTCAGTATTGGCTACCCTTCATTATTGTCTTCTGCATCCCTTCTCTCAGACATTAATGAGAGTTCCTTGTGTGGAAGATATCAATTGTCTGGTCCCTGTTACATACATACCAAGTGAACATATATGAGGTAAAGATGATGTTGTCATTACATAAAGCCAGAATGGCAAAGGAGAAGTTTTTCCAAATGGGCATATCCACAAGCCATGACGAATTGCATCACGGATATGATGTGAAGTCCAGGATACAAATAACATCCAGGGAAGAAAGCACCATGAGTCTCTGACCTTGAGAAGGTACATAGTAAACTTCAGAGTCAGAACCATGATGGGTATCATAGTAGAACAGTGAAGGAAAGGTCTTCGTGGAAGAGTCAAAGCAGCCTGTGGACAGGGGAAGAAGAGTAGCTTGTGTCAATTACTTCTCAGAAAAACAAAATGTTATAACTGTTTCTTAGTAAGTAGCATATCCAGAATTTATTGGAAACGCCAAGTTAATATGTCACTGTAGAGAAACTGTATAAAAAGTTCATAAGCAGTCTTGAGCCAGTGGTTCATGCCAGTAATCCTAGCTGTTCAGGATGTGGCAATTAGGAATATCATGGTTCGAGGTGAGGCCACACCAGACCAAAAAAATAGTGGGTGTAGTAGTGTATGCCTGTCATCCAGGTAAGGCACAAAAATTATTTGCGTAGGAAAATATTTATCTTAAAAATGTACTCCTATCTTCTGGGCAAAACAGATTCGTTGTTTGGAGGATGTTTATTAGGTACCGTATCATCATGTGTTGACATATAAACAGGTCAATCTTGAAAATTTGTGAGCCCAACTGATAAGACTGACAACAAAAAGGATAAAATATGCCACATGTCCCAAACACAGTGGGGCAACTCATCTAGGGTAAATTAGGGTGAAACCCCCAAGCAACTTTTCACCATAAATATCCTTGATGTTAGAACATCATTGTATCTGTTAACAGGTATATCTAAACCCATGGCTGGAATTACTATCTCTCTCTCTCCCTCTCTCTCTCTTTTTTTTTGGTAATCTTTCCTGTGTTTTGTTGACTAATAAACTTAGGTCACTCCCCAGAACTGAAAAATCATAGTTATTCAACCTTTTTTTCTTTTGAGTGTGAACTCAGAGTCTCAATCTTCTTCATTCACTTGGTGCTCTACTATTGAGCCATTCCTCCAGCCCTGCTTTTTGCTTGGTTATTTTGGTGACAAAAGTCTAGCTGACTTTCTCTCTAGGCTGGTTATGAAATATAATCCTCTGGATCTGAGCCTCCTGAGTAGCTAGAATTAAAGATGTACATCACCAGCATCAAATTATACAACTCTTGTGGTACACGTAAAAGCTTCTCACTGACTGTAAAGCATAAAGAATAAGTGGAGAAAATGAAGTGTAGCTCTGAGGAGAAGCAGTGATACAGAAAGAACAAGGGCAGCCCTGAAGCTGCCAGTTTAATTTAAACCAATGTGCTAATATATTCTTTGTAAGTGAGCACTGAACTTCTCACACACAATTAGTGGGGCCTTACTCTATAGGTATCCCCAGCACTTGGTGATGACAAATAATATGATTAGCAATATGCCTGTATGCATCTGTAAGGAAGTATTAAATACTCCAAAAGGATGACTGAACAGGCTTTCTTATTTTAAAATAAGATTAATTTTCTCTGACTCTAAATGAGGCTGTGAAGATCAATATGAGAATACATATATATATATATATATATACATAAAACACAGAAAAGTAAACATGCTCCTTACCTTTAAAGACAGAGATCTAGCTAGAAAAAAGTGGTCTATATCAATAACAGAGGCTAAAAATCCAGCTAAAATGACTTCTCCAAAGTCAGTCTTCTTCTTGACTCCAGTGATTACTGCCCATGACCACATGCCAATCATGCCATGCACTGCGTTGTCTGAGAGTGCACGAAGCCAGTCACTTTGCTGAATTAGGGGAAGCTGAAGAAGTCTGTCAGCTACTAGGCAAAATATGCCCAGACCAATGCTGCAAACAATAGATTCAGTGCTGCAAGCCTGGAGTAGAGCATGAGTCTTCTCAGTCTCGGATGCCATCCTAAACTATACATCAGTTTTTAAGAAAAGCCAGCAGGAATGCAGGGACCATTCTTGTTGGCAGCCACAGCACCCTAAAATAGAAAGTAGAGAAACATAAATACCAGTAAAGCAGCAGTGCTACTATCAACATGAAACATATTTCAAGACAAAAAAATGATTCACTAAGACTCAGAAGAATAAAATAGTCTCATTGTAATATTATACAAGGTTATATCATACATAATATAATCAGATAAAAAACAATGTATAGGATGTTTGCCTATCATTAAATATATATATTTAATTAAATATATATGTATATAAAATATATGCATATATACACATAAATACATTATATATACACATTTAGGTATAAATACGTATGTATATAAACATTTATAAAAATTAACAACTACATATGTACTTATCCACAAGAAAAGTCTCAATAAGGTCTCAAGTAGAAATATGCAGAGTACATTCTATGAATAGAATGTAATACATATCATCACTTTTAACAGGTTAAAAAGCCGAGTGCTGGTGGCTTACACCTGTAATCCTAGCTACTCAGGAGGCTGAGATATGAGGATCATGGTTCAAAGGCAGACCTGGTAGGAAAGTCCAGGAGACTCTTATCTCTAATAAAACTACTTAGAAAACGCTGGAAGTGGCACTGTGGCTCAAGTGGTAGAGTGCTAGCCTTGTGCAAAAGCAGCAGCACCCAGGCCCAGAGTTAGGCCCCAGGACTGGCAAAAAAAAAAAAAAGGAAAAAAAATGCAGTGGCCTAATTAGCTGGAAGACATTAACCTTACATAGGAGCACAAGTAATACCTTTGCAGTCAAAAGAAGAGATTAATCTGATCATATAAAATAATCTTTATCAAAATGAACCCCAGGAAATAGAAATAAGAGGTTCTCTTTGTTACTTTTTTTTCCTTTATCTGTCTTTGGTAGGGTAAAGAGGGGCACAGAAATGGAGGAACAAAGGGTAAACAAATGCTCACTAGACACTATATTGAAAATGAACTACACAACTTGTGTATAGAGAGTGAGGAAAAGGGTGACATTCTCCAAAAACAAATGTAAGGTTTATCTGACTTATGTAACTGTAACCCCTCTGTACATCACCTTTATAATGATAACAAACAAGAGTAGCCTATCTTTCAAGTATTTATGCTTTGGAAACATTTCAGGAAGAAAAAAGCTCAGAGAGGAAAGACTTCCCCTATTGTGAGCACTAAATAAACATTTGTTGAATGATTCAGTGAGAAACTATCATACACTATATCTGTTATGTATTAGGAATTGCATATTAAATACAGTTCTTGAAAGGCATTTGGTAAAATATATTATCTATTTCTGATACACATACTTGCTAAAAATATATCAGGTAATTCTTACATTCAGTAAACATCAAGAACCACTAGTTTATAGACAAAAAAAAAAAAAAAATACAGTTAAAAAAACCCAAACAAGGGCTGGGATGTAGCTCAGTGGCAAAGCGCTTGCCTAGCAAGTGCAACGTCCTGGGTTCGATCCCCAGTACCAAAAAAGAAAAGACAAAAAAAAAAAATACAGTAAAAAAAAAAAAAAAAGAACCACTAGTTTTAACAACAATGATGAGACCACTTGGTTTAGAAACCAAAAGATGAAAATTAGGACTATTACCTTGAAAGGGTAGCTACTATAACATTGTTAGTCAAAGTAGTGAAGGAGTCAGACAATAGTGGTTCATACCTGTAATCCTAGCTACTCAGGAGAAAGACCTAAGGATCATAGTTCAAAGCCATCCTGGGCAGAAAATTCTGTGAGACTCTTATCTCCAATTAATCACAGAAAAAGCCTGGAAGTGGTACTATAGCTAAAGGAGTAGAGTGCCAGCCTTGAGCAAAAGGAGCCTTAGGGACAACATCCAGGCCCAGAGTTCCAGGCCCAGGACCCGAAAAAGAAAGAGGGAGGGAAGGATAAAAGGAAAGAAAACACATCATTACATATGGGAGGAAAGGAAAATTACATTCCTTTGCAGGTGAAAAGATTGCCTATCCAAAGGAACAGTTGAAGACTGATGAAAAATGTGGCTGCTTTATGAAAAATGTTAAAACTCTTTTCATTACACCAGAAACAAGGGAAAAAATGGGAACATGGGACATTTGTAACTCAAAATTTGAGGAATAAACAAATATGAAATATTTATGAATACATGTAATGGAAGTTAGGCTACAAGGAGAGTTGGAAGGCATAGGTCTCTTGGTGCATGTTCTTAGGGTTCTATCTTGCCAGGCCCCTTCCTTTATTCTGCTATTTCTAAGTTTCTAGCCACAATTGCAAACTATTTTGCCCCCTCACAATGAACTAAACTCTCTTGAAACTGTGATCCCAAACAAGTAATTCCTCCTTCTAAGCATTTGTCACAGTGACAAAAAATAGTAAGTCCTGAGGTTGCTAGAAAGGATTCATGACAGTGTAATGTTTTTGTTTTTTCATTTTGCCTCTACCTCAGTTGAAAGTATTTGGAAATCATTATTTCTTTTTCTTTCTTTCTTTTTTTTTTTTTTTTTTTTTTGCTGGCCGTGGGGTTTGAACTCTGGGCCTGGGTTCTGTCCCTCAGCTCTTCAGCTCAAGGCAAATGCTCTGCCACTTGAGCCACAGCACCACTTCTGCTTTTTCTGCTTATGTGGTGCTGAGGAATCGAACCCAGGGCCTCATAATTGAGGGGCAAGCACTCTACCACTGAGCCACCTTCCCAACCCCTCATTATTTCTTTATCCTGAAAGAATCATGTTACTAATATGGTGTGAACAAATTATTTTTATATTATACTATAAACTTCGATTATGAGAGTATTTTTTTTTAATTCTAATTGTTATTTTAATGTTTAAAATAAAAGCTGTTTGGGGGACAGAATCCAGGGCCTTGGTAAATATCATACCACTGAGCTACAATCCTAGACAATCCTCCCAGTATTAACTACATACTCATAGGAATATTATTTGACTTCTCTACCTAACAGTCACTCAAATCATACTTTTTTCTGTGATTTGCAAGAGCCACTTTCTGCAACGACCCAACTTTTTTCAACTCCCATCCCCATTATAGCAACGCAATCAACTATGGGGCTTCAAAGTATGTAACGTGGTTATTCCTGAACCCCACAGTCACACTCACTGGACATTATGTGCTATATATTGTTCCCTATCAATGTCTGAAACTATATTTTTAAATGTTTAGTGCTTATTCTCACCATAATCAATTCTTTGAAACTTCAACAAGTTTCAAATCTCAGCAATTCTCTGTCATGGTTCCTGAGGCTGCAGTGAAGCGATAGTTTTTAGAATACCAATTATAAAAACGGGGCAGGAAGCCTTGGTTTGCAGGAAGAGGTCCAGTGCCATCGCATTCAGGTCTCTGGGAGCCCAGGTGCCAAGGGCTCTGCTACCTTTTTTGGTCGGTCGTGGGGCTTGAACTCTGGGCCTGGGCGCTGTCCCTGAGCTCTTCAGTTCAAGGCAAGCGCTCTACCACTGAGCCACAGCGCCACTTCCTCTTCTGCCGGGAGCAGGGTCCTCCAGCAAGTCTGCGCCCTGCCCAGGCCACAGCCAGTCCAGAGACGTGGATCCCAGAAGAGGGCTGTACCTTTTAGATACAGGAGTATCTAGAAGGCGGGCACCACGCAGGAGGAACGTGCCCGCTCCAGGTCATTGGCTCTCAGGACACACCACGCCACGCCTCTTTGGACACCGTGTCCCCGCCCCCTCGTCCTCCCAGCCATTGTGCGGCCCGGCTCAGTTTCAGTCCCGCCCCTCAACCCATACCATAGAGACGCAGGTAAGGGCGCCAGAGAGACTCAGGCTCGATCAACAGAGAGGCGCAGGCTCCGCCACCATAGAGACGCTGACGGGCTCCATCGCGCTGGGCCCACGGGGAGGAAGGAGGCCTTATCTGGGCTCTGGCTGATGGCAGTACCTTGTATTCACCACCACACCTCGAAAGGCGACCCGGAGGCTAGAGTGGAAAGTGCCGGGTTCGCTTCCTGCTGTCCAAGCCGAGGCTTCGCTTCTCGGCTGAGGAGCCGGGCGCGGCGCGCGACGGCCTCGGTGCGGTGCGTCTCCACGTCCCGCCGTGAGCCCTCCAGGGTAGGAGACGCGGAGCTCAGCTGTCGGGGAAGGGACGCGCCGCCCCGCCCCGCCCCCCCCACCCCGACCTGCCGCGCCGCACCGCCCCCCCACCCCGACCTGCCGCGCCGCCCCGCCCCCTGGCGGACGTCTCCATCACAGCAAAGACATGGCTAGGACACCTCCCAACCCTTACTGCTGATGCCCACAAAAGCTCACAGGGAAGCAACTAACTGTACTTAAGCATGGTTGCTGGACCTGGACGCCTAAGGGCAGTCCCGCCTTTGACTGAGCGCTAGCTTAGCATCAAGGAGAATTTAGCTTCATGGAATGCACTGGCCCCAAAAGAAGAGGCCCGAAGAGTGGGGACACTATTTACCCTTCCTACCAAGTTCCTCAAAACAAGTCACATCTAAGGCAAGACATGAAAACATGTCTTATTTTCTTTGTTGGATTCAGGGCCTTGGCTTGGCTAGGCATGTTCCCAGTCCATGTGGTTCTTTTAATCAGTCTACTGCCTAAAGGCACTGAATCATTTATACAACACATACTGAGTACTCTGAGTATGCCAAGCAAAGCTACAGAATGACTTTATGGAGTTCAAGCTTTCTCTGTTTGGAAATATAGAGGCCTGAAATGTGCATGAGCCCACAGAAGAGCCGAAGAGAGCATTTTCCCTACTTAACTCGGATGTTAACTACTTCCAATCTACTATCCATCCATTCTACTTGTTTCTTTTCTTGCTTCCCTTTTTTGTGAAGAGCCAGACAGCTCTTTTAGAGAAAATAAAAAATTAGAACATTTCTGACAGCTTTTGGTATCACCAAATCTTTTTAGATGTTTGGTTCTTTCCACAGGCAAAGGTGTACTATACAACACTTTTCGTGAGCTTATTCCTCCTCTGCAAATTTAGTAGCATATATGTTCAAAAGAAATTAAGGTATCTAGTTCATGAGAAAGTTTAAATAAAACATAACTCTTCTGAAGTGCTTAATATGTAGCTTGCACTATTGTCTAGGTCTGGTTTTCTTTTTGTCAGTCGTGGCGGCTGAATTCTGGGCCTGGGCACTGTCCCTCAGCTCTTTAGCTAAAGGTTAGTGCTCTGCCACTAGAGCCACAGTGCCACTTCTGGCTTTTTCTGCTTACGTGGTGGTGAGGAATCAAATTGAGGGCTTCATGCATGGCAGGCAAGCACTCTACCACTAAGCCATCTAGGTCTGTTTTTCTTTTGAGATATAGTTCTCTTTCCATAGTCCTATTGCAGATAGACTATAGAGCAAATGACCAAATGTACAATTTTGCATATTAAAAAAGAAACTTGGAAACTAGGCACCAGTGGCTCACGCCTGTAATCCTAACTACTCAGGAGGCTGAGATCTGAGTATTGTGGTTCAAAGCCAGCCCCAGCAAGAAAGCCCATGAGACTCTTAGTTCCAATAAACCACTAGAAAACCAAAAGTGGTGCTGTGGCTCAAGTGGTAGAGTACTCGCCTTGAGCTGAAGAGCTGAGGGACAGTGCCCAGGCCCAGAGTTCCAGGCCCACGACCAACAAAAAAAAAGAAACTTGAAGGTTATGAATGTTCCACAAGGCAAAACCAGCAAGATTTATAATTGTATAGATTCTTTTCTAATAAATCTGACATAGATTTCAAAATTTCAAAATATTGAATTTCAAAATTTCAAAATATTGAGTTCCGGGAAGATGGCGGAGGAGAAGCTGGAATCTGAACAAGCTCTCGCATAGAAAGCAGTTTTAGAATTCCAGTGAACAGTCCCAAGCCAGAGAATCACACCAAGTGTGCCATCACAGGACAGAGAGTTAGTCAAGAGAGGGGAAGCCAAGGCAAGGAGACACATCTGAGCGCTTGCCAGCAACCGCTGCCGCGGCAGCAGGGACGTGGCAGCCACTGCCGCCGCGGTCATACCTGAGACACAGAGAGTCCGGGACGAAGGAGCCAGATGCAGCAGACGAGCGGATTCTACTCAACACCAGCAAGAACCGACAAGGAGCGGACATCTTCATCCTGCAGTTTGCAGACCAGAGACGACCCAGAATCCAAGACTCGGCGTGAGTAGAAGCCTGATGTCCTCACTCCTTCTCAGGGAGCAGAGGAGGGAAGGCCACCCCTCCCCTCCAGCACCGGTGATCTCCATCTTGGATACCGACAAAGCTTGGAGGAGCTGCCAGCTCCAGCTCAGGCCTTGGAATAAAACGAGTCATTTAGCAGGTCACAAGAACTTAACGGCGAAGTGACCTCACAGACTCAGTTCCATCCAGGGAAAAGTCACCCAGCTCAGGCGCCAGCCATTGGAGTGGCTCTCCTCACCGGGTAACCAGAGCCAGAGGCTGCCCCTCCCTCTAGCAGCCACCACAATCAATTGAAAAACAGAAACCCTGAGAATGGCTCCAGGCTGGGCTCTGTGAGTTTTTTCACAAAATAGCCCCAGGGAAAAGCTACTGTTTGTTGAAAGGCCTCAACTCTACCCAGAACCTAGCCTCATCACTGCATCCCCCTCTTTTGTGATTCTCAAAACAGATCTGCCTCCCATTAAACTAACCTGGGAGGGGGATCTCAAAATCTTGGGTAAAGCAGAGCATTTTTCTGCCTGTTCGAACAGACTTAAGAAACCAATCAAGCCACAGGACCTCAAGCTGACCAGAGACTCCAACAAGAGGCTGGTTACAGACAAAAGGGAGATACAGGATTCTTCCTACCCCTCCACCCCCCAAAAAAAATCAAAGAACTTTTTTTCTTTTTTTTGGTACCTTATATATATGAAAAAAAATTTTTCCTTTTCTAAAACTTTTATTAATCTTTTAAGTTTTGCCTCTTTTGAAAAAATAATTGTTTTCCAGTAATTTTTTTTCCTCTTAAAATTTTTATTTTAGGAATACGTGAATGTGCGTTTTCCTTTCTTTTCTTGTCTTCTTTCTCTTTTTCTTTCTTTCTTAATTATCTTTTTATTTTTTGTCTAGCTCTATTGAACTTCTGATCTTTTCTTGTCCCTTTCCTATTCGTTTCACCTATTCCTCTCTTTTGTTCTTCTGTATGTGACTTAACTCTTGTCCTGCATATCCTCAGATAAACCCGTAGTTAACTAGTAGACCCTATCCCTCATTGTGTACACACTTAATCCACAATTTTATTACTCAATTCAAAACCTCTGAGACTTAAATTCCTTAATAGCAGTACTACCTCTTTATACCTATATAATATTTTAAGCATTTTTTTGTTTTTCACATCTCCTCGATGTCCCTCCCCTTCTCTCAAAATATTCACATTCCTCTCTAAATAGATGGTCTTTTAATCTATATAATAACATTAATTTTTACGTTTCTATTTTTTTTCTGGTCTCTTTTCATTCCCCTTTCCCTTTCTTCTTTTCCTCTCTCTCTCTACTGCATCCTACCCAACCTATTTCCTGCATTGTGATTAGGACATAGTTAACTCTCCCTGTGTCTCCCCACACCAATCTATCCCTATTTTTTACCCACATTTCTCCCTAACCCTAATAATTTCTGGTTTTCCAAATTCTTCTCTGCGGTTCGAAGTCCATTAACATATAGTTGTTTGATGTTGAATAGATGTATCTGTTGAACTAGATTGTATCTGTAGACTATTGACTGTACAAATGCAAACTTTGGTTGATGGTTGCCTTAAGATAGTGTTCTAGCACAAAACTGGTGCTATCTTCATCTCAAATGGGCAGAGTAAGCTGGAAAAACACAAGAAAAATGGCAAATTCGGGTATCTCAATTCCCAATCTTGATAATCAGGGGTCAGAACAGATAATGAATAATCCAGAGGAGAGTTCCCAAATAGCTCTACAAACACTACTGGCAAACATGATAAATGAGAAGTTTGACAACTTACAAAGGACTCTGTATGAGCGTGATAGGGAGAGAGAGGAGGCATCCCAGAAGTTTATACAGGAATATCATAAGCGTGAGGAAGCTACTCAAAAACTGATACAGGATTTGTGTGAACAACTTGAGAATACTCAAAGAGAAAGGGAGGAATGGCGTGAGCAGGCTGAGAACACTCAAAGAGAACTGCAGGAATCCCACGAACGGCAGGAAAGAGAACTGCAGGAATCCCACGAACGGGAGAAAGCTAATCAAAGAGTAATACAGGAATTGAGAGACCAGGTAGAGAACACACAAAGATCACTAAAGGCATTCATGGAATCCATTAACAAAGAGCTGAAGGAAGTCAGGGAGACCACAAAGGGAATGCTGAATGGAACCCAACAGAAGGAATGGGGGTCCAAAGAAACCATAACCAATCAACTAAGTGATTTGAGAACAAACATTGAACACCAAATTAAGGAAGTAAAGAAATTCATACAAGACCTAAAACAGAGCTTCAACAAAGAACTTGAAGCCATCAAAGCTGACCAATTAGAAGGAAAAGAGATAAAAAACAAAGTAGAGAGTCTTGACAGCAGGTTAGACCATGCAGAAGATCGAATCTCAGGGATTGAAGACAGCCTAGATATTATAGAGAAAGAACATACAACCATCCAAGACAAGTCCAAGAAATATGATAGATCTATCCAACACCTGGAAGACACCATCAGAAGGCCTAATCTAAGGATAATGGGTGTAGAGGAGCACCTAGAAACAGAAGTTAATGGTCTAGGAAATTTGTTTAACAGGATCCTAGCAGAGAACTTCCCAAACATGCAAAAAGATAGGCCTATTCAGATACAAGAAGCCTTTAGAACCCCAAATAGACCAGACCAGAATAGGACGTCCCACCGTCACATTATAATCCACACAGGATCAACTCAGACCAAGGAAAAGATCCTTAAAGCTGTCAAGGAGAAAAGGTTAATCACCTATAAAGGGAAAACAATTAGAATCACCTCAGATTTCTCAGCAGAGACAATCAAAGCAAGAAGAGCCTGGAATGATGTATGCCATGCCCTAAAAACAATCAACTATCAACCAAGAATACTGTACCCAGCTAAACTCTCCTTCATAACTGAAGGCCAAATAAAAACCTTCCATAGCAAAGAAAAATTGAAATAATACATCTCCACCAAACCAGCCCTACAAAAGATTCTTAAAGATGTCCTACACATAGAAAACCAACAAGACCGCAATAAAGGCCAAGAAACTGCACCCAAACTGAGAATCCAAGAACCATAGGAAGAACCTAGTTTTCACAGCCCCCAAGAAGGTGGATAACATGGCAGGAACTCCCAAATACCTCTCAGTCCTATCTCTTAACATTAACGGACTGAACTCTCCAATTAAGCGACATAGACTGTCTAGTTGGATTAAAAAACAAGACCCTTCTATCTGCTGCCTGCAGGAGTCACATCTTGCCCGTAAAAACAAACACATTTTCAATGTTAAAGGCTGAACAAAATCTACCAAGCAAACGGCCCCCATAAACAGGCGGGAGTTGCAATCCTAATATCAGATAAAATAGACTTCAAATTAAAATTGGTGAGAAGAGATAAAGAAGGTCGCTACATACTAATTAAAGGATCTCTCCTTCAGGAGGATATTACAATTCTAAATATCTATTCGCCAAACAATGGAGCACCCAAATTTATCAAAGAAACACTACTTTCCCTCAAATCCCATATAGATCCAAAGACATTAATTGTTGGGGATTTTAACACACCACTCTCCCCACTAGATAGATCAACTCGGCAAAAACTCAACAGAGAAACCGCAGATCTAAACAGCTGCATAGATCAACTAGACTTAACAGACATCTACCGAACATTTCACCCAGCAGCATCAGAATACACGTTTTTCTCAGCAGCACATGGAACGTTTTCTAAAATAGACCACATTTTAGGCCACAAAGCAAACTTGTCTAAATTCAGAAACATTGAAGTTATACCTTGCATTTTCTCTGACCACAAGGGAATAAAATTAGAACTCAACACCAAAAGCCACCAAAGAAAGTCCGGTATCACATGGAGGCTGAACAACACACTGCTGAATCATGAGTGGGTCATGGAAGAGATTAGAAAGGAAATTCAAATGTTCATGCTATTCAATGAAAATGAACACACAAATTACCAGCTCCTCTGGGACACAGCAAAGGCAGTACTCAGAGGCAAGTTTATAGCTCTGAGCTCCTACATCAACAAATTGGAGAGATCTGAAACTAACAATTTAATGACACATCTAAACCTCCTTGAAAAAGAGCAGCAAGATAAACCCCAATCCAGTAGAGGGAAAGAAATAATCAGAATTAAATGAATTAGAATCCAAAAAAACTATAGAAAGAATCAACAAAACAAAGAGTTGGTTCTTCGAAAAACTTAACAAAATTGACAGACCCTTAGCAAATCTTATCAGAAAAAGAAGAGAACACACCCAAATTAATAAACTCAGAGATGAGAATGGAAACATCACCATGGAAACAACCAAGATTCAGAACATTATAAGGGAATACTTCTCAAAACTTTATGCTAATAAGTTTGAGAACTTGACAGAAATGGACCTCTTCCTAGCAAATATTGACATGCCAAAACTAAACCAAGATGAGTTAATCTTAACAGGCCCATATCAAGCATCGAAATAGAAACAGCAATAAGAGACCTCCCAGCTAAGAAAAGTCCAGGACCACATGGTTTTACAGCGGAATTTTACAAGGCCTTCAAAGCAGAGCTCACACCAATTCTCCTCCAACTCTTCAATGAAATTGAAAGAGAAAGCTCACTACCGAACACATTCTATGAAGCCATCATAACCCTCATCCCAAAACCAGGCAGGGACTCATCAAAGAAAGAGAACTATAGACCCATTTCTTTGATGAACATTGATGCAAAACTTCTCAACAAAATTTTGGCCAATCGACTTCAACAATTCATCCAAAAAAATCATACACCACGATCAAACAGGATTCATTTCAGGGATGCAAAGCTGGTTCAATATACGCAAATCAATTAATATTATTCATCACATCAACAGGAGCAAGAATAAGAACCACATGGTTATCTCAATAGATGCAGAAAAAGCATTCGACAAGATCCAACACCCCTTTATGATGAACGTTTTGGAAAAATTAGGAATCCATGGAACATTCCTCAATACAATAAAGGCTGTATATGACAAACCTACAGCCAGCATTATACTCAATGGTGAAAAACTAAAGCCATTTCCTCTTAACTCAGGAACAAGACAAGGATGCCCACTCTCTCCACTTCTCTTCAATCTAGTATTAGAATGCCTAGCTATAGCAATAAGATGCAGACATAAAGGGGATCCAAATAGGGAAAGAAGAAATAAAACTCTCCCTCTTTGCAGATGACATGATCTTGTATTTAAAGAATCCCATAGACTCCACTCCCAAATTACTCAAGCTGATTCAAAACTTTGGCAAAGTAGCAGGTTATAAAATTAACCCCCAAAAATCAATGGCTTTTCTGTATGCCAACAATGAGAAAAGTGTGGCTGAAATTACGAAAGCAACTCCATTTGTAATAGCCCCACAAAAAATAAAATACCTAGGAATTAACTTAACTAAAGTGAAGGACCTCTATGATGAAAGCTTTAAAATCTTGCAAAAGGAAATCAACATAGAACTTAAAAAATGGCAAAACCTCCCATGCTCCTGGATTGGAAAGATTAACATCGTGAAAATGGCAATACTTCCCAAGGCTATCTACAAATTCAACGCAATACCTATCAAAATTCCACCCTCATTCTTCAAGGAAATAGAAGAGGCAATCCAAAAATTCATATGGAACAATAAAAGACCCCGAATAGCAAAAACGCTCCTCAACGGAAAGAACACTGCTGGAGGAATATCAATACCAAATTTCAAACTCTACTATAAAGCCATAGTAATCAAAACAGCTTGGTATTGGCATAAGAACAGACCTCAGGACCAATGGAATAGAATTGAAAACCCAGAAATAAACCAAGAGACCTATAGCCACCTAATCTTCGATAAGGGAGCTAAAACAATACAATGGAAGAAAGACAGCCTCTTCAGTTAATGGTGCTGGCAAAATTGGTTAACTACATGTAGAAAACTAAAGCTAGATCCTTATATATCACCCTGCACCAGAATCAACTCCAAATGGATCAAAGACCTTGAAGTCAAAGCAGACACTCTGAAAACATTACAGGATGGAATAGGAGAAACCCTAGGTCTCCTTGGCTCCGGCCGAAATTTTCTGAATAGAGACCCGGAAACACAACAAATCAAAGAAAGGTTGGACAAATGTGATTGCATAAAGTTGCAGAGTTTCTGTAGGGCAAATGACATAGCTAGCAAGATCAATAGAAAGCCCACGGATTGGGAGAAGATCTTTACTAGCCATACAACGGACAAGGGTCTCATATGTAAAATATACTTGGAACTCAAAAAATTAAATCCTCCAACAACAAATCCTCAAAGAAACAATTGCCCAATAAATAAGTGGGCGAAAGACTTAGAGAGAAACTTCTCTGAAGAAGGAAGAAGGATGGCCAATAGACACATGAAGAAATGCTCAAAATCCCTAGCCATAAAAGAAATGCAAATCAAAACAACATTGAGATATCACCTCACTCCAGTTAGAACGGCAAAAATCAAGAACTCTAACAACAACAGATGCTGGAGGGGATGTGGACAGAAAGGAACCTTACTTCATTGGTGGGAATGTAAACTTGTTCAACCACTTTGGAAAGCAGTATGGAGGTTCCTCAAAAGACTTCACATAGAACTCCCCTATGACCCAGCAATCCCACTTTTGGGCATTTACCCAAATGTTTACAAACAAGACCACACTAAAGCTACCAGCACAACTATGTTTATTGCAGCATTATTTACCATAGCTAAGATATGGAACCAACCCAGATGCCCCTCAGTAGATGAATGGATCAAGAAAATGTGGTTATATATACACAATGGAATTCTATGCCTCCATCAGAAAGAATGACATTTCCCCATTTGTTAGGAAATGGAAAGGCTTGGAAAAAATTATATTAAGTGAAGTAAGCCAGGCCCAAAGAAACATAGGTCCCATGGTTTCCCTTATTTGCAATATCTAGTATATGTATGAGTCAAGCGGAAAAGGTCAGATAATGTGATGTTAGGAAAACGAACCCTTAAATATGTATTTTAATGTTTTTTTTCTTTCATGCATGTGTTTCTAATGCATTTATAAGATTATTTCTTTGTTGCTTTGTATGTCCCTCCCCCACAGTGTAACCCCCGCTTTCACTATATTTGATGTCAGTATAACTTGTGGAAGAGATGGGGACAAACAAGTCGTTTAAGGATTCAGGTGGACCTGTTGCAACAATGAGAAGTACAAAATGTCATGTCAAAAACGAGCTTTACAATGTCGGTGTGGGGGGGGGGAGGGGGGGAAGGATTGGGTGGGGTGGAGAGGGGAGGCTGGGAAGAGAGGTGAAGGGTAAACAAAGGAGGAGGCTGCAATGCTTGGTAAGAAATGTATGCATTATCCTGCCCATGTAATTGTAACCCCTCTGTACAGTATGTTCTCAAATAAAATAAAATTAAATTAAATTAAAAAAAAATTTCAAAATATTCTTTATTAATAAATGTATAAATGTCTATACATAATTTACATGTTTGGTTAAAAAAACACTACAGGTGTCAATCAGTATTAGTGCTATATGTAATTTCTTGGCTAACTAGTAATTTTACAACAATGTCCTTAAGATCTAAACACATTGTAATAATTCCTTTTTTTTTTTTTACCTTTTAGAATTTGATAGAAGACAGTCAATATCCTGAAGGATTTCAGAAGTTTTTTTCAATGCTATTGATACCCTCCTTTCATTAACTTCTTCCAGCAATGTTTCCGAAGATCTTGACTTGTAATGATCAAAACACTGTTCATTTTTTTTATTAGAAATCTGATTCAGGATGCCACTATTCTCTAGCAGCACTGAGTTACATTGTTAAGGAGCTTTCTTCTACATTTTACATACTATTTCTTCAGAAAGTCTGACCTTCATATGAAAATAACTTTCTCAATTGCAAAGATATCTTGGATTTATGATAAAGCGTTGCGAGTTCAGAATGTATGGAACTTACCCATTATAGATGAGGAAATACAGTATTAAAGGAGCGGGAAGGAGGAGAGAATTTGCGTGTTTGGACAGACATTTGGTGTGGTGAGGAAATGAAAAAATTAAAATCTCAGAGTCAGTGTTGGAGGCATCACTCAGTTGGTAGAGTGCTAGCTAATGAGTGAAACTATCAGGTACCAAGTTTGAGTCCTGGCCTCAGACCTAAAAAAAAAAATCTCAGGGCCATTTCTTAATCTTCAGTTGTTGAAAAAATAAAAAGGAACATATAGAGGTGATAGGAGTTACAACCAATCAGTATGGTGTCTTTAGTTTTTAATTTGAAAAGACTTAAGGGGAAAGGAACTTGTTCAGTTGCAGAACAAGCTAGTTCTGTAGTACAGAAGAGGCATGAAAAAATAGTGAGACTGTACAGACCAAAAGGAATCATAAGAAGAAAAAGAAATACATATTCAACACTTATAATTTAGTTTAAGAGTAAAAAAGTCTCAAAACAAGCCGGGTACCAGTGGCTCACACCTGTAATCCTAGCTACTCAGGATGCTGAGATCTGAGGATTGACGTTCAAAGCAGCCCAGGCAGGAAAGTCTCTGAGACTCTTCTCTCCAATTAACTACCAGGAAACTGGAAGTGGTGCTGTAGCTTAAGTGGTAGAGCGTTCACCTTGACTTGAAGAGCTTAAGGACAGCAAACCAGACCCAGAGTTCAAGCCCCTCAACCAACAAAAAAAAGAAAAAGAAAGTCTCAAAGCAGATCTTAACTGTAGTTCAGTGTTTCTGGTCCAGTATAAACACAGAAAAGACTAAACATTAACATGATGTAGCATCTATTTATAGCTCAAGCTCAGAAATATGTAAGCATGGATTAGCATTTGTGATGTTTAATCTTCAGCATCAACTTGATTGGATTAATAAAATATACCACGGAATGTGCTTGTGAGGCAGGTTCTGAGAGGACTAAGTGGGAAGACCTGCCCTGGTGCACCACTCCATAGGCTGTTGGCCCACAGATGACAAAAGATGAACAAGGAGAAAGCCAGTCAGTATAGCATTTTCTTTCTCTCTTCCTCCTGCCTGCCATGATGTCAGCTGCTCTGCACTGCCAAAAGGATGGTCTGAAACTGTGAGCTGAAAGAATCTTTTCACCTTATATATTATTTTCATGTGTTTTGTCAGGGCAAGAAAAAGCTAACAATGTTCATGTACAGTCAGTAGGTGTAGATGTCTAGAATTCAAAGAGAGCAGTTATGGAGGCCAAGATATTGCATTTAAAGGATACGGTTAAACTTTTGTATCTTTTCAAGTTCAGAAGCAACAGACCTATAAAAAACAGATAGATTCATGATAGTTGTCTGATTCTTTTATATTCATAGAATTTCAAATAAGCATATTTGACTTCCGTTTTTATAAAGGTAGGACTGAAGCTTGATAAGAATGAGCAATGGCGTACAACTTCAAATCATGGCTAACTGAAAACTTAATGAGGACAGGTCTAGAAACATCTCTTTATGCAAGTTATTAAGAAGTCTTTTTCACAGTTTATAGTCATAGTGTGACTTTTCTGCTTTATTGCCTTTACTACAATAGACTACAAGTCTATTGCACAGCTCGTAACCTTCTTTATACTCCAGCCTATGAATGATAAATGAAAGATTTTTTCATCATTTTAACCATCTATAGGAGAAGAAATTGGGTATAACTGAGCTCCAAAAGCCTGTTGATTCTTTAATTACAAAATACTTTTTATATAACACTAGGCATAATAATACAATCTTTAATTGCTCATATGATGAATCAACTTTTTAGGAAATATCACCTATACTTTTTTCAACTAAATTTTTTTTTTTTTTTTTTTTGGTTTTTGGGACTGAACTCGGGGCCTGGGCACTGACCATGAGCCTCTTGTGGTAAAGGCTAGTGTTTTGCCACTTGAGCCACAGTGACACTTCTGTTTTTTAAGTGGTTAATTAGAGATAGGAGTCTCGGGGACTTTTTTGCCTGGGCTGGCTTCAAACCAAGATCCTCTGACCTCAGCCTCTTGAGTAGCTAGGACTATAGGTGTGAGCCACTGGTGCCCAGCTATTACATTTTTTAAATCATGGGCAAGGAATGTAGCTTAGTGGTACTGTGCTTGCCTACATGAGGCCCTGGGTTTGATTCCTTGGTACTGCATAAAAACAAAAAGTTAAAAAAATTAAAATTTTTTTTTGTCAGTCATGGGGTCATAGGCCTGGGTGCTGTCTCTCAGCTCTTCAGCTAAAGGTGAGTGCTCTACTACTTGAGCAACAGCACCACTTCTGGTTTTCTGGTGGTTTATTGGAGATAAGAGTCTCACAGACTTTTCCTGCCTGGGCTGGCTTTGAACCATGATCCTAAGATCTCAGCCTCCTGAGTAGCTAGGATTACAGGCGTGAGCCACCAGCGCTCAGCAAATTCACAAAACTTAAGAAAAATTTAACCAGTAAATTAATAATTGTAAGATAGAAAAACACCTTGAAATACAATTTAGGTAGCTGTTTGTACTATGTATGCAGTTTCTTCCTTTAATTTAGTCTCTCTGACATGAAGACAGATCATAGTGGAGATGTCTTAGCTTTGTAAGAATTTTATCTTGTTTCTATGCTAGTCCTTGAGCCTTCTACCCACAGCTACTATCACCAATCTACATGTTCACTTTCTAGTATGTCTTGAAAGTTATCCCTTCTGATTTCACAGAAAGAGGATATGATTTTAAAACTGTGCCAAGCAATGTTTCATGACTATGTATAATTTCCTTTTCTTCCCACCTACTCTGTGTAAGTTAGTCAAGCTAAAGAAATCTGTCCCGAATAGGCCATGAGGCATGTGGAAAGGTGGATCCTTAGGTATTTGAGATGAGATGTTTAAATAATATCTACTAGTTTTATTTGATTTGTTATAAGAAATAATAATCAGGTTGGTTGCTTTTTTTTTTTTTTGGTCATATATGGGATTTGAACTCATGGCAGGGCACTGTCCCTAAGCTCTTTGCTCAAAGCTAGCACTATACCATTTGAGCTACAGCACCACTTCCACTGGAAATAGTCTCATTGACTTTTCTGCCCAGGGTAGCTTTGAATTGTCTCAGATCTCAGCCTCCTGAGTGGCTAGGATTACAGGTGTAAGCCACCAGCACCTGGCTTGAATGCTTCTATTTTTCCCCCATTTTTCTATGTCGCCTCACAACTTAGTTAAAATGTTCCTAAATTAGGCTTCCTAAATTAGCTTGCATAGCATGCACAATGCCCTACAGATGGGTCCAGAAAAAAAAAGTTCCTAAAATAGTGCAAGTATCCCTTTCCCAACATACTCATAGTAAACTCTGATATTAGTTTCCTTACTTACTTTCTTTCCTCTCATTTTTCTATTCAAGAACTTCTATTTTCATTAAACATGAATTCATATATTTATTACAAAATCTATTGCTGGGGCTAGGAAGGTGGCTCAGTGGTAGAGCGCTTGCCTTGCATGCTCGAGGCCCTGGGTTCGATTCCTCAGCACCACATAAACAAAAAGAAAAAAGCTGGAAGTGGCGCTGTGGCTCAAGTGGTAGAGCGCTAGCCTTGAGCTGAAGAGCTGAGGGACAGCGCCCAGGCCCAGAGTTCAGGCCCCACTACCGGACCCAAAAAAAAAAGCAAACAAAAAAACAAAACTATTGCTATCCATCACAACTCACAACATCCCAGCAGGTATCTATGTTTACTAAAAAGCACATTCTTTTTCCACAGACCAAAAGAGCCTTACTTCTGTCCTTACTTCTTCTCTACAATGTCTTATTTCCCTTAACTATTCCTTTTTTTTTTTTTTTTGGTCAGTGTGGGGCTTGAACTCTGGGCCTGGGTGCTGTCCTACTGCTCTTCAGCTAAAGGATAGCGCCCTATCACTTGAGCTGCAGTGCTACTTCCAGCTTTTTCTGCTTATGTGGTGCTGAGGAATCAAACCCAGGGCTTCGTGCATGCAAGGCAGGCACTCTACCACTGAGCCAACTTCCCAGCCCCTAATTACTCCTTTTCAACCCAGTCCTAGTGCCTTATACACTTTGTGCCTTATGCACAAAGCAAGGACTAAAGTATTTTCCTTGGGCTTGGGAGGTAGCTCAGTGGTAGAGTGCTTGCCTCGTATGCATGAGGCCCTGAGTTCGATTCCTCCGCACCTCATAAGCAGAAAAGGCAGGAAGTGGCACTGTGGCTCAAGTGGTAGAGTGCTAGCCTTGAGCTGAAGAACTGAGGGACAGCGCCCAGACCCAGAGTTCAGGCCCCACAACTGACAAAAAATAAAAATAAATAAATAATATATTTGCCTTGATAATTTGTTAATGTGGAGTAATAAATTACTTAAAATTCAAATTTTTCAAAAACTGTATTAACATTTTATTCCCCTCAATATACAAAGACTCCTCTTTAAATTTCCCCATGAAGTTTTGTTTTTTGTTTTTTTTTTTGGGTCCGGTTGTGAGGCCTGAACTCTGGGCCTGGGTGCTGTCCCTCAGCTCTTCAGCTCAAGGCTAGTGCTCTACCACGTGAGCCACAGCGCCACTTCTGGCTTTTTTCTTTTTGCTTATGTGGTGCTGAGGATCGAACCCAGGGCCTTGAGCATGCAAGGCAAGCGCTCTACCACTGAGCCACCTTCCCAGCCCACCCCCCCCCCCCCCCATGAAGTTTTGTATTAAACATAAAAAATGGATTGGGAAGGTGGCTCAGTGGTACAGTGCTTGCCTCACATGTATGAGGCCCTGGGTTTGATTCCTCAGCACCACATAAGCATAAAAAGCTGGCAGTGGCACTTGTGGCTCAAATGGTAGAGTACTAGACTTGAGTAAAAGCAGCTCAGGGACAGTACCTAGGCCCTGAGTTCAAAGCCCCAGGATCAGCAATAATAAACAAATAAACACATAAAAAAAACCACTCATTTTCTGTAAAACTTTCAATGGAAGGTTTTCTGCCTTTCAAAATAATCAGTATTCTCAAGCTTTAAGCTATTGAAAACATTTCACGTATGAAATGTAATGTATTTAAAACTAAAGTTTTCTTGGAAAAAGTATTTTAGGGTTTATCATTTGACAATAATTTGTAAATTACTAGTTGGCTTATCTATGCATATTAAGTTTAAAGGAAATAAACTTACCAATTTTCTTCTCGAACAGATGGTTGATGTGTAAGCTCCTGTCTTGGACTAGTCTGAGTCAGTCTTCTGCACCAAGATATCACTGCTGTCACATATCTAGAAGGAACATGTTAAAAGAGATAGCTGACATTGAAACTCATTAATTTGTACAATTAATAAGCATTGATAAGTCAGGCACCAGTAGCTCATACCTGTAATCCTAGATACTCAAGGGGCTGAGATCTGAGATTGTGGTTCAAAGCCAGTCCTGTGAGACTCTTATCTCCATTATACTACTCAGAAAAGCTGGAAATGGTATTGTGGCTTAAGTAGTAAAGAGCTATCATTGAGCAAAAAGAGGCTCAGGGACAGCACTCAGGACCTGAGTTGGAGACTTAGGTCAGCAAAAAAAAAAAAGCATTGATAATTACAAAAAGGAGTTTTAAAAGAAAAAGTATTTGAAAAATGAACCTGTATGCTTTCTACAAACATACAAAAAAACTGAAAAATCACAATGTGAAAAAAAAGAGGAAAATTATCTTCTTTTTTAAGTATAAGCAAGGATTTGTTTTAGTATAACGAGATAAAGGAGAACTGGGAGTAAGACTCCAGGAAAGACATTTGAGGGGAGGCAACTGTTAGGTAGTTTTCTTAATATTTTTCACTAGATAGAAGCGAGATTTTTCCCCTCATTATTCATTAGAATAAATTAATCAGTTTACATTTATAGTTAATAAGGGTAACATTTAAGAGCAGTACAAAAATAATACCTCAATTTCATTAAAAGTTCAAATTTAGTTGTTTAACTTTTTAGTTTTTCAAAATATGAGTTTTCTTATGTTTTATCATGAAAATGTCTTTACATGTAAAAATTATATAAGCATTTGCTACCTAAAATTTAAACTTGGAAGTACCTATTAATGCACATACATAAATTTAGCTTATATGTATAATTATATAAATATAATCCACTAAATATAGAATAGTAATATTTGCTAAAGACACTACATTTTTTAGCAAACAATTCAAAATAGCAATTGAATGTTGGAGCATTTAGACCAAAAACAATAAAGCTCAATAGAAAGATTAACTTAAGAGGTTAAAAAAAAGTAATTCTTATTTTTACAATAAAAAACATTAAGGGCTGGGAAGGTGGCCCAGTGGTAGAGCGCTTACCTTGCATGCCTGAGGCCCTGGGTTCAATTCCTCAGCTCCACATAAGAAAAAAGCTGGAAGTGGCGCTGTAGCTCAAGTGGTAGAGCGCTAGCCTTGAGCTGAAGAGCTGAGGGACAGTGCCCAGGCCCAGAGTTCAGGCCCCACAACTGCCCCCCCCCAAAAAAAACATTAAAAACAAAAATAATTCTTAGCTAAGTGTCAGTGGCTCATGCCTGTAATTCTAGGTACTTAGGAGGCTGTGATATGAGGATCACTGTTCAAACCAGCCTGGGCAGGAAAGTCCTTGACACTCTTCTCTCCAATTAACCACCAGAAAACTTGAAGTGGCATTGTGGCTCAAAGTGGTAGGGTGCTAGCCTTGAGCCTGGCCCTGGCCCTGGCCCTGAATTCAAAGCCCACAACAGCAAAAAAAAGAAATTCTTCTGTGAACACTGTGAAGTATAATCACTAAAAGGTTATAATTACCACAGAGTTATTGTAATAAATTTCATGAACCAAACAGAAAAGGTATATTCATAAAAACTAATTTCAAGAATCTTCCCCATTTTAAGAATAATCATCAGCTATAAATTTTTGTCATTTAACAGAAATATATACAATTAGTCATTTGTTATTAAAAACTTTGTAAATTGCTAAGCATTAGGATTAAGTCCCTAACAGACCAAACTGAAAAATTTCAAAGCAAATTAGTTTTGTATGCAATACATTAGTTGAAAATAAGCAAACAATTAAAGTTAACCTGATTTATGTACTTATGCTAACTGCAAGCATAAACGAAAACTCTGAACAAAATATATGCACAAAACATTTAAGCAATAGTTACATGCTTCCTCTCTGTCAAGTAAAACATGGAAGTAATTTTTTTTTTTTTTGTGCAGGGGATCAAATCTATATGCTCAAACCTCTTATATGCTAGGTAAAGATCCTATGACAAGTTATATCCCTAGCCCCCAAAAAACTTTTGGTGCCACTACTACTGTTTGAGCTCAGGGCCTCATACTCTAACTTGGCTTTCTTGCTCAAAGGTAGTGCTCTACCCATTGATAAAAATAAATTTCAAAATCTTTTTCAGTACCTTTCATATGCTCCAGGATGTTCAATTGGAATTAACTGATTTTGTCCATCAGGAAAAGTTAACCTACACCAACCTAAGTTGAGACCTTGATGTGCCTTAAGAAACGAGAAAAGCTAAGTTTCATGATTCTAAAAATGAAAGTATAGGCATTATATATGTTTTTAAAAAAGAGCACAGTGATACTTACCAAAACTGTTGAAAAAAAAAAAAAAGAGGGGAGAAGAGTGGGTAGTTAAGAAAATAATATAGATGAGGTGAATTTAATTAAGGTATGTTATCCGTACATTGTAAATATCACAATAAGCCTTTTGTGCAGATAAGCTTGTAAAAATATTTTTAAAAACATCATTAAAAATAGAAATACCTTTAAATTTTTACTTTGACAACTTAAACATTCTATTTTACATGGCCTATCAATATCATTTAACTACCACTCATACAGATAATTATGAGAGAGTAAAAATACTAATTCCTTTTGCCACAATGTGTTATCTTTCTGAATGTAACTGTGTCACACTCTTCTGATTTTTGCTAGGATATCCAATGACACCAGTAAAGCCTCTTGACAGGTTTTGATACTTAAAAGGCAGGATTTTGAATGTTTTACAACAAAGAAATGGTATATGTTTGAGAGGACATTTCAAAACATCCAGGCACCTGTGGCTCACGCCCATAATCTTAGATACTCATGAGGCTGAAATCTTAGATGAACAAGGTTTGAAGCCAGCATGGGCAGAAAAGTCAGTGAGCTCTTATCTCCAATTAAGCAGCAAAAATCTTGAAATGTAGCTGTAGTTCAAGTAGTAGCATGCTAACCTTGAGTAAAAAAACGTAAAGTAAGAGCTGGGAAGGTGGCTCAGTGGTAGAACGCTTGCCTTGCATGCATGAGGCCCTGGGTTCGATTCCTCAGCACCACATAAGCAAAAAGAAAAAACCCGGAAGTGGTGCTGTGGCTCAAGTGGTAGAGCGCTAGCCTTGAGCTGAAGAGCTGAGGGACAGCGCCCAGGCTCAGAGTTCAGGCCCCACGACTGGACCCAAAAAAGAAAACAAACCTAAAGTACAGTACCCTAGGCCTTGAATTCAAACTCCAAGACAACCATACACACACATATATACACAATCACACAAAAGATGCTTCAAAAACTAGGCACTGGCCAGGGGCTAGTGGCTCATGCCTGTAATCCTAACTACTCAGGAGGCTGAGATCTGAGGATCATGGTCCAAAGCCAGCCTTGGCAGGAAACTCCATGAGACTCTTATCTCCAATAAAACCACTCAGAAAACTGGAAGTGGTGCTGTGGTTCAAGTGGTAGAGCGCTTGCCTTGAGTTGAGGAGCTGAGAGACAGTGCCCAGGCCCAGAGTTCAAGATCCATAACCGACAAAAAAAAAAAAAAAAAAGAAAAAAACCAGACACTGGTGGCTTGTATCTATAATCCTAGGTACTCAGGAGGCTGAGATCCAGAGGATCACAGATCAGATCCAGTTTGGGCAGAATAATCAGTGAGAATCCAACTCCAATTAACCAGAAAGAAAGCCCAGTTGGAGTCATTACAGATAGAGAACAGACATAAGCAAGAAAGCCAAATGAGACACACACACACACACACACACACACACACACACAGTTTGCTGTACAGAAAAAACAGATTTCAGTCTGAAGTATACTCACATGTCTTTTTTCAACAGAAGAGCTAAAATTCCAATTTAGGGTTAGAGTAATACCATCTAAAAAGATAGCATGTACTTTGTTATCAGAGTAGGCAAGAAATCTTCCCATGCTGGGTATGAATGATTCATTTAAAAGCACCGGCAGTGTATTGGTATTAATTATCCCAGGTACCTAAAACCAAGAAAATAAAAATAGCAAGGAAGAAGAGTTACTTACTAACAAAAAAAGTTGGGTGCCCGTGGCTTTTATCTGTAATCCTAGCTATTCAGAAAGCTGAGATCTGAGTATTTCAGTTTGAAGCTGGCCTGGGCAGGAAAGTCTGTGAGACTTGAGACTCTATAATTAGTCATCAAAAAAAAAAAGAAAGCTGTGGCTCAAGTGGCAGAGTGCTAGCCTTGAGAAAAAAAACTCAGGGACAGCACCCAGGCCTTGAGTTCAAGCCCCAGGACATGCACAAGAAATTAAAACACACACACACACACACACACACACACCCACCACCCCCACCCCCACCCCCACCACCCCCACCACCACCACCACCACCACCAACAACAACAACAAATTAAAAACTGACTGTGTAGCCCTGTGGCAGAGTATGTGCATTGCATGCCTGAAGTCCTGGGTTTAAAACCTAACATGCTCAACATGGCAGGGGCTGGGAACTCTATATAGTATCAGGAAACTTCATAAAGTACAAGTATAATGTAAGAGCTGAGGGTATAGCTCAGTGGTAATGTTTGTCTAGCAAGCGCAGTACCTTGGGCTTAATTCACAGGACTAAAAAAAAAAAAATGAAACCCTGATTTTTCAGTTTCTCTATTAGGTGGCTATTTTTCTCAATAAATCAGTATTAAATGCTACCAAAATTAACTTCTCACATATATGAAATATAGTTTGAACTTAGAAGTATGAATTTAAAGGATAATTTAAAAGTTGTTCTTGAAACAATTTCAACATACCATTTTCCAGCAGCATACACGATAGTTATGGCTTAGAGAGAGCCTTACTTTGGCACAATGTTGAAGAATTCTGTTAACATGAAAATAATACCTCTTACACAACTGTAAATAATACTATTAACATTTTAGATGGCAAGTCACTATCTGCCCTGAAATCCATCTTGGGAAAGCTTTTCTTCCACAAGTTCTCTAGCACAGAAAGGAAACTAGTATTGTTTCCCTCTGTGCTAATTTTATCTAGTTAAGGCTACTCATAGCAATGAAATGACTCCATAATGAGAATTTTCAGATGTTCCGTTTTTATTGTATGTTATTAGCATACATTAGTTGTATAAAAGAAGTTTCATTATAACATTTCTACATGTCTATTTTACAAATGTATCCCAATTGGTCTTTATTGTTCTTTTTATCTATCGCCTTCTTTCTTAATACAATTTCAATAGGTTTCATTATTCTATGTTCATGAGTGCAAATAAATCACTTTAATTATATTCATCCTCACTCACCCCTTTGTCAGCCCAATCCCCTATCTCTGACACTCAACCCTGACAAAGCCTGTTTTATTTTCTGTCATTTTTTAAAAAGTGTGTATTAAATGCACCAAGGGTCTCACCATGGTACTTCAGACATACATATATTCTGTTTGGCTCAGAATAACCTCTCTTTCCCTACCTCCCCAAACCACTACTGATCACCAGTTTTCACTGCCATTCTTTTTTTTTTTTTAACCATCACTGCATCTAGTGTTTATTTTGGTTTTCATGCTCTAAAGTTTAGTAGCACATATCTTTTAACCATTCTACTTTTAACCCTACCATACTATCTTTAAAAAAGAAATATGCCAGAAACATGTATCAGCTATCTCGTCAAACCTTAGCTGGAATTATTGAAGTGGAGTGTTACATGGTACTTTTTATCCCTTCACTTGTAAACAGTACAATGAGAATGCATTTTACATTTATGTTCAGAAAAACAATATTAAAAACTTAAAAAAAAGAAACGAGCCATCCTGAAAAAGCTTCCATCTAGAACCTGTCACAGCATGGCATTCTTTAAGCAAACAGCACAGAGGAATGCGGCGTCCAGCATCCAGACGCCGGCGAGCTCTGCTCTCGCCTTTCACTGCCATTCTTAATGCCATCTTCATATATAATTGTATTTCAATTATCCATCAAGTGCTCCTTTTGAAGAGGTGATATATTAAGGGTTTAAACATAGCTTAAAGACTTTAGCTATTGCTAAGAAATCCTTCAAACCTATTCATATGCTTCAAATCTACTCCTCCAAATCTGTTTTGGAAACTGTTTAGACATACTTTATAAAAATAATTTAATTCAACAATTTGTTTCCATTCTCCTGAGTGCTTCACATGAATCAAAAGCATTTTTAAAGCTGTGTTCTGGTGGTACTGTAATCCTAACTACTCAAGAGGCTGAGATCTGAGGATCACCGTTTGAAGCCAGCCCAGGCAGAAAAGTCCCTGTGAAACTCTTATCTCCAATTAACCACTCAAAAACTGGAAGTGGAGCTGTGGCTCCAGTGATAGAGAGCTAGACTTTAACACAAAGAGGCTCAGGAACAGTGCAAAGGTCCCTAGTTCAATCCCCACAATGGACAAAACAAAAACAAAAAAAAAACAATTTTAAGGGGTTGGGGAGTACAATCCCCTGGGTTCAGTCCTTCACTCTCCAGGGGAAAAAAATAAAGGCTAGTAGACTTTGAGTGTGTGGTTCCAAGGAGAATGCCATTGAGGAAAACACACCAATGCTCATGATGCAGAGATCAGTGTTGTACGGTCTCAGATTTGATTCATTTTTCCTACGAGGCTGCCCAACTCTGCTAAAGATATGATGCTTTTCAGCAAATCAAAATTTTCACTTCATTACTTAAATTAAGTACATTATATGCTTTTCTGGCATCATTTGCTTTGTGCAAAGCGTATTTTCACAAAATCAAGGGCAAAAAAGCAGTCAGATCATCACACAGGGATTTAAAAACAACTGATAACACAGGGACTAAATGAGCTTTATAACCTGAGCTCAGGAATTAAATTCTTATTATTGAAATTTCATTTATTTCCTTATTTATCTGGCTGTATTTTGTGAAAAACTGCATGTAATAAATCCACAGATAGGATAAGCTTACTATATATGAACTGAAAAGAAACGAAGCATGTACTGCCTCAGTACACTCTCAAATCTTTATCACACTGAAGAGGATAAAGAGAACTTCAATATGTCATCCAACCTCCAATCTGAATGAAAATAATGATGGCACACTTGCCTAAGCTTTCTCTCAGACTTGATCATTACACTTGCCTCACTACACTTAAAATTTAAAGCCAAAGATACTCTAGTAATGATGAAGAAATTATTTTACGAATTATGAGACCAGAAAATCTGATTGACTTACCAAAAACATATATTTAAATTCATCTGCCAACTCCTTTGTTTTCAGCAGTCTCATTTTGTAGCCCAACATGGTCTTGAACTTCCTATGTGGCTCAGGCTGGCTTCAAACTTAACAATCTTCTTACATTAGCCTTCTGAGCCTGGTATGGGTCATTCTTTTTCTTTTTTTACTTTTTTTTTTTTTTGTCGGTCATGGGGCCTGAACTCTGGGCCTGGGCACTATCCCTCAGCTCTTCAGGTCAAGGCGAGCACTCTACCACTTGAGCCACAGCAGCACTTCCAGTTTTCTAGTGGTTTATTGTAAATAAGAGTCTCACGGACTTTTCTGCCTGGGCTGGCTTTGAACCTTGATCCTCAGATTGCAGCCTCCTAAGTAGCTAGGATTATAGGCATGAGCCACCAGCACCCAGCTGTATGTGTTATTCTTAAGCCTATCCTTAGCTCCAAGAAATGTATGAAAGTTTTCAGATATACACTTGATTCAGCTGACTGTGAAGAACTTACCTGGTTGCCTGCTTAATAAGAGAGCATACAGAGAATAGACTTCCTGGTCTATCTGGAGGAAGGTTATTTACAGAATAAGTTTTCTCTTCTCTCTGAAAATAAGTTTAAAATGAAAATAACACAAGTTCAAACATTACCTATTGTTAACATAGGTACTTATATAATGACATGGTAAGTAGTTATCTTAATAATGGACAGGATGCCTTTCTATCATCCCACTTTTATTTAACATACAGCTGCTATAAAGTTACATTCTAATAGCCTATAATTTGATGCTCAATTTAAATCTTGTCTATGTGTAAACCAACGTATTAACCAAGTTAATATTCCTATATATTAACAAGAAATTATCACAAGCTATTCTTTCTTCTTAAGGGCTATATAGGTTTTAAAAACAACTATTTTAATAAAACAAATTTATCATTTTATATTTTATTAATGGAAGAATTACTGCTAGTTTATGGAATACTTATTATTTACAAGCACAGTTTTTCTGTATTTTTTTTCTTTTTTGTGCCAGTCCTGGGGCTTGAACTAAGAGCCTAGGCAATGTCCCTGAGTTTCTATTGCTCAAGGCTAGCCTCTACCACTTGAGCCACAGCACCACTTCCAGTTTTTTCTGTTTATGTGGTACTGAGGAATTGAACCTAGGGCTTCATGAAGGGCAAGCACTCTACCACTAAACCACATTCCCAGCCCAGGTTCAGTTTAATGATACTAAACATTTGATACTTTTGTTATTCCTTCTGAATTTTCTCCTTTTCAAATCTGCTAGTTTCACATGATTCTGCCTCTGGTCTTCTCTTCTGACCTCTGGCCTTCTCTTCCGACTTTCTGATTTATTTTCAGGTAATTCCAATGGGGTTCAAAGATGTGTTCACAATACAATAGCACAGACACTGTGTGGTAGGTGCTATTTCATTCATTTTTTTCAAAGACCTCATTACTCCTCAAAATAATTCTGCAATATTAGATGGCTTGTTTTAGTGAGGGTAAACAAACAGTAGAGATCTCATTTAACCACAGGGAGTGCAACACACACTTTTTCCAGTTGGGAAGAAAACAGGTGTTGAAGTCAGACACATCTAGATTAAAATCACAGGTTTAACTACTGGATCCAATACTGGATGGTTATATACCATTTTTAAAAACTTTGTGATGGGGCTGGGAAGGTGGCTCAGTGGTAGAGCACTTGCCTTGCATGCCTGAGGCCCTGGGTTCGATTCCTCAGCACCACATAAGCAAAAAGAAAAAAGCCGGAAGTGGCGCTGTGGCTCAAGTGGTAGAGCGCTAGCCTTGAGCTGAAGAGCTGAGGGACAGCATCCAGGCCCAGAGTTCAGGCCTCAGGACTGGACCAAAAAAAAAAAAAAACTTTGTGATCAATTCTATGTCAAGTAATCAAATTGTCCTCCTTGAGCTAAACCAATTTTCATTTCAATCAACAACATGGAAGCCCTTCTCCTTTCCCTGTACTTTGTCCAGCAGTAAATATTCCCAAGTCAATTTATTCTGGGGACAGGATCTTGCTCAAGTGGGCCTCAAATTCTCCCAAGTGCTGATATTATAGGAACTGGTTAAGGAAAAATGTTATGTGTGTTTTTATTTTAATTTGCATTCCCCAATACCATTAGTAAAATATATATCTCAAATATTATAGGTTTTTAATCTATACTGATTCTTTAGAGGCTTAGCCGTTCTTGCTTTATTGCTCAAGGCTAGCACTATCACTTTGAGCCACAGAGTTACTTCTTATATTTGTCTCTCTACTTTTATATATATGTTTGAAATTATCTATAGTTAAAAAAAACCCAGTACCACAAAAAACAAACAAACAAACAAAAAAAAGGTCCCTTTTTAGTCTTCTGGTAGTGACTAATTACCCAAATACTCTGTCTTTAACAGAAAGGACATATTTGTTCTGTTCTCACTTGCAAGGCAAAGCAGTAGAATGTTATGGACACTGCCTTAAAAGTAGAGGCAGTTTAAGAGCTGTTTTAAAAAATATATAAACAATTACATAGTGGGAGAAAATGTGTTTTTAGGTGTGAAAATATTAACTTAAAAATAGTATATTGAGGGGCTGGGAAGGTGGCTCAGTGGTAATGTTTGCCTTGCATGCCTTGCATGCACGCCCTGGGTTCGATTCCTCAGCACCACATAAGCAAAAAGAAAAAAGCCAGAAGTGACGCTGTGGCTCAAGTGGTAGAGTGCTAGCCTTGAGCTGAAGAGCTGAGGGACAGTGCCCAGGCCCAAAGTTAAGGCCCCATGACCAGACCCCCCACCCCCACCCCCAAAAATAGTATATTGAGGGGCTGAAAAGGTGGCTCAGTGGTAGAGTGCTTGTCTTGCATGCATGAGGCCCAAGGTTTGATTCCTCAGCACCACATAAGCAGAAAAAGCCAGAAGTGGTGTTGTGGTTCAAGTGGTATAACACTAGCCTTGAGCTGAAGAGCTAAGGGACAATGCCCAGGCCCAGAGTTCAAGCCCCATGACAAAAAAAAAAAAGTATATTGACTTAAACTAATGCTTCTGGTTTTCAATTATGACAAAAGAAATTTAATCTCTGATTTAAACAGAAATTGCATAGGCTAACAGGTAATAGTGGATGAGAATATAGTAAAAATTACCCAGGTACCAAAGCTGACAATAAGATTGTAATTTTCCAGACTGAGGAATAGGAAATAATGTTATATAAACAGCAAATTTCCAGTATATTAGAGATAATGAATTTAAAGTGAATGATAAACCCAAATTCTTACCTCTTCTGATCCTTCTTCACCAGAATAATATGTAAAATATTTTCCATAATAAGCTCCTTCTGATTTGAAAACAGATCCATCTCCAGGAAAAATCTCTACTGAGTTCACATTTTCATGAGTAAGCCTTAGGTAAAGAAATAAACATTAGTATGCTTTCTTTTTTAAGTAACATTTTTCCCAAGATTAAAATATATATAAAAGCAGTCTTTTTAAAAGAAGCCTAAACAATTAGACTTTGCTTTTGCCTATTGAGAGAAATAAATTTCATATCTGACTCCAGCTAGCCACATTTTGTGGGGAGGCAAAAGGCAAAAGATAAAACAGAACACCAAAGGGATCTTATCTTCCTGATATCCTCATTACTAATCACAGGGGCTGGTGCATAAATCAAAGCAATGTCTGTCATGTAGAAGTTAAATACAACACTTCCACAATCTGAAAATGAAACTATTCTTTTTAATAAAGAAACTAGTATAATCGATACCTGATGGATGAGATTAAGCCATTCCTAAGAGAAAATTACAAATAACTGGAAGAGCCAGGTAAATCAAGGCAAGTATTGTATGTACTGTATAAAAGCCAAACGAACAAAAAGGCACAATACCTCCATGCCTCTGATCATATAATATTCATCAAAATAAAAATAAGATGATGGGCTGGGAAGGTGACTCAGTGGCAGAGTGCTTGCCTTGCATGCATGAGGCCCTGGGTTCGATTCCTCAGCACCACATAAGCAAAAAAGAAAAAACTGGAAGTGGCGCTGTGGCTCAAGTGGTAAAGCGCTAGCCTTGAGCTGAAGAGCTGAGGGACAGTGCCCAGGCCCAGAGTTCAGGCACCATGACTGGCAAAAAAAAAAAAAAAAAAAATGAAGTAAAATTAATTCTATCATATATGAAAAACATGCTGTCAGAGTGGTAGACCTTCATGGAAAGTGTCCTTTCCCTCACACCACCAAAGGAAAATTTAAGAATGCTTTTTCTAGCATTATTTATGGAAATGAAACTTTCAATTTAGCCAATACTAATTACAGTCACTAAAGATATACTTTTGTTAAGGTGTGAGGATAATTCAATGAAATAATATAGGCACAGTGAAGTGGCTATCTAACTTCTCTATTGCCATACTCAGGAGATAACTGGTGTGATCTGACTAATAACTGATATAGATGGGCTCCAGTGTCTCATGCCTGTAATCTTAGCTACTCAGGAGGCTAAGATCTGAGGATCACAGTTCAAAGTCAGCCTGGGCAGGAAAATCCATGAAACTCTTATCTCTAATAAACTAATCAAAAAAGCTAGATGGGGCTGGGAAGGTGGCTCAGTGGTAGAGTGCTTGTCTTACATGCATGAGACCCAGGGTTTAATTCCTCAGCACCACATTAAGCAGAAAATGCTGGAAGTGACAGCGTGGCTCAAGTGGCAGAGTGCTAGTCTTGAGCTGAAGAACTGAGGGACAGTGCCCAGGCCCAGAATTCAGGCCCCATGATCAAAAAAAAAAAGCCAGAAGTGGCACTGTGGCTCAAGTGTTACAGTGCTAAAAACTTAGGACTAGCACCCAGGCCTTGAGTTCAAGCCCCGGGCCTGGCAAAAAAAAAAAAAAAAGAAAGAAACCCTATTAACCAATATAAACACTACATTCACTAGCAAATTTGATCTATTACTAGCCTTGCAGCTAATTATAAGTCTTGTAAGTATGGCTGTGATTGAATCACAAGGATGGTCTTGAGACAGGTAAAATTAGGACAAAATATAGCACAGTAGGTCTAGAAAAACTGTCCTCTGGTGAGTCTGTCTGTTCCTTCTGATATCCTAAAAGCTCCTATTTCAACACAGGCGCCTTACCTATATGTGATACCCTTATGCCAAACTACTTTCACTAGTTCAGGATAGGAATATTCTTCATCAGTCTGTCTTTGTATAAGTGAACCACAAAAGTTCCACCTATGAAAGATAAAATGTAAGCATTCTAATTACTAAAAACAACTGCCATTAAAAATCAACAAAACGGTGTCAATATAATATTCTTCTTTCTTTTCTTTTTTCTCCATGTTGTGGTATAGGGGATTAAGCTCAGGGCTTCCCACATGGTAGGAAAGTGCTCTATCACTAAGCTACATCTCCAGCCCAAATTATTATTTCTTGCTTAACTCATTAAATCAAAGTGTATTAATTAAATTTAAAAATAAGTCTTATTTTTCCATGTCTTTTTTCGGTGTTTTAATAATCTTATTATTGGACCTCACCATGATCACATAAATCAGACATTACTGTTTTTTTCAAATTTAATCTAAATTCAAATGAAAGCTTTGTCAGATCCATGTTCCAACAAGCTAGGTCATAGGATCTAGTGAGCAGCCATAGTACTTCTGTGATCTCTCTCCAAGAAAATATTCCATAGGCTCCTGTCACATCATATAAGGTACTTTCATAATCCTTTCAAGGACAGTGATCTTCACTAGCTACTATATGCTGCCAGAAAGCAGTATCTTTGATTGCAATCTATGACTGCAAAGTACTTAGTATAGAGTAGCCTCTCCCAAATATGAAGTAAGGAACGTTTAGTAACACCTTTGATAGAGAAATTACTTAAGATAACAAAGATGTAAGTCAATTAAGTGAGCTTTAACTTAATGATTTAGAAAGAGAAGTATGCTTTAGTAGACTGGCCTTCATAAAAGCTTCATTCCCTCATTACCTGTGTAAGTATGGAGATGGGCAACTAAGAAGCAGGGCCCTGGGAAGAACAGAAACTTCTTTTCTTCTTTCTTCTGAAACATCACAAGTTAAAATTCTACTTGCAGTGACATCAGCATCCATTTTAGACATACTGCTAACTTTATTATGAAAATGAAATGCTAAAGACAAAGGGTATCTCCATTCTTCTGGACAGGAGGATACAGACCAGTGCTGTCTTACCCATGTATATATACATGTGTGTTTTCTCTGCAAGGGCAACTCCTCCCCTTCAGTTCCACTTACACAACTTGTTTTTGCTAAAGGTTCTTTGGTTTTTAAGACCTGCCCACAAAGTTCATTTTCTTTATTCTTCAGTCTTTGTTGTGACAAACTTCCATATGCACAGAATTTGCTGGCTTTTTCAACTAGTTTATCTTTGGGGGTTTGATTATTTTCTTCTGACAGTACTACAGATAAGTCTGGCTTCTGGCTAACTTTGCACAAAAAATGTACTGTAAATTCATGCTGAGTTTTGGGTAAGCAAAGGAATGCATGACCATCTAAAGATGTAATTTTCACAGTGCCGCTCTCCAAACATGTCATGTTACCATGTGTATTAAGACTGGGCCATTTTACTTCTGAGATGTCAATGAAGATACGCTAAATTGAGGGGAGAAAAGACATGGTGAAGGTTTTCTGATAACAGTTTATCTTCCACACTTAAATACTGTATAAGAAAGCTCTTAAATATTTGTGTTTTTACTATCTATACAAAAAAACAGTCTGCATATTATTGTTTCTTAGAGAAAAAAATTTGAAACACACAGAATGAAAAAAAGAGAGAAAAGGAAAATATCATCTTGATTACACTGAATTGTTAAACAGTTTTGTTTTAAAGTGTTCAGTGAGTAAGAGTTAAGTGGCTTTTTATCTTGCCCATGTAATTGTAACCCCTCTGTATGGTATTTTCACAATAAAAAAAAAAAAAAAGAAGAGTTAAGTGGCTTTTTAAACCCTTCACCCAAAAGTCTTCTCTAGGGATTGGGAAGGTGGCTCAGTGGTAGAGTGCTTGCCTTGCATGCATGAGGCCCTGGGTTCGATTCCTCAGCATCACAAAAGCAGAAAAAGCTGGAAGTGGCACCATGGCTCAAATGGCAGAGTGCTAGCCTTGAGCTGAAGAGCTGAGGGACAGCACCCAGACCCAGAGTTCAAGCCCCACATCGAACCAAAACAAAATAAAACAAAACAAAACAAAAACAAAGGCCAGCATTGGTGGCTCACACCTGTAATCCTAGCACTCAGGAGTCTGAGCTCTGAGGATTACAGTTCCAAGTCAGCCAGGGCAGGAAAATCCAGGAGACTCTTATCTCCAGTAAAGTACTCAGAAAAACCCGGAAGTGGTGCTATGTGGCTCAAGTGGTAGAGGCTAATGTTGAGTACAAAGAGTCAGTGCTCAGGCCCTGAGTTCAAGCCTGATTTTTTGGGGGGGTGGAAGGGAAGAGGAAGAACAGAAATAACAAGGAAATGTACATTATAAAGTATTTACTATAATAAAAGCAATCAGAGCTTTAAGTAACTTGCAATCAGTATTAAATTTACATCCAGAGTAACTCAGAAAACACAAAAACATTATTCTATCTTAATGCTACATATAACATATGCTTTATAAATATTTCAAAGGAGGAAAGAAAATTACTTATTAAACAGTACTGGAATTATTGAACAGCATTTGAAAAATGTTATCTTGGAGAGTTATCATATGTATGGATTAAAAAATGGCACATATAAGCCGGGTACCAGTGGTTCACACCTGTAATCCTAGCTATTCAGGAAGATAAGATCTGAGGATTTCAGTTCAAAGCCAGAGTCAAGGCAGAAAAGTCTCCCTGAGACTCTTATCTCCAATCAAAAACCAGAAGTGGTGCTGTGGCTCAAATGGTAGAGAGCTAGCCTTGAGCACAAAGAAGCTTAAGGACAGTGCCCAGGCTCTGAGTTCAAGCCCCACAACTGACAAAATTTAAAAATCAAAAACAAAAACCATGGCACATATGAGGGGCCAGGAACGTGGCCTAATGGTAGCGTGCTTGCCTGGTATTCATGAAGCCTCAGTTTGATTCCTTGGTACCACATAAGCAGAAAAAGCCCAAAGTGGCACTGCAGCTCATATGGTAGAGTGCTAGCCTTGAGTAAAAGAAGGTCAGGGACACTGCCAAGACAGTACTGGGCACACTGCTAACTAAAATAAACTCCATGTGTTTTAAAGAGGAACTTAAAACTCAAAGGTCAATTGATCCTAACAACAGACAGATCATAACAAATAATAGTGCCCATGTTGCCTAACATTTGTGTGCGTGGACGCTGAAGACTGAACTCAGGCCTTGGGCATGATAGATAAGTACTCTACCACAGAGTTACAACCTCAGTCCTTGTTTATATGAGAACGGTATTGACATGTAGTGTAGACTAGTCTAGAATTTGTAAATTCACAATGTTCCAGTTTCTACCTCCAGAGTGTTGGGATTACAAGTATGTTCTTGGTCCATAACAGTCCTTTTTATTTATTTTGCCAACAATTTAACATTTCAATTTCCATTTATATAAAACCTTAATTTCACCAAACTACTGTTAAGAGAGCCTATTAAATTTATAGTGCTATATGTCAGGATATTAAAAATAAAATCAGTAATTATTTCATTGAAAACATGGTTTGTAAGGATGGTCAGTTATTAACATTCTCTTTTACACTGTTATTAACATTCTCTTTTAGAGTTACACTAGTGACCCTATTGCAGCATCAGCAATAATGAATAAAGTTGAATGGATAAAGTTACCAAAAAGACACAATAGATTAAAAACTCCTTTATACCAAGTTACAGTTTTGATGTTTTATGGCTCCTTTGCCCATATGGTCTGGATATGAAATGTGCCCCAAAAGGTTCAGGGATTGAAGGTTTGGATCCTAGCTGATAATGCTTTTGAAAAATGAATGGGTCATAAATAATTGAGTAATTAACAGATGAATGGGTTACTGGGAATCAGTTATGACAGGTTGGAGGAAATAAGTAACTACGGATTTACTGTGAAGGGAGTAATTTGTGCCTGGATACACCCAGAGTTCAGGCCCCAGGACCGGACCCAAAACAAAACAAAAGACAGCTATTATTATTTATCAAAGTTCAAAATAAAATATAAACAAATTTTATATCTATATATAATTACATATCCCTCTCCTAATTAAATATCTACTAGTTATATATTAACAAATAATTAAACACAAGTTACTGAAAATGCTCATGTAATTGCCTAATTCTGAGATTTCTGAGAATGAAAAAGCTACCTATCTGAAATCTAATTATAATTCTTTTTTTTAAAAAACAACAGGGGGCTAGGACAGTAGCTCAGTGGTAGAGTACTTGTCTTGCATTCATGAGGCCCTGAGTTTGATTCCTCAGCACCGCATAATCAGAAAAAGCTGGAAGTAGTGCTATGGCTCAAGCGCTAGGGCACTGAGCTGAGGGAAAGCGCCCAGGCTCAGAGTTCAGGCAGGCCGGTGCCCAACTTAAACAAACAAACAAAAAAAAAAACAGCACAGAGGTGAACCATATAACTTCTGTGTACCTTAGTCTGGTAAAATACACAAGTTAATGCTTTCTTTCTTTCTTTCTTTTTTTTTGGGGGGGGAGGGGTGGTCCAGTCATGGGGCCTGAACTCTGGGCCTGGGTGCTGTCCCTCAGCTCTTTAGCTGAAGGCTAGTGCTCTACCACTTGAGCCACAGTGCCACTTCCAGCTTTTTGCTTATGTGGTGCTGAGGAATCGAACCCAGGACCTCATGCATGCAAAGCAAGCACTCTAATACTGAGCCACCTTCCCAGCCCCCAAGTTAATGTTTTCTACACCAAGTATTAACTCTCAAGTTCCCCAAGAGGAAGAGGAGACATGGGGAGAAGGGTAAAAACTAAACCTTAATTAAGCTACATGTTTCCAATCACTTATCTTCAAATAGTACTTATAAAATAATTTTTAATCACCTTTTTTCTTTCAGAAGGTACTATGCTTTCAGATAAAAAAGGGCAAGTTGCTGAAGAGTTCCGAAAATCCAGGGCTCGCTGTAGTTGCTCCTATGAAAAGAAATGTGATCTTAAAAAGGTAAAAGGATTTGAAAATTAGTTTAGAATGACAGCAATCCAGAATACTACTTTTCTTATTCTAAATCATCTCAACAATATCTTAGCATTTAAATCAGTAGTTTGCATGGTATTACTTACTCTGTAAGTGCTAATAACAAAGTGTGTCCGTTGACGAATTCTTTCTGGCTGTTCTAAAGGATGTGCTGAAACAGGAGGTGACTTTTCAAATAAAAACTCAGAGCCACAGGGAGAAAGTTGCAATGTGGAACCATCATCATACTGTACTTGCACAGAATCATCTTCATAAAGTACCATTTGCACTTCAGCTGCCATTACTAGAACAGGGTAAGATGGTCTTCCAAGGCAAAGACTGAAGGAAAGAATACAGATAGTTCTTAATGTACAAGAGCTCCTCAAATTAACCATATCAGGTTAAACAAAGGATATTTTAAAACAAAGGTCATATCATCCTTGACTTAACCTACTAATACCTAACATTTGCACTAAGAAAATCAAACTCCTATCTAGAAGTTATAAAGGCTACACAAACTGACTCTATCTCTCCAAATGTCATTTCCTAACTCCTTCTTAAATCCTCTGTCTACTGTGTTTAGTTGAAGGGGGTTAGTTGGACTAGTTGTTAGTACAAAAATTGGGTGTGATCAGCTCTGTCTCTTTGTTCTGGACACTTTAGTCACAACGGAATTTTCTATGTTCTTTAATCAGATTCGTCCATGGTTTCCCTTATTTGCAATAACTAGTATATGTCTAGGACAAGCAGAAAAGGTTAAAAGCTATGTACATATGACCATATAAGAAGATGCTAAGCGAAATGAACCCCAAGATAGGAACATAAGTGGTTTTATCTTTCTTGCTGTTGTTTTTAATGTATTTATAATATACCATGTGATTTTTTTGTTTCTTTTGTATGTTCTTCCCTGCTGGTATAACCCGTTTTCACTGGATTTGATTCCAGTGCCCTGCATCTTGCATTTACATTTTTGCATATACAATGAGGGGAAGAGAAATAATAAAATGCTGAAATAAGGATACATGTTGACCCACTGTAACACTGAGGTGTACAAGACACTATGCTGAAAAGGAACTTTACAACTTGGGGGGTCTGGGGGGGAGGAGTTGGGGAGGTGGGGAGGGAAGGGACCATAGGGGAAAAACAAAGGAGGAGGTAACAATGCTCAACAGGAAATGTATTCATTATCCTACTCATGTAACTTTAACCCCTCTGTACAGTATTTTTACAATAAATAATATACAAAAAAAACCCAGATCCTTTCTCATCTTTCATAAGTACAGTCACACTTTAGCCATCATTAATAAGAAAGGGTAAAATGTCTTTCCAAAGACTTATGCTCTCTCCATGTCAGTCCCCAAAAGACTTAACTTGACAAACTAAGTTAAATTGCTTCCAATCCAAAAGATTAAAATCTTTTCCCATAGAATTTACCATTATCAAAATTGCTTGCTTTTTGTCTTCTCCAATTGGGATATAAACTCAGAGCAGGAACTTTACCTATCTTACTCACAGATGTGTATCTGAAACCTGAAAGAATTTTCAACAGATTATAAAGGTGCAATAAAGCCGAGCGCATGTGGCTCACTCCTGTAATCCTAGCTACTCAGGAGGCTGAGATCTGAGGATTGAGGTTCAAAGCCAGCCTGGACAGGAAAGTTTGTGAGACTCTTATCTTCAATTAACCACCAGAAACTGTGGCTCAAAGTGGTAGAGCACTAATTTTGAGCAAAAAGAGCTCAGGAACAGCACCCAGGCTCTGAGTTCAAGCCCCATGACTGACATACATAAATGTGCGACACCCGCCATCAAGTGATGAAAGGATATTTCTTTTAAATTATTGCTCCTCTTGAGTTTGCTAATTTAAAGGCATTGCAATGTTATAGTCAATGTTAGCAGCACTGTTTACCTAGATACCCCTCGAACAAGTCTTGTTAACTTAGTTTCTCTTGAATATGGCTGTCTTTACCTCTTCTTCGATCAAATCTGCAATTCCTACAATTGTCTAAGGCCATTCTCTAATTTTCTCTACCTCTAGTACTATAGTCATAGGTCATGTCCCACAACTTGGGCCATACAAACTGCTCTAACTCTTGCTTACATACTTGTTAACTAGCAATAACTATTCAATACTGGTGGCAATAATTCTTGGGAATAAACGGCAATATACCTATATGACACACACACATCGACCTGGTATTTCAAGAGCAACGTTCCTGTGCGTACTTGGTACGGTTCGCCCCGGAAGGCCCGCGTCCGCGGTGGCTCTCCCCACAGCCCGCCGCGGTGGGCCGGGGCCCCGCCGCCGGGCAGCTCCACAGAGGCCTAGCGAGCCGCAGCGCGGAGCCAGGCAAACCGACAGCCCGAGTGTAGATCTGCCGGAAAATCCTGCTCCAGGGTTACTTCTTGAACTTGCCAAATGAGTCAAGTGCGACCGCAGAGGAACGCAGGAGCCGGACGCGCAGACAAGGCCGACAGAGGCAGCTCAAACTTCCCGGGTCACGGAGGCAGCGGCCTTACGTCTCCGGAAAACGAAGCCCCGGAAGTCCCGCCCTGGCCCCGCCCCGCCCTGGCCCCGCCCCTCCGTGCCTGGCCACGCCCCTCCGCGCCTGGCCGTGGAAGAGTCCGGAAGTGGAACAGAGTAGACCCTGGTCTCTTCCTGGTTCCGAGTGTTCGTTCCAGTGCCCCTTGGGAAAAGGTGGAACCGGGTTAATCACTTTTGGTGAAAACCGGTCTTTTGATAACTGTCGGGCACAAACCCCGGGGGTGGATTTTGGCCGAGTGATGTTTAAACAAACCAAACAACAGCTGTACTTCAGCGAGCTTTTTTCCCTCCAAATGGCCAGTAATAGAGGCCTCTTCCTAAGGTGGTGCCAGAAACTGTCTACTAACAGTACTAATGTGTTACCACTGAACAATGCTTTACAGGTAACTTATGGGCAAAGTACGTTGGGATGAAGCAAGGTAGGAAGACACTCCCTGGGGGGTGAAGATGGGAGCTATGGAGTAACTGTGTTAAGACTTTCGTCACAGTTTATAGTAAGAGTTCTTAAGATAAAATATAGAAATGTGTGGGAGCATATAGCAGGCAGACTGAGAAAATATTTCCACTGAAATCTGACGTTAGAAGTGGGTGTTAGCCAGGGTTCAGGCCTCTGTTGGGCTCTGAGATCCAAGGAAAAGATGTTTTCCTTCATTGGGCTTGAAAGAGGCCTGAAGGGGGTGAGAAGCCTGGAGTGTGGATCAATTGTGTCAGGGGCCAGATCATTTTAGACGAATTATGGACTTAACCCATATTTTCTGATACCAAATAAGAAAAGAGATGAAGTCTCTGTGTGGCCAAGTGTTTCGTTACTGTTTTAACAGTTAAAAAAAAGTATACTTGTTTATTATAGGTGATAGTAGCAAGGGATAGGAAGACAGACATCTAAAGCTCAATTCAACTTCATTTCAAAAGAAAAAGAAAGCCTGGCTGGGGATGTGGTTTAATGTAGTATGCTTGCCTACCATGTATGAAGTCCTGGGTTCGATTCCTCAGTATCACATAAACAAATGTCTCAAGTGGTAGAGCGGTAGTTGAGCTCAGGGACAGTGCCCAGGCCCTGAGTTCAAGCCCCAGGACTGTCAAAACAAAAACAAAAGGCTGAAAATTGGTGTCAATTATACATAAAGTGTAAAGACATCCCTAGACAACCATATTCTCTTTTAACTGAGACATATTCGTACTATACAGTGCTTAGTTCTATTCTGCCTCCACTTTCCCTCTTCTACTATCTAAGAACTTCATAAGTTCTACTACAGTTCTACCACAGAGGGATTTTGTGATACTATTTGTAGTTTTGAATGATTCCTGAAACTGTTGAATGGAATGTAGATCTCAAGAGCAGATATGGAGCATTCATTTGGCTTTCCAGTGATCAGGAAGAAAATAGCAGCTGGAACTCAGGACTCTCACCAGTGAGGAAAGAGCACAGCCCCAAGAAGTAATGAGGAGCACAACTATTCTTGGGGATTATTAAACCTGGACCTAAAGTGAGTTTAAAATGCCAGTTTCTGGTTGGGGCAAGTTGAAAGGTGGCAGTGTACTGAGGAGTACAGAGGATGTAATGTACACTTAAATTTTTAAGTCCACCTAGTGGAAATGGGTAATAAAAATCTGGATTCAAGCTGGGCACTGGTGGCTCACACGTGTAATCCTACTCAGGAAGGCTGAGGTCTGAGGACTACAGTTCAAAGCTGGCCTGCCAGGAAAAGTCTGTGAAACTCATCTCCAATTAATCACAGAAAAAAAAAACAGAAATGGAGCTGTAACTCAAGTGATGAGTGCTAGCCTTGAGCAAAAGGAGCTTAAAGACAGTGTCCAGGCCCAGGACCGGCAAAAAAAAAATAAAATCTGGAATCAAGAGATTGAAGTAAGCCTGGAGTTTACTGATTGTGATTTGCTAACTGAAGTTTCAGGATTCTGAAAAGTCTTAGAATGGTGTGATGTTCGGAAATTGCAATGTTTAGGACTGAGCCTGGAAAGGAACAGTACTTACAGATTAGGGAAAGAAAGAGAATCCACAAAAGCATTGAAGAGGAACAGCACACAAAAAAAGCCACTGCTTGTGTCCTGTATACCTAGGTTTAAGTTTTGTTGTCACATATTGCTAGAGGACAAGCTGACAAAAATCAATCCCCTACTGGATTTACTGCGCTGACATATAGAGGTCAGTAATGAATCTAGTGAGAGTATGTATATAATACAGAAGTCACAATGGATTTGAAAAGCAAATAAAGAAATGTGGAAAATAGAGTAACATTTGAGAGGTCTGCCTATGAAACAGATATAGGATGGTAATTAAGGAGAAATATGGGAGCCAGAATCCATTTGATGAGAATAGCATGTTCATCAGGTAATACTAAGAGCCAGATTTTAAAAAATGCAAACACCAAATAAAAGTTCATGAACAAGTTAGAGGAGAGGGATCTAGCACAAACTGAATTACTGGTCTTAATAGAAGCAATGGCTCCTACACAAGAGACAAATACAGATGTATTTGTGCACGTGTCTGGCTTTTAATTTTCCTGTGAAGCAATCAGGTGATGATGGGGTTGATAGAGTGAGAGTATAAAGCAATTAGAAAAGGACTGAATAGAGAAATATGATTGCTGGCGGTGTTGAGTGCTTAATTCAAGGTAATTGTGAATCTTCAGTGGTACAAACCTATGCAGATACATGATTTTGGCTGTTAGGATCCAATAGTAGTGGGCTCACCAAGGTTGATATCTGCCAGGCTGACACCCAGGCAGCAGCATATGAGCTTACATTATTGACATCTGCTGAAGTCTGGTCAACCCAAGACCACCCTGCGCAAGCCTATCATCTGGCAAAATCATCTATAGACTTGCAAACAAAAAGCACACACCAAGAGAACTGGATTATGGTACACTCTACAAAGAACTTGGGGAGAGAATCTTTTATCAGGTTTTAGTTCCTGCTCAAGGATTCCCAAGAAGTTCTAAAGTGACCACTTCTGAGTGGAATGCTGTTCCTGTAACAAGACTTTAAAAAAGGTGCTGCTTTGCACTGTTCACAATAGCTAGGATATGGAAACAACCCAGATGTCCCACCACAGATGAATGGATCCAAAAATTGTGGTATCTATAGACAATGGAATATTATGCAGCCATTAGAAATGACAAAATAATGACATTTGCAGGGAAATGGATGGAGCTAGAAGAAATCATGTTGAACAAGGTAAGCCAAGAGCAAAGAGACAAACGGTACATGGTCTCCCTGATAAGTAGATGTTAAATCCAAAATGTTAGGTGATAAGACAAAATTAATAGGACTTAAGAAACAAAGAACTTTCACTCATCTGGTTGAACCATTACTAAATAACCACATGCTGCTGATCACTTGTATGGTATATATGTGTACACCAAGAAGACGACACAGAACTAGAGGGAATCAGGGAAAAACATACAACAGCAGGACCCATTAGCTGCACAGGACATTGATCAAAATGAACTAAGCAACTTAATGGCAGCGATGGGAGGGAGGGAACAAATGGGAAAGAGGGAACAGCTGATGCAAAACAAATGAAATGTACATACCACCCAATGTGGAAGAAATAACTATCGCAAAGCTCATAGAACTCATAAATGTTATAGACTGTGATAGATAATTTGCTCCAGGAAAGTTAAAATGTGTTTGTGACTTTAACTGAACATCACTATCCCACAATACTGTGAAATTTGGGAAATTATGTAATCACTTAATCACAATTTTTAAAAAAAGGTGCTGCTTTGAGTCAAGGCAGTTTAAGGTATTCCCAGTAATGAATAGAGGCAATTCTGAAGTGTCACTGGTAATGAAGCAGTTGATTTCACAAATTGGGACAATGATGGCATTTCAGATATTAAACTTTGCAAGAAAATGACTCCTGGACTTTGTAGCCAGCTCGACTGTCCTGATATTGAGATGCTTTTTCCTTTAAATTTAAGCTTTCAGTCATCAACATTTTTACTTTTGTACCAAAGAGTTTCCTCTCGCTAAATTGATTAAAAAAAAAAAAGTCCAACTTAACTCATTCATCTGTCCCTCTTACATATAGAATTTAAGAAAGTATAGAGTTAGCATTTTATTTTTTGTTGGTCATAGAACTTGGAACTCAGGGCCTATGCACTGTCCCTGAGCTCTTTTGGGTCAAGGCTAGCGCTCTACCTCTTTGAACCAGAGCACCACTACCGGATTTCTGGTGATTAACTAAAGAATCTCATTAACTTTTCTGTCCTGTCTCTCACTTTGAAGTGCAATCCCCTTACCTCCTGAGTACCTAGGATTACAGGTGTGAGCCACCAATTCCCACCTACCATTATTTTTTCTCAATTTCATGACCTTCCTGTGTTTTAGACCAAATGACCTAAATAAAGCCCTTGAAGTTCTTTTTTTTTTGTTTTGTTTTTGGGTCCGGTTGGGGGGCCTGAACTCTGGGCCTGGGCGCTGTCCCTCAGCTCTTCAGCTCAAGGCTAGCGCTCTACCACTTGAGCCACAGCACCACTTCCGGCTTTTTTCTTTTTGCTTATGTGGTGCTGAGGAATCGAACCCAGGGCCTCAGGCATGCAAGGCAAGCGCTCTACCACTGAGCCACCTTCCCAGCCCCAAGCCCTTGAAGTTCTAACACACTCTTTTTGAGTTAACCCTAATACTTCCCTTAGGAATATGTATTCCACCGTGCCACAAACCCAGTATGTTGAGGTTTCGGTTGGATGCCTGGTAGATTTTGGCTGGAAGGGACTGACAGAGACAGCATCTGAGCTGATGGCATGACTGCCAAGACCAGTATTTGTACTTTGTTGCCAGAATACATGTGGTACTTACTGGCACTCATCCTTGCTCACTGGAGACTTGTATTACCAATTCCTACAAGACATAGCTGGCTTCTGGTGGCTCACACTTGTAATCCTACTCAGGTGGCTGAAATCTGAAAATTGCAGTTTGAAGCCAGTCCAGGAATGAAACTATTTCCAATTAATCAGCAAGAAGCTACAAGTGGAGTTATGGCTGGAGTGGTAGAGCACCAGAACTGAATACAAAAAAATAATGGATACTGTCCTGGCCCAGAATTCAAGCCCCAGTACCAGCATCAAAATAAATAAATATTAAAATAAAATTTATCCAGTTGTCCATAGCTCACACCTGTAATCCTCATACTTGTAATCCTACTCCGGAGGCTGAGATGTGAGGATCACTGAACAGTGATAGTAGGTAGTCTGGCAGGAAATTCCATGAGACTATCTCCAATAAACTCAAAAAAAAAAAAGCTAGAAGTGGTGCTGTGGCTCAAGTGGTAGAGTGCTAGCTTTGAGCAGAGAGAGGTTGAAAGAAAGACAGACCCTGGCCCTGAGTTCAAGCCCCAGGACTAGCAAAAACAAAAAATTCACACTTGCTCATGTTGAAGATATATATGGTAATTCTAAAGGCTAACAACCGTGACAAAAGGCTGACTCTTCACTTTGTAGTTATGATTTAAGAATATATATTTCTTAATTAATACAGCTTTAGTTACTGAGAACCAAGGAAATAATGAAGTAATGTAACAGAACTTCTGAATACAATTTCTTCTTGGGTATTTCGGATACCTGACCCGAGAATACAGCCAACATGCTGACAGAAGTCCAAGAGATAGGCAATAGAAGTGTCAAATGTAGATGGTTCTGGTCCACAGCTGCCTCAGGTCACCTCAGTCACTTCAACAGCCCTATGAGATGACTCCAGATGACCATAGCTCCCAGCTGCTCAAGCTGTCCCCATCCTTTAATTTTCCCAGCTAAGGTGATTTTAGTTTTTATTTTCTCCAGTCCTAAGAATGGAATCTGGGGCTATGCACATGCCACAGTCCCAGTCCTGGGTGGGTTTTTTTTTTTTTTTTTGTAAGCTGAAGTGATTATCTAGAATATATACTGACTTGTTGGGAGCTACTTTTTTCTGGAAGTAGTTAGCACCAATGACCTAGTGACAAATACTGAATGCTAAATATAGAGCAACTACTAGTCTAAAGCATATGGAGTTAGCATTTCTTAGTACACATCTAATATAAGGACTGTTATTAGCATAATTTGTAGTTATGCTAATAGCTTATGTTGTTTCAGGACCCATTTTGAAAAAAATATTCTAACTATTCTAACTTCTAAAACCTCCAATAACATACTCCCAGGTTACAATGTCATTTATTTACTCTTTTTCCTGGGTAGATTTATTTGCTACTGAAGTAAACATTTATTCAGTAAGCCTAGTGTTGCCTATCCTATAGTTTCTCTGAATTTAAACATTCAAATAAATTCATTTCATACAAAGTTCAACAATAATTCTTTAAAACACCAGAATACCACTTAAAAACTTAAGAGGAAAGAAAACTACTGTTTTATTTTCAAAATCTATTTTAATTCAGACTGAACAAACAAGCAGAAAACTGAGAAAGCTAACAGCATTAGCAGACACATGTACCAGATGTAAAATAATGGGTTATTAACAGAACTATTTACATGCATATTTACAAGCAACCCTTTTATACATGTTTTATTTTTAAGTTAGTTGGAAAAAGATTTGACATTAGGTAAAAATATTACTTACATAGGGCTGAGGTGGTACCACATTATAGTAAAAGTATTAGAAAAGACATCCTCAAGGTGTATCAATTATAAAGCAGATGAAAACTTGAATGGACAAGTATCTAGTAAAATTCTCTAGTAAAAAAGTTAATGCAACCCATGCTACAAAATAAAAAATGAGAAAGCCATATAAATAAAGCAGATAACATTCTAAGGCTGAGGATCATGAAGTTAGTCAGGTGAAACAAACAATGATTCTTGAATTGGAATAAGTCTTCAGCAAAGTCTTGGTTGTTTGGGTGGGAGTTCTAAGTTCTCCACCTCCCCTCCCTATATTTAGGACATTTCAAAAGCCCTTGGTATTAATTAACATCTATATCAGTAAATCAGTTGTTGATATATTCCAAGACTTTACGGCTAAAGGTATTCATGATTGTGATTAGTATTTGAAATTCCATTTATTGAGACACAAATGTCAAACTAAAAAGCTGTAAGTCATATCTAAAAAAGAATGCTACATTTTCACAGTAATATGTACTTCCAGGCTAAGACTTTTTCTCTCAAGGAAAGGAGAATTTAAAGGATAAGCATCTAACCCAGCTAGCAAAATTTACTTTCAACATTTCCTTTATTTCAAAATCGATTTTATTGCAGCCAAAACAGTGGAATTAACTGTACATAATAAACTATTTTATATATATACACATTTTAAGTTATAGGGAATAAAGTTTATTTTGGCAGATGGTGTTAAACAAAATTAAAGTTGCATACATTAGTAACATAACTCAACATCCTTAATTTGGTATAAGTGTAACATATTTTCTTGCTTTCCTGTGTTCTGCTAAATCACCATACCTAAACTTTTATAAAACTGATATGCTGAAATTTAACTTTACTGTTTTCGCTTACGCTCTGATTCCAAACAAAACTTTTCATAAGCTTCTTCAATTTCTGGGTCCATCTCATCATCAATATCATCCAAATATCTACAAAACAAACCAAATATGAATGAGTTTAATGTTTTTCAATTGAGAAACTGCCTTAAGGTGTTTAGCTATATACATATAGACATGGTACAATTTTGTGACATTCCTTTGACTTAACTATAGTAAACAGAAGGCTAATTCTAGAAGAATGTAAGAGGCAGTCCTCTGAAAACCAAATATTTGAATTGTCGGAGGAGTCTGTTACTAATCGAAGATTTGACATATATGTATACTTGGACCTGAAGATTGATTTATCATAAATTTGAACCTTCCCAATAAACAATTACACTGTAACTAGATCATAATTTCAGACATACCATTTTCCTCTGGTGAAATCATTTCTCCATTTACTATTTCATTATTAATTTATGCCTTTTATGCCTAGGGTTCCTTAACATCAGAAAGTGTAATCCTGCTATGATTTCTGCTAGAACACTGCCATAATAACAGGTGTTACTGTTTTCTGTTTTGTTTTATTGGGGGTGGGGGGAGGAGGAGTCCTGGGGCTTGAACAGGGCCCCAGCGCTGCCCCTGAGCCTCTTTATGCTCAAGGCTAACATTCAACCACTCGAGCCACAGTGCCATTTCCAGTTTTTGAGTGGTTAATTGGAGATATGAGTCTCATGGGGACTTTTCTGCCTGGGCTGGCTTTTATCCCAGGTTATTTTTCCTTAACTATTAAGTTTAAAATGACAGAAAGGGGGCTGGGAAGGTGGCTCAGTGGTAGAGCACTTGTCTTGCATGCTTGAGGCCCTGGGTTCAATTCCTCAGCACCACATAAGAAAAAAGCCGGAAGTGGTGCTGTGACTCAAGTGGTAGAGTGCTAGCCTTGAGCTGAAGAGCTGAGGGACAGCGCCCAGACCCAGAGTTCAGGCCCCACAACCGGACCCAAAAACAAAACAAAAATAAAATAAAATGACAGAAAGTGTCAGGTATGGTATTGCACATCTGAAATTCTAGCACTAAAATAGAAAGAGGAAGATACTGAATTTGAGACCCCATCTCCAAAAAAGAAAAGCTTTCCTTGCTTAATTACATATGAGAGATATAAAAAGAGCCACTTAAAAATTTAATATATACACTTTGTTTTTGGATTCAGTGTCTTGCTTTGTAATCCAAGCTAGTCTTAAAACGTATAGAGAATATCCTTAGTGCTGGGATTACAGACATGCCCCACACCTGTGAATATATACATTCTTACTGAATTGCAATAGCCATATTTAAAAAGATGAACAGTACTATTATCTTAATTAAATTTTGTTAAAAAGAGATAGTGAGTTTTAATCAATACATAAAATTTTATCCAAGAAAGAGGCAGGGCTAGAATTTTCTGCATTTTCCCTGGTGACATGATGCTGTCTACCCGTCCTTCCACTCTTACCCGGCAATAATCCACCTACAAATGTGACAAATATTTTCCTAATCCCATCATATGCTGATGCATCTTTTCTTTCCAGTTCTTCCCCATTTCCTGCAGGTGTGTTGAATCATGAGCTCATTAAAAAGAATATTTGAATTGAAAATTAAGAAAATAATCAAGTTCAGGGCCAAAAATGACTATTTTTAACCACCAGTGGTATATACAACAGAATTAAGCCTTCTTCCTAGCTCTTCAAATCCTTAGTTTTATTTCTTGTTTGCTTTTGTGAAGCCAGTATATGATAGTATGACAATGTTGTATTTTGAAATCGTAATCTGACCATATTTAGGTGTCCACTTAAGATTCCATAATTGGTATCACTTTCTACTTGGGAGGTGGAGATAAGAGGATTGCAGCTCCAGGCCAGAACACATACCTCCCCCTCCGAAAAATTTATAAGATCCCCATCTCAAAGATCAAGACAGTCATGATGGTTCATACTGTAACCTCAGCTAGATGGGAGGTGTCGGTAGGAAGACCAAAGATAGGAAGACCAAATGTAGGAAGGCCAACCCAGGCAAAAAAGCACAGGACCCTACTGAAAAAGAGCTAAAGCAAAAAGGGCTTAGAGGTATGGTTCAAGCGGCACAGCACTTGTATACAAAGCACAAGGATCTAAATTCAAGCCCTAAGTACGGCCAAGCACGTAATAAAATTCTGCATATAAAAATTGGCTACAGAAATTTTACAAAGAAAATTAGTAACAAAAAGAACTTACGGCTCACCAGCCCCTGATAAATCAGTTCCATTTTCTTCATAATCTGGAAAAAAGGCTTCTCTTTCAAGTAACTCTTGATATTTCTCTTGGTAATCTATAAAACAACATAGAAAAAAAATACTTAAAAGACCATATGAAAGGACTAGATTTTGTCCCTAATTCTTCATATTACAACTACTCATTTAAGTAGACTAAATAAATGTTTATATAAATAGCACTAACTTCTAAATATACAAAACAATTTTCATAGAACATCTTATATCCTATTATCTTGCCTCTTTCCCCCTGCATGCTAATAATCTTAAATAATTATATACAATACAAATGTAACTTGGAAATCAAAGCTACTATTAAATCTAACATGTATTCCACAGAAAACATGTATGTTGTCTACATTCTCTATGTGGCTTTCCATCAGATAAAAAAACTCATTTACAATTGTTGGGGAGGAACACTCCCTTCCATATTCCATTTCTTCCCCCTATTAGCAAGATTTTAATCATATGATCTAAACTTCTTCCTATTACTCTTCTATAAGTAGGCAAACTAAGCTTTCTAGGTAGCAGGCTAACCTGTCAAAAGTTCAGTTTTTGTTTTTTGGGTCCGGTTGTGGGGCCTGAACTCTGGGCCTGGGCGCTGTCCCTCAGCTCTTCAGCTCAAGGCTAGCACTCTACCACTTGAGCCACAGCGCCACTTCTGGCTTTTTCTTTTTGCTTAGGTGGTGCTGAGGAATCGACCCAGGGCCTCAGGCATGCAAGGGAAGCGCTCTACCACTGAACCACCTTCCCAGTCCTATGTCAAAAGTTCTGATACAATTCCTTTCTTTCCCTTTTTATAAAAGGAAAGCTACCCAACAAATGTTTTAGGTCTTCCAACTTTCCCTGCATTCAGTTTATAAGGTAACACAGGTGATATAACTCTGCCTGCCAATTGTTGTAGGCAGTTTTTTTTTTTCAAATTAGCATGTCTATATACAATACAAAATCCTTATCTCTGAGTAATGGACCAATGACTACTTGTAATTAGTTGGTTATAAACAAAAGTTGCCTCAAATTTTCAAAGGAAAATTTAAGTACTAGATAAAGACTATGTTTTTCTAAAACTGTTTCTATAAAACTCTTAACTCAGCTTTAAAAGAGAGCTTTTAAGCTTTTAACCTTTCTGTTATAAACAACCTGAGGTACTAAGAAAGACTTTTTTTTTTTTACTGTATGGACAAGCACATCATGAGATGATAAATTAAAAAGAACTAGAAACTATCCATACTGCAACTGGAAGACTGGCAAGATGTTGGTTTTAGTAACCAAGAGACACATGGAGACAACATGTGAGAAACAGGAACAGTAGGTAGAATTAAATGAGTACATATGGAAATTAAATAAGCATACACTAAATGATGACTAAGAGGATTTGATACTTAAAAAATGTTCAAGGTAATTTGAATAAAATACAAATAAAACTCATAAAAAATAGAAACTAGAAATAATAGGATAAACACATTAGACAAAAGTAACAAAATAAACTGAGGTAATTTTCAGGACTAAGTAGAGGGAAGATCTGTTGATTTCAAGACAGTTTTGCATTATGTTGCCCAGGCTGGTCTCAAATGACTCTCCAACCACAGCAGTAGCTAGGATAATATGCACTATGACACAAAAAGAAGCCAGATGATTTATCTTACTCAATATCAGAGATTTGTAGCAATAAGAATAATTAAGAGGGAGGTATTTGTGTAAAGAGGCCAACTGACTAACAGAAAAATCAACATGAAAACAGTACACTGTACACAATAATAAGTAAAAGATGAATACTTAGAAGACAATGGAAAAAATATTTATTTTCAACTATTATTCCATATATAAAAATTGGCCAGGTGGATTTAAGACTTAGCTATGAAAAGCAACAAAGCTTTTTAAAAGAAAATGGAATTTGAGAGTGGATAAAGTAAAACAAAAGCACAAACAAGACTAATAAATTTTGTTTGTGTCAAAGCTCAAATTTCTTTTTTTTTTTTTTTTGTCGGTCGTGGGGCTTGAACTCTGGGCCTGGGCGCTGTCCCTCAGCTCTTCAGCTCAAGGCGAGCACTCTACCACTTGAGCTACAGCGCCACTTCTGGTTTTCTGGTGGTTTATTGGAGATAGGAGTCTCACGGTCTTTCCTGCCCAGGCTGGCTTTGAACCGCGATCCTCAGATCTCAGCCTCCTGAGTAGCTAGGATTACAGGCGTGAGCCACCAGCGCCCGGCCAAAAAGTCATTCTTTTTTTTTTTGGGTCCGGTCGTGGGGCCTGAACTCTGGGCCTGGGCGCTGTCCCTCAGCTCTTCAGCTCAAGGCTAGCGCTCTACCACTTGAGCCACAGCGCCACTGCCGGCTTTTTTCTTTTTGCTTATGTGGTGGTGAGGAATCAAACCCAGGGCCTCAGGCATGCAAGGCAAGCGCTCTACCACTGAGCCACCTTCCCAACCCCAAAGCTCAAATTTCTAAATGAGACATAATGAACAAAATGTAAAGGCAGTAATTTACTGAGAACAGATAATGAAATTCTCAGCTGATCAAGATTATTTTTTTCTATATTAAGTATTATATTACAAAGTAGCGAGGCAATCCAATAGAGTGTTATAGGCAAAGGCTTTAAATAGGCATTTCCCAAAGGAGGAGATCAAAATGTCAACAGAAGCAGAAAACAAAATTCACCATCATTAGTCAGAAAAATAAAAATTTCATATAATGGGACTGACAAAACCCAGTGTTATAACAAGTTTGCCAAGGGCAAAGAGAAATAAGTCTGGTAAATCACGCTGGAAGGCCATTTAGGAATTTAGGAAAGTAATTTAGGAAAATTTAGTGAAGATGAAGATGCTCAGAGCCAGTAACTTAATTCTAATCCCTTTAAAGAGACTCATCTATACTAGAGACACATGGTAGTCAATACCCTGCTCAAGTGGCAAAAAGCCCAATGGGAAGCTGGCTACAGTTTGTACTAAAGAATTTCTCTTGTTCATCCTGTAGTTCCAAGCACTATAATTAAAACAATCTGTATGACACAAGGGGGAGGGGTAAGCTCAGATTTAAATTTTGAGTCACCAAGTACTAATTCAATCGGTAATTCTTAGTGTCTACAAGTATTAATTCATACCCTTCTGGATGAATTAGAACCATCTATCTCTTCCATTCTAGACACTGGAAAACTGAAGAATCCATAATCAAAATATAAAAAAGAAATACAAATATTATGGCTGCATTTGAGGAATTCTAATCCTTATAAGAAATAGCGTAAAAGATATTCTACTTAAGATAAACCTTTATCCTAGTATTTCAGAATGCAGTGAAGACATAAAAGTGCTATAACTCTGTACTGATGAGCAGTAGTTTCATGTGAAGGTTATTACTAGAAATTATGTGTGGAGATGGGGGACAACTGAGAACATACCTGGATCAGCTGCAGTGAAAGGAACACCATCAGAGGTATAAAATGTTGGTTCATTCTAGGATGAATCAAAGTGATAAAAGTATTTAATTATTTAAAAATGATGTAGAATTAGTATAGTATGGTTGATGTCATTCATTTGCATACCTGACAGTGCATGAATAAGCAAAAAACAAAAAACAAAACAGAAAAAAGAACTCTCAAACTTCTGGGAACCACTCTCTTTTATTGGAATAATTTATGCTTTTCAGATCTCCATTCTTTATCTCACCTTCACAGAGTTTTAACCTTACCGTCTATTGACTGTTATATTCCTGGTGAATCATGATTTAACATTAGGAAGTATTTTGCTATTTTCTTCCTTTCTACCATTTCCTTTTCTTTTGGTTTTACTGGAGTTTGAACTCAGAGGTTCATGCTTGCTAGGCAGGTGGTCTACTACTTGAGCCAGGCATGCTTCCAGTTCTTTCCTTTTGTTCCAGTTATTTTTTTTATTTTTTAATTGAAATCATTTTATTTGGTAATGGTTCATTTACATTAACTATATTGTTATTGAATATCTAACTTTCTTTTTATTTTTTATTTATTTTTTTTAATTTTTTTTTTTTTTGGGGGTCTGGTCATGGGGTCTGAACTCTAGGCCTGGGTGCTGTCCCCCTCAGCTCTTCAGCTCAAGGCGAGCGCTCTACCACTTGAGCCACAGTGCCACTTCCGGCTTTTTTCTTTTTGCTTATGTGGTGCTGAGGAATCGAACCCAGGGCCTCTGGCATGCAAGGCAAGTGCTCTACCACTGAGCCACCTTCCCAGCCCCTAACTTTCTTTTTATTGTGAAAATACAGAGTAACGGGTTACAATTACATGAGCAAGGTAATGAGTACATTTCTTATCAAGCATTGTAGCCTCCTCCTTTGTTTCCCCTTCCCATCCCTTCCATCCTCCCCCCCCTCCCCCCGTCTTTCTACCTAATCCTCCCCGCCCCCCCCACCCTTGTTCCAGTTATTTTTTAAATAGTGTCTCACTTTTGCCTGGGCCAGCCTGAATCATTTTCCTCTTAGATATGCTTCTACCATAGATGCATGGTGGAAATCCATGCACCACCATGCCCAGCCTTTTCTGTTGAGACTGGGGTTTCACACACATTTTTGCACAGGCTGGAACCACAATCCTCCTAATCTCAGTCTCCTAAGTAGTTAGGATTATAGGCATAAGGATTATATATATAAGATTATAGGCATCTGACTTATCTATCATTTCTTGAAGAACTTCTATGACCATAACTTCTTGGAAGTTGTAGAAGAATTTCTCCATAACTGCTTTATGTCTGATCAGAATCTTTGGGGAACCACTGGCATGGTAATCATTTATTTTTCTACTCTATATAATACAAAGTTAAATCTGAGACACAGAACTTTGGCATGAATTCTCTTTTTGCTTATGTGGTGCTGAGGAATCGAACCTAGGGCCTCAGGCATGCAAGGCAAGCGCTCTACCACTGATCCACCTTCCCAGCCCTGGCATGAATTCTCTAAAAATCTTCATCTTGCATCTCTATGCTGACTCAAGCCAAAGCCTTATTGTTCTCCCATCAGATGGGCCTTTCTCTAGTCAAGCCTTTCGTTGAAAGTTCTCTTCTCTTTATATGCCCCTACTTTGCTGCTTCCTATGCTATATTAAGTCAATGAAAGTGTTTCTGTGCAATGAGTTACAGAATAGCTTTAAGTAACTCAACTGATTTCCAAAAGTGACTCTAGGCATATACAAAACTTAAAATATAAAAACTGAGCTCATGCCTGTAATCCTAGCTACTCAGAAGGCTGAGATCTGAGGATCACGGTTCAAAGCCAGCCCCGGCAGGAAAGTCCGTGAGACTCTTATCTCCAATAAACCACCAGAAAACCAGAAGTTTCGCTGTGGCTCAAGCGGTAGAGTGCTCGCTTTGAGCTGAAGAGCGCAGGGAAAGCACCCAAGCCCAGAGTTCAAGTCCCATGACTGACAAAAAAAAAAGAAAATGAGCCGGGCGCTGGTGGCTCACGCCTGTAATCCTAGCTACTCAGGAGGCTGAGATCTGAGGATCGAGGTTCAAAGCCAGCCCGGGCAGGAGAGACTGTGAGACTCCTATCTCCAATAAACCACCAGAAAACCGGAAGTGGCGCTGTAGCTCAAGTGGTAGAGCGCTTGCCTTGAGCTGAAGAGCTGAGGGACAGAGCCCAGGCCCAGAGTTCAAGTCCCACGACCGACAAAAAAAAAATAAAAATAAAAAAAAAAGAAAATGAAAAAAACAAAGAAAGAAAAACTGGCATACCATAAAGTAATTAGGATCATTTTCAGGTGTTGCTTCTCTGTATGTTGAAGTTGCATGGACTCTGCCCCAGTTACTAGATCGGAGTTCTACAAGCTTCAAGAGCATCTGTTTTACATCTCTGTAGACAAAAGTAAAATAATGAATTAATATAACAATAATGAATTAATATTTCAAGCTCTAAAGTACTTTATACACTCAAAAATCCTTATCTCCTACCGGGCGCCAGTAGTTCACGCCTGTAATCCTAGCTACTCAGGAGGCTGAGATCTGAGGATCGTGGTTCAAAGCCAGCCCGGACAGGAAAGTTTGTGAGACTCTTACCTCCAATTAACTACCAGAAAACCAGAAGTGGCACCGTGGCTCAAGTGGAAGAGCATTGGCCTTGAGCTAAAGAGCTCAGGGACAGCACCCAGGCTGAGTTCAAGCCCCATGACCAACAACAACAACAAAAAACCCCACAAAACTTTATCTCCTAAACTTAACAAATTTAGCTAGACATTGACAAATGAAATAAACTCACTTTTTTGGGTGGTGGGGAGGACAGCAGTAGGGTTTGAACTTGGGGTTCAGTGGTTCTACCACTGAAGCCATGCCTCCAGATCTGCTTTTTGATGTTTTTTTTTTTTTTGGCACTGACCCTTAGCTCTTCAGCTCAAGGCTAGCATTCTACCACTTGAGCCACAGCACCACTTCCAGCTTTTCTGTTATGTGGTGCTGAGGAATCGAACCCAGGGCCTCGTGCATGCAAGGCAAGCACTTCCCAACCCTTTGATGGTTATTTTTTAAACGTGTCTTGCATTGTGCCTAGGAGCACTCCTGAACTTTGATCTGCCTATTTTTAGGCTTCTTGTCACTTCAGGGATAACAGAAATATGCCACCACATTCAGTTTCCTTCACTTTAGATGGAATCTCTAGGACTTTTTTACCTGGCTATCATGGAATGGGGAAACTTCCATTCTCAGTCTACCAGGTAGCAAGGATTACAGGTAAAGTCAGCAGTATCCAGCTAGTTATTACTTTTTAAATAAAGCTTTGAAGTTTGTTCTGTATAACTGACTGCATGGTCCTTAAAGACTACCCTTTAAAAACATTTATCTATTATATTTGTGAGAATTCTTTATACAATTACTTCTATATTTTTTTATTTTTTTTTGGGGGGGTCCGGTCATGAGGCCTGAACTCTGGGCCTGGGCACTGTCCCTCAGCTCTTCAGCTCAAGGCTAGTGCTCTACCACTTGAGCCACAGCACCACTTCCGGCTTATTTCTTTTTGCTTATGTGGTGCTGAGGAATCGAACCCAGGGCCTCTGGCATGCAAGGCAAGCGCTCTACCACTGAGCCACCTTCCCAGCCCACAATTACTTCTTTAATAAGTGAGAATAAAATAATTTTATTTTCAGTGAACTTATTACAGGAAATTCTTAACTTTTTCAACTTTATGTATAACTGAAAAAAGATTACAATGAAAATATTTTCCCCAAGCCTTTGCATCTTTAAGGAAAATATTTCTGAAGATCAATCTGTAAAATCTGTTATTCTGAGAATTATGCCAGATTAAAAATAAATCTCCAAAGAAAGCAGGAAATTGTGATTTGCCTACCTGCTACAGTTTGCATCGAGAACAACGTTTTCAATTCTTTGAATAATTTCTTCCATATCAGTCCTTTCTTTTTCCTTCCAAGCATCTTCCAAAACTGATCCTGTCAACTAAAGAAGCAAGTGTCAGTAAAGTAAGAAATTCAATACTGTAGAAGTTCTAAAACTATTAGTAGTAGCTGTTTAAGCATTCTTTAAAGAATATGAATTTAGCAGGTTAAATATTTCCTGTTAATCTCTCCCTTAATCTAATATTCAGAGACTTCTATATCTTCTATATTTTTGACTGAAAAGGAATGAATTATATTAGTTATTAAACACGGGCTTCACATCAATGAATATATGTTATATTTACTGGAAGACTAGATAGTCTATTATGTTTCAACAAGCATGTCAATTTTTCAAATATAGTACAAGGACAAAACCATAGCTCAGGAGGTAGCAGTTGTCGAAAGTTCTATCACCAGTATCATCGAGCAAAACAAAAAAGGAATATGTAAAAGTTGAGTATAAAACAAGCAGTTCACAGAAACAAACATGGCTGGCTAATAAACATATGAATGAATACTGAACTTCATTGACTAAGTGAATGAAAAGACTTTTATTTGTTACCTATTACAAAAACAAGAATCAGCATTGATGTATATCATTACAAGATGTGAGAAAAAAGGTGCACTGCTGGGAATACATTTTGGTTTAGCATCTGGAAGAAAACTTTGAAGTTCAATTTAAATTAACGGTTGCCCCACAAAAATCTATGTTAAGGACTTCAGTATACAAAAATAGATACACATAGCTGGTCTCTGAGTGGCTCACGCCTGTAATCCTAGCTACTCAGGAAGCTGAGACCTGAGGATCACGGCTCAAAACCAGCCCAGGCAGTTATGTCCATGACACTCTTATGTCCAGTTAACAACCAAAAAAGCCAGAAGTAAAGCTGTGGCTCAAGTGACAGAGCACTAGTGTTGAGCAAAAAAAGGCTCAGGGACAGTGTCCAAGACCTGAGTTCAAAGCCTTAGGATAGCACAAAGGAAAAAAAAAAACACTATACACATAATGAAATAGTACTAACAGTGCTGTAGTAGCTAAACTGAAAATAATACAAAGGCTCACTACTGGAATGGATAAACAATACCTATGAATATAACAAATACTAACAAGTAACACCACAGAAATAAATCTCTACATCCCTGTAAGGTCTGCCCCGGGAAGGCAGGGCAGACTCCTCCCTCCCTTTGGCTAAGTCTCCACCCAGTCTGCATCACCTAGGCAACTGGCACACCTGGAGGCAATCACATTCCACCCACTGAGGTCACGCCCTCTCCCACCTAGTCGCACCCACCCCCTCACCAGGTCACACCTTCTCCCCGCCCCTACCCTAGATAAGACAAGGCCTGGGAGGGAAGCCCCCTTTCTCAGCCACGTGCCAGGTGGAGTGCCGACTAGGCTGGGGGCCAGCGCAGTTTGAGAATAAACTTTTCCCTTGCTCGGATTACCTCCCAGTGCTCTTTCCTGGTGCTGCATTAACTTGGGAAGGGTTTAAAGTCAGGCCAGGCGGATTCCTCTCCGCTTCCCCCCTCCCCTTTTCTGTTTTGTTTTTTTCTTTCTCTGAGGAGGATCCCAGTTCTGACGGCCCTTTTCCACGCACCGAACTGCTGCGAGACGCCACGGGAGACTTTTCACCCCCACTGCTGGCTTCCGCACCCACCTCCACACTTCAGTGCTCTGGTGAGTGAATTATTGTGCAGGTTTTCTGGTTTTTCTCTGACTAGACGCGGCTCCACGTGGCTTTAGACCTGGGCATCTCCAAGCCGAGGACGCGTGGTTCTGGGGCTGGCCGGTTCTGTCTAGGGAGCACTGGAGGAACTGGACGCTGCTTCCGTCCAATAAGCCCTCCATCACTCACCAGCTATTTCCTCCCGCGTTTCTAATGGGGTGCTGCAAGTCACGCCCAAGGGAGGAAACTCCGTTGGGCCATCTCCCGCGTGCCTTGGATGAATTGTCCCTGACGGACTCTATCAACAAGGAACGCTTAACTTATTATTGCTCTGAAGTCTGGCCACAGAACCGACCAGATAATCGCTCTCAATGGCCCAAAGATGGGAATTTTGATTATACCATTCTCAGAGACTCAGATGGTTTTTGCCACCGCAATGGTAAATGGCCAGACGTCGTTCATATTCAGGCTTCCTACGCTCTCCGGGGTAACCCGACTCTCTGCCAGTCACACCCAGCTTTCCCCATCCCTCCTGAGCCTGTTGTGTCTGACCCCCTTTTTGACTCTGCCCCTCTCCCTGCAGAGCCTTCTCCACCTTCTTTCTCTTTGCCCTCCTCCCCCTCTTCGCCCTCTCTCCTTTCCCTCCCTGCGGCTCACATCCGCACTTACTCCAGGCAACCTCCACCAAACTCCAGGTTCCCTTTGCGAGAGGTGGCAGGGCCTAAAGGCATCCTTAGAGTGCATGCCCCATTTTCAATATTCAATATTGCTCAGATTGAGAAGCAGCTGGGATCTTATTCCCAAGATTCTAATAATTACATCAAGCAGTTTAAATTCCTGGTTCTGACCTATGACCTTTCTTGGCATGACATATATCTAATACTGTCCTCCACCCTTACTGCTGAGGAAAAAGAAAGGGTGTGGACTGCTGCCCAGGCACATGCAGATGAAGCCCACCGCTTAAATAATGACTTTCCGGTAGGAGCAACAGCTGTGCCCAGGGAAGAACCCAATTGGAATTATCAAAGTAATACTCTTGGGAAGGAAAACAGAAGTAGGATGATAACTTGCTTAGTGGCTGGCCTGGAGAAAGCAGCCTATCACTACGTAAATTATGACAAATTAAACCACATTACCCAAAGGCCCAATGAAAACCCAGCTGAATTTCTGGAACGCCTCACGGTGGCGCTCCAGCGCTATACTAAGCTGGACCCAGAGTCAGCGGAAGCCAAGGTGGTTCTTAATACTCATTTTATTGCCCAATCAGCCCCTGATATTAGGAAAAGGTTAAAAAAAGCTGAGGATGGTCCTCAAACCCCTCAAAGAGAGCTGGTGAAAATGGCATTTAAGGTTTTTAATAATCGGGAAGAGCAAAAGATTGCCAATAAGACTGCCCATAAGAGGGAAAACTATGAAATCCTGGCTGCTGCCATCCGGAGAAGAGGCACTCAACGTAAGCCCCCTGGACCATGCTTCAAGTGTGGACAAGAAGGCCACTGGGCAAAAGCCTGTCCTTCACCACAACCACCACCTGGACCCTGCCCAAGGTGTGGCCAAAAGGGACACTGGGGAGTCGACTGTCCCTCCACAAGGTAAGCCAACCCTTCCCCCACCCCACCTCCAAGCTTTGGCAACACTTTAACATAGAACACAAAACTCACTTTTGGCTAGCCCTACCATTTGCTCCCCCCACAGACTAACAGACCTTTTATTCATGAAGCCCTGTCTTCCCTTTCCCTTTCCTGCCTACAGCTGCTTCATGTTACTTTCATTGAAAACCCTGACTTCTCACTGGAAAGCTGTTCCCCTCTCAATCCAGACCTTGATTCCATCCAATTCTAACTCTTTCCCACTCCTATATAGAGACCTTGGAGGGATTCACAACCCATTTTACAGGCATCTCTTTAGCCCCTCTTCCTGATCCAGAAGACGCCCAATACACCGATGTTAGTTCCACACCTACCCCCTCAGCAGCCAAACTGGGGGCTATGCCATCAGTAATGACTGCACTGTTATTGAAAGCAGCACTCTGCCTCCTGGCACTACCTCACAAAAGGCAGAACTTACAGTTTTAACTAAGGCCTTAACGCTAGCCAAGGGTTGGAGGACTTAAAATATGCCTATCATATTCTCCATTCACATGCAGCCATCTGGAAGGAGCGTGGCTTTCTGCCCATGAAAGGGACCCGTATTTCTAAAGCCTCATTTATTCTTAAGCTCCTAGTAGTGGTTACCTTCCCCAATACCAACACGTAGCTGTCATTCACTGTTGGTGACACCAGATGGGACTCGGTGCCATCACAGTCAGCAATTCAAAAGCAGACTGGGAGGCAAAGCTAACAGCCCAGAGACAACTTTCAAGACCTGTCAGCTCCCCTGCTTCTGGTATTGTCTCCAATTCAACCCTTATTCCCCACAGGAGCCGCCCAGGAAGCAAAGGGATGGTGGCACCTAGAAGAATGAGTCATTCTTCCTGAGACACGAGCAGACAGCTTTCTTTCCCAGGTACACCAGGCACTGCACATCGGATACAAGCCTCTCCAACCTTCTCAAGCCTTTACTCCATTGCCCTAGCCTAACTGTCCAACTAAAGGCTAATTTCCTAAGCCTGCCCGACTTGTTCCCTTACATCCTTACAGGTGATCCCTGACCTGCTGCATTCCCCATGCATCAAGCATGGGGACATACCCCAGAGGAAGACTAGCAGACTTCACTCACATGCCTTGATTTAAGCAGATGAGATACCTGCTAGCTATGATAGATACCTCTTTAGGCCTATCCCACAGTGTCAGAGACAGCTGACACTGTTGCCTCTTTCCTTATAAAGGAAATTTATAGGTTTGGCTTATCCAGGTCACTTCAATCTGACAAAGGATCTGCTTTCATCTCCAAAGTGACCCAACAAAGGGGCAGCCTCTTTAAACATCCAGTGGAATCTTCACATTCCTTATAGGCCTCATTGAGGCCTCTTTCCCACTCTCAATTTTGCCTGGGGATCAAGTGTTTTTCACTATTAATCCATCTGGCTTACATCCTAAGTGGACTGGCCCTCACCAGTTTTTGCTGACTACCCCATGGCAGTCAAGCTCAAGGGACAGGCATTCACCTGTTAAGAATAAAAGCAGCTCCTGCTCCTGTCCCTTCTATACCAACACTAACTTGGAGGTACACCTGTTTCCACCCTCCTCCCCCCCCCCCCCCCCCCCCCCACGCACAAACTTGGGCCTACCAAGGTAAGGCTATCTAACATCCCTGAAGACTCCAGTGGGCAATACTGAGCCAGCTCCTCTCCACACACCTGCAAGCCATGGACATCCAATCTTTTCAGTAACATTTTTCCTTTTGTTTTGTCCAGCCCCTGCCTCAAGAGACTTCCTTCAGACTTCCATCTAAGGACTCATGTCTGCCAAGGGACAGATGCTGCTTGCTACCTTCTCTGGGAGAGGCCCGCATTTCTGCCTTTTACCCCTAACATCGACGCCCCTTGACAGCAGGAAGTAGTCAGAGAGAATCTGCGCCCTACTTCATAATTATTAAAAGGCTGGAATGCAAGAGGGAAAGAAAGGAATTATAGATTGGAATGGGTAAAGGACTTGCATTCCTCACTTCTAAGTTTTGCTCCTTATGTGTATGTTGCATACTGCTTTTCCAATATGCTCAAAAACAAATAAAATGTAAATATTTACCTTTAAAATGATTCATTTGTGTACTATACATATACTTCCTTTAAATTGTAAATTAAATAGGTAAATTAGAATAAAAAGTAAAAAACTAACCTTCAGCAATTTTACTGCACAAATTAAGTTGTCATCAATAGGATTAGAGAAGAGAGCATTCAGCAATTCCCGAAGACCAATTTGAAGAATATCTGCTCTTGTAACCTGTCCATTTGTTCCTTTGATCTTTCAGAACAAGAGAAATACAGATATATAAATGGTCTAACAAATTATTGGCCAAGTTTCAAATACATAAACATTGTATCACCCACTAGAGTTTCACACAATTTATTCTATATGAAAATAAAACTTCCTAGCTGGTGCTGGTGCCTGTATCCTAGCTGATATTCAGGAAACTGAGCTATGAGGACTGTAGTCTGAAGCCAGTCTAGGGAAGGAAAGTCTTGAGTAAAGGAGCTCAGGGACAGTGTTCAAACCAGAGTTCAAGCCTCAGGACAGGCAAAAATAAGCAAAAACCCTGCAAACTACAAGTAAAATTTACTTATCATTTATCATACCTACGATGGTTAGAAAAATTTGTCTACTTTGGTATTATTGCTTCATTAAGCATGTCTTACCACCATTCTGATCACAAGTATTTTAATTCTCTCATACTATTTTAAGTGGGTTTTGGTGGCTCACACCTGTAATCCTTGCTTCCAATTAAGCACCACAAATGATCTATCCTTGGGCACAAAAACTCAGGGACAGTGCCCAGGACCTGAATTCAAGCCCCAGGACTGGCCAAAAAAAAAAAGAGAGGTAAGTTAGTTCTCTTTTATGGTGCTAGATACTGAATCCAGGGACTTAACTAAGCACTCCGCTAAGCTTCAGGCCTAGCCCTAAAAGCATTCTCTTGTGTGAGAATTGTAGGTAAATGTTTCACTTGCTACAGCGGTTTAGGTGCAGTTAGGCCATTTATGTTTCTCACATTCCTGGTATTATCACTTCTGTGTAGGAAATGTTCAACATAATTCTATTATCCTCAGCATGAGTTGTTTTTATGAAGTCCCCTGAATTAGGCACTAAACTGTACAGACTAGACTTTTAGACATACTGATGAAGATGCACATTTGATGATGGATTTATCCTTGTACTGATATTATGTGTTTATGATATTAAATTCTCAAAGAGTTTAAGAAAGTAGATTACTAATAAAGTATCTGACACATTAACATTCAGTCCTTATACTGTTAACAAGCACATACTAGAATATCAAAATTTTATAAATGTGGTCGTCTGCTTCATTTATACAAAAGAATTTTATGTAGAAGATTAATATACAATACAGGCCAAAATTATTGGGGGATTGGGAAGATTTTGGCCAAAGGACCCCAAATTCTGGCTAGACAAGGAATAAGTTCAAGAGATTCGTTGCATATCATAATTACTATAGTCACAATGTACTTGACAAGTGCTAAGAATGTATTATAAGTGTTCTTTTTTTTTTTTTTTTTTGGTCGGTTATGGGGCTTGACCTCTGGGCCTGGGCACTGTCCCTCAGCTCTTCAGCTCAAGGCTAACACTCTACCACTTGAGCCACAGCGCCACTTCCAGTTTTCTAGTGGTTTATTGGAGATAAGAGTCTCGTGGACTTTCTTGCCTGGGCTGGCTTTGAACCGTGATCCTCAATCTCAGCCTCCTGAGTAGCTTTAAGAGTAGGATTACTTTACTGAGTAGGATTACAGCCACTGGCGCCCGGCTTAAGTGTTCTTACTATTAAAAAAATACATGAGGCAATACCTATGTTCAATAGCTACACTTGAAATATCTTATCTCTACTGCTTTTTTTTCATTTGAAATTGAGGAAAAGTTTTTAGACAGTTTCTACTATGGCGCCTCAGCTGGCTTGGAATTCTCCATTCTCCCACCTCAGCCTCTTGGGATTAGAGGTAAGTACCACCATGTACATTTGATATTTGAAAGTATGTGAAAATAAATTCCTTATTGAGATCAATTTATGTTTCCAGGAATTAGTATCTAACAACAACAAAGTCTTCTTACCTCCAGGTTAAGATAAAGTTCTCCCAAAAAGAGTACAAATGCATGAAATCGTTTTCGAGTTGGTTCATCGCCTTTTGCAACTTGATCTCTAACTTCATATTCAGTCCGACATCTAACAAAGACATATTTGTTATAATCACACATGGTTTTGTCTTTTTAAATAGTCAAATAAAATGACTGAGTTTAGTTGTCAATACAGGCAAGTTCAACAATTGAACATCCCAGCTTCCTGTAATAAAAAGTGTTCCCATAGTAGAGATACCTACATTACCTTTTCATAGTAAGTTTTAAGAAACTGATAGGAATAATTGAAAATAATCCTATTAGATAAAATTTGTAGTAGCATTTAAGCAACATAGGTTCTAGCATACTGGAAACAAAGGGAAGAAAAAGCCTAATTTTATTTATTTTTTTTTTTTTTGGGTCCGGTAATGGGGCCTGAACTCTGGGCCTGGGCGCTGTCCCTCAGCTCTTCAGCTCAAGGCTAGTGCTCTACCACTTGAGCCACAGCACCACTTCCGGCTTTTTTCTTTTTGCTTATGTGGTGCTAAGGAATCGAACCCAGGGCCTCAGGCATGCGAGGCAAGCACTCTACCACTGAGCCACCTTCCCAGCCCCTTATTTTATTTTTAACAGGCTTTTTTATTGTGTGTGTGTATGTTGGTTGTGGGGCATAAAGTCTGGGCCTGAGCGCTGTGCCTCAGCTCTTCAACTCAAGGCTAGGGCTCTACCACTTGAGCCACAGCATCACTTCCTGGTGGTTAACTGGAGATAAGAGTCTCAGGGACTTTCTTGCCTGGGCTGGCTTTGAGCCATGATCCTCAGATCTCAGCCTCCAGAGTAATTAGGATTACAAGCGTGAGCCACCACGCCCTGTCCTCTTTTTTTTTTTTTAATTAAGAAAGCATTTATCAGCCAGGCACAGGTAGCTCATGTCTGTAATCTTAAGTGACTCAGAAGGCTGAGAGCTTAAGATCATGGTTTGAAGCCAGCCTGGACAGCAAAGTCTATGAGACTCTTATCTCTGATTAACCACTAAAAAGTTGGAAGTGGAGCTGTGGTTCAAGTAGTAGAGCACTAGCCTTAAGCAAAAGAAGGTCAGTAACAGGGTTCAGGCCACGAGTTCAAGCTCTAGGACCAGCACCAAAAACAAAACAAGAAGCAAACTTCTATCTAAATTGTCTCTGAAGTGTTTTAATTTTTTGAAAAACTTTGAAATAGATACTGATAGCTAATATAAGATGGCCTCCAGCAGGGTGCCAGTGGCTCACACCTGTAATCCTAGCTACTCAGGTGGCCGAGATCTAAGGATTATGGTTCAAAGCCAGCCTGGGCAGGAAAGTCCATGAGACTATTATCTCCAATAAACTACTAGAAAACTAGAAGTGGTGCTGTGGGTCAAGCAGTACAGTGCTTGCCTTGAGCTCAAAGAGTGCAGGAACAGCACCCAAGCCCAGAGTTCAAGTTTCATGACAAAAAATAAATAAAAGACGGCCTCCAACTAAGCTGATAATAAAATTTATTTTAAATCCAAAGTTCTTTTGCTTAGCTAAGTATAATAGTAAGGGGGAGAAAAATCCCCAGTTGAAGCCGGGCGCTGGTGGCTCACGCCTGTAATCCTAGCTACTCAGGAGGCTGAGATCTGAGGATCGCGGTTTAAAGCCAGCCCGGGCAGGAGAGACTGTGAGACTCCTATCTCCAATAAACTACCAGAAAACCGGAAGTGGCGCTGTAGCTCAAGTGGTAGAGCGCTCGTCTTGAGCTGAAGAGCTGAGGGACAGCGCCCAGGCCCAGAGTTCAAGCCCCACGACCGACCAAAAAAAAAAAAAAAAAAAAAAAGAAAAAGAAAAATCCCCAGTTGAAGATACAAAGCAGTTAATTTGGTCTGTATTGCCAATGAAGACTACATCAAATAACTGATTTCTATTGCTTTATATTCATAAAACTTGACCGATTTGCACCACACAATATCCAAAAAGAAATCTTGGAGTTCGCCGGGCGCCAGTGGCTCATGCCTGTAATCCTAGCTACTCAGGAGGCTGAGATCTGAGGATTGTGGTTCAAAGCCAGCCCGGGCAGGAATGTCTATGAGACTCTTATCTCCAATAAACCACTAGAAAACCAGAAGTGGCACTGTGGCTCAAGTGGTAAAGCACTCATCTTGAGCTGAAGAGCGCAGGGACAGCACTCAGGCCCAGAGTTCAAGCCCCACGACTGACAAAAAAAAAAGAATGAAAGAAATCTTGGAGTTTATAATCAGAGTTCCTATAATTCATCTAAACTAATCACAAGAAGCCAACCACTGCCTCTGTTGGTGAATAATGGTATTAACTTCTATTACTAAAATGGATTTTTGTAAGTTTATCATTTTGGTATTAAGATTTTTTCTTTATTGATAAAGTTAAGAAAATTCTGGGAAAGTAATTTGCTTTTATATAACTGATTTGACAGTTTTTCCTTTAAAGACAAAAGCAAAAGCTTATGAAGATTAAATGACTTCTATATAGCCAATTTTTTTTTTTGTCGGTCATGGATCCTGAACTCTAGGCTTGTCCCTCAGCTCAAGGCTAGTGCTTTTTTTTTTTTTTTAATTTAATTTAATTTTTTTTTGTGAACATACGTACAGAGGGGTAAGGCTAGTGCTTTACCACTTGAGCCATAGCACCACTTCCAGCTTTTTCTGCTTATGTGGTACTGAGGAATCAAACCAAGGGCCTCATGCATGCCAGGCAAACACTCTACCACTGAGCCACCTTCCCAGTCCTGTCAATTTTTATATATATGTATATATATGTATGTATGTATATATTTTTTGGGGGGGGGGGGTCCAGTCATGGGGCCTGAACTCTGGGCCTGGGCGCTGTCCCTCAGCTCTTCAGCTCAAGGCTACCACACTACCACTTGAGCCACAGTATCACTTCCGGCTTTTTTTTCTTTTTGCTTATGTGGTGCTGAGGAATCAAACCCAGAGCCTCAGGCATGCAAGGCAAGTGCTCTACCACTGAGCAACCTTCCCAGCCCCTCAATTTATATTTTTAATTTCTTTTTTTTTGTCAGTTGTGGGGCTTGAACTCTGGGCCTGGGTGGTATCCCTAAGCGCTTCAGCTCAAGGAAAGCACTCTGCCACCTGGAACTCCAGTGTCACTTCTGTTTTTCTGGTAGTTAACTAGAGATAAGAATCTCACAGGGCAGGGGGAGGATGGGAAGGAATGGGAAGGGGAAACAAAGGAGGAGGCTACAATGCTTGATAAGAAATGTACTCATTATCTTGCCCGTGTAATTGTAACCCCTCTGTACAGTATTTTCACAATAAAAAAAAAAGAATTTATCAGAGGACAAAAAAAAAAAAAAAAAGTTTTGGGGCGGGAAGGTGGCTCAGTGGTAGAGCGCTTGCCTTGCATGCATGAGGCCCTGGTTTCGATTCCTCAGCACCATATAAGCAAAAAGAAAAAAAGCTGGAAGTGGTGCTGTGGCTCAAGTGGTAGAGCACTAGCCTTGAGCTGAAGAGCTGAAGGACAGTGCCCAGGCCTAGAGTACAGGCCCCATGACCGGACCCCCCCAAAAAACAAACAAACAAACAAAAACCAAGTTTGGAGTGACTAGGCTCAACATAAATAAAAGTAAATACAAAGTTAATATTGAAAAAAAAAAAAAAGAATCTCACGGACTTTCCGCGCCCCGGCTGGCTTTGAACAGTGATCTTCAGATCTAAGCCTCCTCAGCAGCTAGGATTACAGGCATGAGCCACTGGCACCCACTCTTTAACTTTTTTTTTTAAAACAAAGCCAAAGAAATCATCCTTGCCCATGTCTACCCTATGTAACCTGAACCAGCCACAAATCCTGCTTACAAGCTCTATTAATATCACCTCTCCAAGTTAAATACAATAAGGTATTTCTTGCCTTCTCATATTTGTTAATTCCTCATCAGAAATTTAAAAAAAAAAAAACTTGGAAATTAAAAAAAGAAAAGGAAAATAAGCGTTGGTGGTATAGCTCAAATCATAGAGTACCAGCCAGTGAATAGAAGCTTAAGATATATATGAATTTGAATCCTGGTCTTTTGCAAAAAAAAAAAAAAAAAAAAAAAAGAGGGGAGTTATAAGTAGAACATTTAATAAAGAAAAATATCAGTTAGTTAATGCCATTCCAGCTATCTAAACACATTCCTGGCTGCTTTCCTTTCTGTTATAATTTTGCAGCCTGGGCTGAGAAGGTAGCTTAGTGGTAGAGTGCTAGCCTTGAGCAAAAGCAGCTAAGGAGTTCAAGCCCCAGGACTGGCAAAAATAATAAAATGAAACAGCATTGTTCTTTTATATTAGGACATGATGATATATGTAAATCCTTACCAATATATATGGCTGATTAAGTGCAAGATCTAAAACTTATTGAAGCTAACAATTTTTAGTTATAATTGTTCTAATACCATTGCAACCAAGAGGTAACTTCATTCATCTTTTTCAAGGTATGTATGCAAAAATGTGTCTAAATGAAGAACTATACTTTGCTTTCCACTTACTAGATCATGAGCATTTCTCCTTATTTTTAACACTATTGTAGTACTGTAGAAGTGCACATCAGGATAGAATCAAAGAAAATTGGAAGAATGACTCTTAATTATGATTCTATATTAGAATCACATCAAGATTAAACACACACACACACTCAGCCTCCACCTCAGTTCAGTTATACCAGGGTTTCTAAGGTGGGGACAATACCAGGAAGGCACAAGTAGGGAATAGAAATACTGGGGAAAATAAAACATAACTTTTTAAGTATGCTCCTTTTATCTGTTTAGAAGCTATCATTTATATTTCTTCAATTATAGGTAAGGCTTTTTCTTACTCATTCCTAAGAGGTCTCTAATATTATTATGAGTTCATTGCCATGTACTATAAATTTTCCTACTTTATAAAAATATATGTCTTTTCTAAAATCCTATGGTTCATAGTTAACTAAATTTGCTAATGTCTTGTTTTAGAGCTTATAGGTATATCTGGCTTAAAAAGGCTTTACCCTAACCCAAGGTTTTCATTTGTCAACTTTCCCCTTATTTACTGTTTAACTTTTGGGCCTTTAATTTGACAAATAAATTTAACTGACAAATTTGATAAATTTAATGAGTCTTTGATAAATTCAATTTTGTGTAAGGATATAGAAACCCATATTTCCTTTGTATTTTTTAATTAATTTTTTATTTTTGTGTCAGTCCTGGGCTTGAACTTAGGGCCTAGGCACTGTCCATGAGCTTTTCTGCTCAAGGCTAGCACTACAACACTTGAGCTACAGATTCACTTTCAGCTTTTTGGTAGTTAATTGGAGATAAAATGCTAATGGACTTTTCCTGCCCAGGCTGGCTTCAAACCACAATCCTCAGAGACCAGCCTCCTGAGTAGTTAGGATTAGAGGTGTGAGCCACTGATGTCTGTCTTATTAACCTGAATAGTATCCAATTGTGCTTCTAGCATAATTCACCTTTCACATGTGTATTTGAAGTACCATCTTAATTTTTTTTAAGCTTAAATTTTAAATGTCCCAGGAATCTACTTTTGGAATCTTATTCCACTGCATATTTACCAGACAATGGAATATTTTGCAACTGCTGAATTGTTTTTGTTTGTTTTTGAGGTAGGAGTGTGTAGTACTGTGACTGAATCCAGGTCTGTGCATACCAAAAGTGTGCTCTACATTGTATATTGAGCTATATTCCCCCAGTCCTAGACGCACCTTAAAGAATTTTGCTGGGGGCTGGGAAGGTGGCTCAGTGGTAGACTGCTTGCTTTGTATGCATGAGGCCATAGCACCACATAAGCAGAAAAAGCCCCAAGTGGTGCTATGGCTCAAGTGGTAGATTGCTAGCCTTGAACTGAAGAGCTGAGGGACAGTGGCCAGGCCCAGAGTTCAGGCCTCACAATTGACAAAAAAAAAAAAATTGCGGAAATGAACTATACAACTTGTGAGTGGGAATGGGAGGGAAAAATGGAGAGGGCAAGGGAATGGGTGACACTGTCCAAAAAGAACTGTACTCTTTACCTATAACCCCTCTGTATATCACCTTTATAATAATAATTTTTAAAAAGTAAAAAAAAATGGACAAGTGATAATAAACTTGACAACAACCTTGTTACTAAAGACTACTCAAATGAAAATTACCACCTCCCAAGTACTTGTCCCTAAAAAAATAATCCAAACACTGATTCTAAACTTCAATGGAGAAAACAAGCATAGCGAAGAGGATATACCACAAGAAAGGAGAAGGCAGAGATCATTATGGGGAAAAAGAATCACTATATTTTATCATAATCTTTTAATATTATGCAAATAAGAATGGTCCACCTTACCCTCTCCTGCAGCTTTAAATTCTAATACAGTTAGAAGTTTTCCTTTAATTTCATAATCACACTGACCTTTGAAGTAGCAATTGGCGGAAGTTGCCACTCTGGGGGCTAATTGTCAGATGATGGGACAGGTAATTACACAGGCGAGCTCCCATATAAGAGAAATTTGGAATAGATGTGGCCTTTAAAAAAAATTTTGAATGATACACAGATCATTATAAATGCAATTAGCAACATTTTAAAGTTGATTAATATTATGGCTCCCCAAACTACCCTGTATCAAAAAACATACAGACCTTCTTAGGCATAAGGAAATTAGTAAGGTTCACTTTCCCACCCAACTTCACATTAAGAGCTACAAAGTCAAAGGAAAATGTTTAAACCAAGTTCTCTCCCCTATTTACCTAAGGTTATCAGAAAGCAATTAAGATAACGTCTAATTTTTTTTGCAGACAATATGAACAAATAATCAACTCAATTACAACTACAAATTACAATTACAATACAATTACAAATATGGAGAATAGTTCCCAAACTATTGATCTATGTTGCTTCTCAAGAAAAGAAAACACAAACTCTGATGTCTATTAATGCCAATACAAGATTTGCAGGCATTCCCCAATCTCCCGGAGCTTCAGTTTGATTCCTAAAGAGGTACCCTGGCATAAGAAACTAACATATCAACTGGGTAAAGAGGAAATCAAAACAGCTAAGCCATTAAAAAAAAAAAAAAAAAAAAAAAAAGTACTGTAGGAAAACACTATGTATTAAAGATTGTGTGATTAGCCAAAGCATTACTGAGGAAAGTTAACTTCAATTGCAGTTTGCTGTTGTTTTTCCTTGGCAGTATTGGGGATTGAACTAAGGGCTTCCAGGCCTTTTTGTGCTGAATATTTTTGAGATATGGGTTTGTTTCTTGCCCAAGCCCACGCCTGGACTATAATCCATCTATTTTAGGCTTTCATCATAACTAGGATGACAGGCATGCACTTCACCCAGCTATCAGTTGAGAAAAAGGTCTCATGAACTTTTCTCCAGGGCTGTCCCTGAATCTATCTCAGCCTTTGAAGAAGATAGGATTATAGGTATGAGCCCCCAGAGCCTATCTCAATTGTAATTTTTTAAAAATACAAAACATATGGGCTGGGAAGGTGGCTCAGTGGTAGAGCGCTTGCCTTGCATGACTGAGGCCCTGGGTTCGATTCCTCAGCACCACATAAACAAAAAGAAAAAAGCTGGGAGTGGCGCTGTGGCTCAAGTGGTAGAGCGCTAGCCTTGAGCTGAAGAGCTGAGGGACAGCGCCCAGGCCCAGAGTTCAGGCCCCACGACTGGACCCAAAAAAAAAAAAAAAAAAAATACAAAACATAGTTTACTAACAGCAAGTGAAAAATACACATAAAAAGGTTAAAAGACCTAGCCAGTGTCACAAAGGCAATCAACCAGAGACTAGGTTTAACAAATGCTCTGAAGCCTGTCTCCCTGGTAGAATACTTACTGGTATCATGGTAAACTCAGACAAGTCATTTATCTTTCTGTTTAGATATCATAAAATGAGGATATTATCTTGCAACCATTTAAGGATTAATAGGTCACACATGAAGTACTCAGCACTACCAGATATTTAGTAAGTACTAATTACTGTACTTCTTTCTACAAGGCTGTCATTATTCAAGTTTTCTTCCTTACCTGTATTCCAATTTTATTTGTATAGACAACTACTTTGCAGTTGAAAATGTTTTTTTTTAAATATGTTTTTTATTGTAAAAATACTGTATAGGGGGTTGAAAAGGCTTTAAACTGTTTTATCTCTAAGATACATGATTTTTCACTATAGAAATTATTTCTTACTAATTTCCCATGAAAGGGTATGGTATTTTAGCTTTCTCCTGCTCAAGTCACCCTATTCTACGATTACCCATTCCCTCCACTTATTTTTTCCTTTATTTATTTTTTGAGACAAGGGCTCATTTTATAAATCAAGCAGACCTTCAAACTCAACTATGCAGCAGAACTGGTCTCAAAACTGATCCTACTGCCTCTGCCTACCAAGTGCTACACTATGATTATGATGTTATTATTATGTTTCCACTTGTAGGTGGTCATGGAGCTTGAACTTGGAGTCTAAGCACTATCCCTGAGCTTGTGTTCAAGGCTAGTGCCCTACCACTTGAGCTATAGTTCCACTTCCAGTTTTTGAGTGGTTAACTGGAGATTAAAGTCTCATAGACTTTCCTGCCCGGGCTAGCTTCAAATCAAAATTCTCAGATCTCAGTCTCCTGAGCAGCTGGGATTTAAGCCACTGGTGCCTGGCTTCAATTTTCCTTTTTTTGTACATGGTTTTCTCTGGACTTACTGTTTATTCTACTTTTTTCCTTTTATATACTTCTCATTGAAACTATGTTGCAAAATTTACTCTCAGTACTGTCAAACATAACAGGTATGCAATATAATCAGGGAATCCTTTCCTGGAGTCTTCTGGCCTATGCTGTACATTTTGCTACAGGGATCGTCTTTTACCACACTTAACTTCTCCTGTAAATCCCTGGTTCCCAGGCGTTCATCTTTGGCTTAATTCCTCTTTTTGGTGGAGTTTTACCTTTGTTAGCTTCTTGAAAAAGATTACAATAAAACTACTAGAAGATTCTCAGGAAATCTTCTTAACCTCATTCCAACCGTTTTTTAGACTTTTATAGATTGTATAGTATAAATCAGGACTATTTTCAGCTTTTCCCTCTGGTTTGGAACTCAATTATAGATCTACTAAGTTAGTTACCACTCACTCATGTTTCCTAGGCTTTTATCTGGGCTTTCATCTCTTCTTTGCTTTTACAGGTCTCTGCCTTTAAATTCTCATACAGTAATTTTAGTGGTTTTGAAAAGAGATCAAAGTTGAATGTACACATGTTCTGCCATCTTTTACAACCGGTCCTCATCTATTAGTCCCTAGGTATATTTCCATAAATTACTTCAATAAAACTTAAAAGCCACTGATAAATCTATATAGAGAGAATCAATGTATCACTGACACAAAATGTTAAAAATAATGAGCATATATTTAAGAAGTGGCTTTGTGGAGCTGGGAAGGTGGCTCAGTGGTAAGAGTGCTTGCCTTGCATGCATGAGGCCCTGGGTTTGATTCCTCAGCACCACATAAGCAGAAAAAAAAGCCGGAAGTGGCGCTGTGGCTCAAGTGGTAGAGTGCTAGCCTTGTGGTGAAGAGCTGAGGGGCAGCGCCCAGGCCCAGAGTTCAGGCCCACGACCGGACCCAAAAAGAAAAAAAAAGAGGTGGCTTTGTGACAAACATGCAAACAGTTGAAGCTTGTTCACACCCATTCCTGACAAACTATTATCATGTAGCCTACCAGATACCTGAAAGAATTCAGAAAAAAAAATCCTTTTTCTTAATATTTCTTTTCAATTCTTATAGGGCTAAAAAATTAAGAAGCAGGATAGTGCTGGGGGTAAGTGGTACAGCACTTGCCTACCATCATTCACAAGTCTCTGCTTCAGTTCCTAGCACTATCAAAATAACAACAACAACAACAACAACAACAATAATCAGGACAAACAGAGCAGTTATATCTTTCTGAAATCTCAGATACTTCCTGAAACTTAATAGTTGGCTAAGTATCTTGGGGATCAGCAACCAGCTTGGAAACGAAGTAGCCAAACAAAACATTAGAAAAATAAAACACCAGCTTGCTATTAATGATTATATATTCCTACCTTGAATTCTTCTTTCAGTAGTGACTTATTTTATGTCTGATCATCTTCTACTATTTTTAATCAATCTCAAACAAGCCTTTAAATTTGTCTTAAAAAGTTAGTGATGTTTATTGTATTTTTCATCATAGTTTCCCCAATAATGTTACATAACAAATAAGAAAAAAATTACTATAGTGTATTTTTAGTTTCAGATGCTATAAAACAAGGGTAGGAGTGTGTGATACTTTTATATACTCTTCCTTCTAAGTGTTCAAATCTACCTGTATACAGAGAGCCTTGACTATGCCTATCAACTAGCAGTCTACGTTGGCTCCAGCTTTGGATCTCTAGCTATAGGAATTTCATACAAGACAACTTCAAAGCTCCTATGAACCATAAAACATGAACAAATGTGGAGGGAGGTGAACAGGGACCTGGCCTTTCTCAAAAAGTTGCCACTATCTTTGTGGTGGATCCTACCTGGAGGTCACACTCGGAGGCTATCAGCCAACTTACCTGTTGGTAGATGAGTTCTACAAGTTCTTGTAAAGTATCATCTGTTGTAACCCAGACATTTAAGGTCTCTGCAAACTGTTCAATTTCAGTTTCAAAACTGCCAGGCTGCTCTGTAAGATGGTTCAAAAAGTCCTGAACAAATTCTGGTAGAGGATAATCATCACAACCATCCTCATAGGACTCCTGCAGATTAAAAACAAAAATCCCCTCAAAAATCTTAATCCATGCAACTGACTTTAAGTTGTGATATTATGTAAAATAAAATGTTTTTTTTTTTAAGGATTTCTCATGATACTTTTAAAGAGTTTAACAAATTTTCAGTCCACTGAGCTATCCAACTTTTTTTTTGACTAACTGATGTACTTTGATGTAACAAGGGTCCACTTAGCTAGACAGGAGATTGTCTTCTCTCAATCCTGAGGATTCCAGCTAACATTTCCACCACTGGAAATATTCCACATTGTTACTTATCAACCTTATAATTAATGGTAGGAGGCTGAGCAGGCAAATTTTACAAAAGGTTATCAGGCCAAAACAGCATGCTTCCCATTCTCATTGCCTAAGCAGCTGTGTTCAAATATTAACTGTAATTGGCTGATGAATCTTACCCTGCTCCAAACAGAAACCCTACGAAAAAATTATTACTATAATAGAGAAGAACTTTATGAAGGGGTTAAAAATCAGTGAGCATGTAAAAAAACACACACATGGTCAAAAAATACCTTTAGGAAAGCTCTACATTGGAAACAGACATGTAGTCCTAACAGAAAGACTAAAGACCCTTTAATGCTTTTCTAAAGGGCTGTAAGCAGAGGATTTGCATGCACTACCTCATTTAACCCTAGAAAACATTGAGGTAAGCATTCTGTCTCTTCTGTACAGAAGAATCAGTAGCACAGCAGTTCAGTCACTTTGGTTATTCATTGAAAACTATACAAGTATTGCCAGCACTCGAGACTGAAATATAAGGATTAGCCATTTGATGCCCACCTAGGGTACACAGCAAGACCTTGTCCCAAACAAGTAGCAAGCAAATGAAAAGGCTCATGAGTGTTAAATTCCTACTTCTAAATTCCAAAGATTATTTTACAGGCTAGATACTACCATGAATAAGGCAGACTATATCTCTTCTTATATATCCAATGACAGAGGATACATTCAGAGGTGAAAAATATGACTAGCAGAGTCTCAAGTGTTAGTATCAATCAAGACAGAAAGTTGGGCACTGGTAGCCCACGCCTGTAATCCTAGCTAGCTATGCAAGAGGCTGAGATCTGAGGATTGAGGTTGGAAGCCAACCCAGGCAGAAAAGTCTGTGAAACTCTTATCCACAATTAACCAGAAGTACAGCCGTGGCTCAAAGTGGTAAAGTGCTAGCCTTGAGCAAAAGAGCTAAGAGAGAGTACCCAGGCCCTGAGTTCAAGCTCCACAACCAACAGGGGAAAAAAAAAAAAAAGAAAGAAAAACAAATTTTAAAAGTCAGCCATAAAAATATCTGAAAAAAGTATACTGGCCCCAAAGAAGGGGCCACTTGTCCAGAGACTGTAGAGAAAAATAATGGATAAAAAACACAGAAAGTGCACAGGAAGACAAATCATACAGGGCCTTCAGGGCTCACAGTAAGAAGACTGGTTCTAAAGGAAGTAGGAAAACAGGGCAAATAGGAAGGGTCTGAACAAGTAATAACCATACATCAACTTGAGTAATCTAAGCATGGTCACACAGCTAATTAAAACCTGTACTCAATACTATCCTCAAAATAGCAAAGTCTTAACAACTCTGACATTATGTATAAGTATGCTCATTGCCAAGAAATTCATCTACTATTTATAAACAGAATTGGTTAAATACATCCTTGTATTTTCATGTAATTATCAGTAGCCATTTAAAGGAACAAGATATAATTTATATGTATATACCCATCCATATATATATATACCCACACATATATACACACATATATATGTGTGTGTATATATATATATATATATATATATATATATGATTATTTATATAGGCAGAGAAATTTTCTGGATACCTCTGGAGTGAAATAATGTTCCTATTATTAATATAAATATAACTTTATTACAAAGTTGTGAAAGCAGTTAAGCATAAAATTGTACACATTGCTCTCTGTTCTCTCTGCTCTTTTCTAGCTCTTTCTCAGCTCTTTCCTTCTCTTTCCCAGCTCCTTTCTCTTTCCTAGCTCTCTCTCTGCTCTTTTCTAGCTCTTTTCTCTCTCTTTCCTCTCTTTCCCAGCTCTCGCTCTTTCCCAGGCCTTTCCCAGCCACGTGGGCTGGTCCCAGCAGGTCTACTGAATAAACCTACCCCTTACCTGAAAAAAAAATTGTACACATTAATATATTTAATTTTTGTGTTGTTTTTTGTTGGTTGTGGGTCCTGAACTCTAGGCCTGGGCATTGTCCTTCAGCTTTTCAGCTCAAGGCTAGAGCTCTACCACTTGAGCCACAGTGCCACTTCGGGCTTTTTCTGCTTATGTGGTGCTGAGGAATTGAACCCAGGGCCTCATGCATGCAAGGCAAGCGCTCTACCATTGAGCCACCTTCCCAGCCCAATATACTTAATGTTACCACATACGTGTGTAATTTTTTTTTTTAGGATTAAAAATACGCTTAAGTTTTTGATAAACATTTACAAACCAGTAATAATACCCTATCATTAATAATAATGAAAAGCAAAAAAAGGCAAGTCTGGGTTCCAGCTTCAACTATACTAACTTTTCTATCAACTGTCATTCACTTTAGCAAAAATGAAGTCTGAGCCGATTTGAGATCTTTTCTTTCTGCTTGTTCTTTCAGCAGTTCTGGGTTTCAATGAACTCAGGGCTTCACATGAGCCATGCCCTTGGCCCTCTAGTCTTTTCTTTCTCATTCAACAGAACTCATTTAAGAAAACGTAAAGTTTGGCCAGGCGCTGGTGGCTCACGCCTGTAATCCTAGCTACTCAGGAGGCTGAGATCTGAGGATCATGGTTCAAAGCCAGCCCGGGCAGGAGAGACCGTGAGACTCCTATCTCCAATAAACCACCAGAAAACCAGAAGTGGCACTGTGGCTCAAGTGGTAGAGCGCTCGCCTTGAGCTGAAGCGCTGAGAGACAGCGCCCAGGCCAAGAGTTCAAGTCCCACGACCGACAAAAAAAAAAAAAAAAAAGAAAACGTAAAGTTTGGTAAGTAAAAGAAAAGCAGGGGGGCTGGGAAGGTGGCTCCGTGGTAGAGTGCTTGCCTTGCATGCCTGAGGCCTTGGTTCGATTCCTCAGCACCACATAAGCAAAAAGAAAAAAGCCGGAAGTGACGCTGTGGCTCAAGTGGTAGAGCGCTAGCCTTGAGCTGAAGAGCTGAGGGAAGAGTGCCCAGGCCCAGAGTTCAGGCCCCACAACTGGACCCAAAATAAAAAATAAAAAAAAAAAAAGCAAGGGGCTGGGAAGGTGGCTCAGTGGTAGAGTGCTAGCCTTGCATGCCTGAGGCCCTGGGTTCTATTCCTCAGCATCACATAAGCAAAAAGAAAAGGCCGGAAGTGGCGCTGTGGCTCAAGTGGTAGAGCGCTAGCCTTGAGCTGAAGGACAGCGCCCAGGCCCAGAGGTCAGGCCCCACGACCGGACCCAAAATAAAAAAAATAAAAAAAAAAGAGAAAAAGAAAAGCAGAGCTGCTGTGAATATACCAGAACAGAAGATCTGATCCAGAGCCTACCATTTAAAGCAACAAAGGAGGCAGAGGGTTTTTTGAACAGGCATTCTAACATATTTGAATGAAAGCCTGCATCAGTTCTTCAAACACCAGATTTTTCAGAGTACAAATTTCTTTAGACTTCAGTACAATGTCAAATGGCTTCCAAGTTAAAGAGTAAATTTCAAGTGTTACATTTTTCTTAGAATTTGATGACAGATTGTAAGATTATAATAAACCACCAATTAAAAACATACCTTCCACAGTAGGTATTGTGTATGTACTATCAGAGATGAGATCCTAATCCAAGACAGGAGGGAAAGGAAACTGACCGGAGATGGTGGAAGTTAAAACTACTTAGTTTAACTGGATTGAACCAGAGTAAACAAAACATAGTCAAGTTTTTGGCCTCAGCTAGTAAGAAAGAGCTGCAGATGATGAATTATTTTATACTTGACTTTAACATGAGAGTCTCATCAAGTTAAAAAAAATGAAATTCTGAGGAAGAATTAGATTTGAGGGTTATTAGTACAAGGAAGGTTTTGGGGCAAGCAAGGGAGGTATTAAAATGGGAAAAAAAAGCTTCAGGGACTACAATTTTGGGGGTGGAGGGATGATATGCAAGTATAACCACAGAAGTCAAAGGAGAAGGTAAGTGAGGAAGGTGATGTTCATAATAGTAAATATCAATGAATAAATTCATAGGTGGAAACCTAATAGAGAATGATAGTGGCAGCCAGGCACTGGTGGCTTATACCTGTAATCCTAGCTACAAAGGAAGCTGAGATCTGGGGATCATGGTTCAAAGCCAACCCGGACAGAAAAGTCCGTGAGACTCTTATCTCCAATTAACCACTAGAAAACTGGAAGTGGTACTGTGGCTCAAGCGGTAGAGCACTCGCCTTGAGCTGAAGAGTACAGGGACAGCGCCCAGGCCCATAGTTCAGGCCCCACGCCCGGACCACCCTCCCCCCAAAAAAATATAAGAGCTTCTGAAAGACCAAATTGGCAACTTGACATCTAGCATAGGACTTTGCACACTAGGACTTTTTTAATGGAATAGATCATACTGTGTTTATGGTACTGTTTAAAGCCTAAAATGAGGGCTATGGAGTCCATGAATTAAAAGTCAGAAAAGCATCATTAACTGTTGTGAAAATAGTTTTCAATACACTTTGGAGATCAGATTATAAATGTTTGCACAGTCAGTGAGAGGTATAGTATAGAGAGGTAAAGTAATGCCAGAGAGTAAATAATGTCAAATTTTAGAGAATGATACTAGAAGGAAAACTAGGTAGAAGGAAAACTAGGAAGTAAATTAAATGGAGATGATTTTTTAGGAGAAAAGGTATTTAGAGAGGTTTTTTTGTTGTTAGTCATGGGGCTTGAACTCAGGGTGCTGACCCTGAGCTTTTGTACTCAATGCCAGGGTTCTAGAGCCATAGCTACATTTCCAGTTTTTAGGTGGTTAACTGGAGATAAGAGTCTCATGGTAACAAGGCTGACAAGAAATGGACCCATTACCTTACTTACGTAACTGAAACCCCTCTGTATATCACCTTCGCAATTTAAGAAAATATATACATTTAAAAAAAAAAGTATCATGGACTTTCTTGCCTGGGCTGGCTTTGAACGGAGATCCACACATCTCAGCCTCCTGAATAGATAGGATTACAAGCATGAGCCACAGTGCCCAGCCAAGGGAGAACTTTTATATCTCAATAAATTATTTGTAAATTCCTATGTGGGGGGCTGGGAAGGTGGCTCAGTGGTAGAGCGCTTGCCTTGCATGCATGAGGCCCTGGGTTTGATTCCCCAGCACCACATAAGCAAAAAGAAAAAAGCCAGAAGTGGTGCTGTGGCTCAAGTGGAAGAGCGCTAGCCTTGAGCTGAAGAACTGAGGGACAGCACCCAGGCCCAGAGTTCAGGCCCCACTACCAGACCAAAAAAAAAAAAAAACAACAAAACAAAAAATTCCTATGTGGAAGTTTTGATACTGTTCAATATACTATGATTAAATATTCAAAGCATACCAATTTGTCTGAGAAGCAAAAACCAGGAATAGAGCAACTTACTGGTAGCAGTATAGAAAGTAGCAAATCCTATAAATTACTTCGTTTTTTTAAAATTGTTATTATAAGGATGATGTACAGAGGGATTACAATTATGTAAATTAATTAAAGAGTACATTTCGGGGCTGGGAAGGTGGCTCAGTGATAGAGTGCTTACCTTGTATGCATGAGGCCCTGGGTTCAATTCCTCAGCACCACATAAGCAGAAAAAGCCGAAAGTGGCACTGTGGCTCAAGTGGTAGCGTGCTAGCCTTGAGCTGAAGAGCTGAGGGACAGCTGTCCCTCATGCCACTTTTGTCTTTTTTTTTTTTTTTTGCTTATGTGGTGCTGAGGAATCGAACCCAGGGCCTCATGCATGCAAGGCAAGCGCTCTACCGAGCCACCTTCCCAGCCCCAAGAATTCATTTCTTTTTGGACAATATCATCACTTCCCTAGCCACAGAAATTAAGAGAAAGAACTAAAGGGGGAAAAAAGGCTTGAAGCTGGGCACCGGTAGCTTATGCTTGTAATCATACCTACTCAGGAGATTGAGATCTGAAAATCATAGTTTGAAGCCAACCTGGGGAGGTAACTCTGTAAGACTTTTATCTCCAATAAACTACTCAAAAAACTGAAGTGGCTCAAGTGGTAAAGTGCCCACCTTGAGCAAACAAAGCTCAGGGACAGCATCCAGGCCAAGGGTTCATGCCCCAGGACTGGTTTAAAAAAAAAAAAAAAAAAGGCTTGAGCATTTTAAGGATCTAGTCACTTTGATAGCCAAACCTTACATTTATTATTATTTTTTTTTTTTGGTTGGTCGTGGGGCTTGAACTCTGGGCCTGGGCGCTGTTCCTCAGCTCTTCAGCTCAAGGCTATCACTCTACCACTTGAGCCACAGCACCACTTTTGGATTTCTGTTGGTTTATTGGAGATAAGAGTCTCAAGGGGGCTGGGAAGGTGGCTCAGTGGTAGAGTGCTTGCCTTGCATGCATGAGGCCCTGGGTTTGATTCCTCAGCACCACATAAGCAAAAAGAAAAAAGCTGGAAGTGGCACTGTGGCTCAAGTGGTAGAGCCTTGAGCTGAAGGACAGCGCCCAGGCCCATAGTTCAGGCCCCACAACCGGCCCCCCCCCCCAAAAAAAAAAAAGAGTCTCATGGACTTCAGTGCCTGGTCTGGCTTTGAACTGTGATCCTCAGATCTCAGCCTCCTGAGTTGCTAGGATTACAAGCATGAGCCACTGATGCCCAACCAAACCTTAAATGTTTAAGAAAAAAAGAATTAGACATCCTGGTATAGTGTACACATTGTAATCCCAGCTACTTGGGAAGTAGAGATGGAGAGAATCATAGTTGGAGGCCAGTGTGGGCAAAAATTTAGTGATGCCCTCCATCTAAACAAATAGCTAGGTAGTGGTGAAGCATGCCTGTAATCCTAGGAAGCTCTGGATGTCTCAGGAGGGTCTCAGGACAAAAACTGGACTCAATCTGAAAGTAAGTAAAAAAGGTCTGGAGAAATGGTTCAATTTGAAAATTGTTTATAGCAAGAAGAGAAGAGAAGAGGCAGGGGCAAGGAGAGAGAAGGGAGGAGGAGGGAGGGGAAGGAAGAGGGGAGTGGAAAGAAGATGGAAGGAGAGGGAGAGCAAGGAGAGGGGAGGAGGAGGAGGAGGAGGAAGAAGAGGAAGAAATTGTGCAAAGAAAGCAGTTTTCAGGAAACTGAGGGAGACCACTAGAGAACAGGCTACATCTAGACAGAAATTTTGTCTATTTTATTTGTTGATGTACCAGTGTTGTTTGACTTACACTAAATATTCACATGCTTGTTGATTAAGTAGATACAGCTAACTTTGGAGTATGGTTACTATAAAGAAAAGTTTCCCTCATACGATTTTATCCTGTGAGTCAGGAGCAAAACAAGAGTTCTGTGACTAAATGGACTGAGAAACACTTTTAGCTTTTACAGAGGGTAAATGTTAGTGTAAACTAAGAAGGCTAAGAGAACATACTAGAGCAGGTAGCAAGCCAAAATGGCTGTGGAATCCAGGCTGGCTACAAACGAATGAAGAAACTCAAGCGTTTGTTAAAATTACATCTCTATTCTGCACTAGCCAAGTTTTGCTATCAAAAGGTCAGTCTACTACAGCCAGTTCTTACACTTTCAACAGAAAAAAGGGAATTCAGATTTCCAAGTATCTAATACAAATGTTGGTAATTAAGTAAAACAACCTACACTCTGAAGACCAAAGAAGATACACCTGTGGACCACATAGGCTTCTGCTCCACAATCTGTTCTGGTATAATGAGATAGAAGGAACAAAGAATTTCCACAAGGCAACAGAGGCTCAAAATAAGTTGACTTGACATTGCTCCACAGCCTAGGAGAGTCACTTAACTACATACAGGACTCCCATTATAAAACAGACCAAATCAACAGGCAGAAATACAAATGGGAACTGTTTATGGCTCCTAAGAAAAACATCCTTAAGAGTTTAGTCAAGCACTCACAGATCTCCAATGGTTCCAATGGTTCCCTCCGGCTCTGAGCCTAATACTATTTTCTGGCAAGAACCCAAGCTGTTTTCATTTCTATTTTACGTGATAGATAACTTTCACCTCAAATCGTAACCTTTTCGCCCCAAAATGATTGATCGTCCTTACAAGTCTATACTTTCTCCTTGCCAATCCTAAGCTTTTTCCTCTATGACACACGGAGGTTCTACATCTTTTCTTCATACTTTTCCTATCTAATATGTACAAAGTCAAAGCAGGTTAAAAAGAAAGTTTTCCATCAGTAGTTATAAGAGAAAAAACTGAAACCACAACTAGATAGTATATGCCTGTCAGAATGGCTAAGCTAGAAATCCAAAGTGTTGTGGAGGAAGAACCAATGAAAGCATATGCTACTCAAAACATACAATGGGATATCTCAAAAACTATATGGCAGTCTTTACTAAATCTGGCTATCCTATGTTCCAGCTATTCTACTCCTTATATGTACCAAGCCAGGCAAAGACAGGAATAGTAATCCTATTCATAACAGCCCAGAAGTAGAAGCAAGTCAACAAATGGGACTCTAATGTGAGCATGCAATGGCATATTATGAGAATAAATCATCTTAAATTATATGTTACATGAATTAATTCTGATGTGAGACATAAAATACATTCTGTATGGCTTCATTTACATAAACTTTGAATGCAGGCAAAACTATCTGAAGTCAAAACAGTGGTCACAGACAGACATAGTGGCACATGTGCATGTAATTCCCCAGCTGAGACAGGAAAATCAGAACTCTGAGGCCAACCTTTGCAACACAGCCAGATTAAGCTACTACTTATCAAGAAGCAAGCAAACAAAAAAAAATGTAGTTACCCTTTGATTTGTGTAATGATTAGAAGGGTTTTAGAGATGCTGATATTAACTGAGATGCTAGTTACTGGGTGTTCACTCTGAAATTTTGAGCTAGTCCTGATGAACACCATGTTTCAATAAAACTAAGAGAAGCCTTACTCTAAAATATTGGTCTTTTTTTTTTTTAAGCTCCTCTAGTTATTTACAAGTTATCCCTACACATTTTCTCATCTGGGTTTACCTAGCACAGAAATTCCCACACATCCCAACTGTGCTTTCTGCTCTCTTACTGACAAAGATGAAACTTAAAAGGATTTTTCATACCTAGGTAAACACTATCAAAACTCCTTACATTTCTGCAAGTAGGTAAACTAGCACCTATTTTAACCATCATTAGAAATGACATTAAAAAATCATTAAACAAACTACCTTGTACAGCAAAACCAGTTTAGTATGCTCAAGCCACCGATGAATCATCCATTATTTTGATAAAATCAAGCAAAAAAAACCAAAACACATTATTTTGCCTGGCCACGACTCTACAGGTTGTCTAAAAAGTCTGGAAGTGGATTTAAATTTTACAAACTGAAGATGTCCTTGCCAGTAAGTTAACTACATCAGGTTTATCGGCTTACTGATGGTCTGAAGGCGCTGAAACACAGCAGTAAACCAAGCAGACAGGACTCCCTACTCTTCAGCTCACGTTCCCCTGAATGGAACTGGATCGTTTATTCCGGAGCCGTGTCCTCATCCGTTCAATGAATTCAAGATAAAACACACGTTATGTGGAGGGCAGAGACGCAGGCCTGTCGATTCATGGATGACCACCGCATCCCGGCCCGATCAACCCAGAGCGGCAAGGAAAAGGGCGCACTCACCGTGTAGTTGGGGGCGCACTCACCGTGTAGTTGGAAGAATAACCTGAGGGGTAAAATTCGGGGGCGTTGGCAGACAGCTTCGACATCAGCACGGGAGCCACCACCACCTGGGGCTTGGCCATGGCGGACCCGGGGTTCGGCGCGGGGGGGTTCTCCTGTGAACTGGGCGGGGCTCTCGGGGGCTTCGGGGGTTCTGAGGAGAGAGAATCAACAAAAGTGGCGTTCGCTTCATTCATTCCTTTGTACGACAACTTCGTGGCGACGGCAAGCCCGCCTCGGGGAGCCACCGGGTTTCTATTTACCGACGTGCTGGCTCACAGCTCACGCCAAGAGACTCGAGCGCCGGCAAAACCGAACAATAGACCCGCTTCAGCTCCGGGGTGCGACACCTGCCTCCCCGGGCGCGCCGGGGGCTTCTCCCCCTCCCGCTCCCTTCTAAGGAGTTGGTGACAAAGAAAAACAACAGACACACAGAGAGCGAGCGAGCGAGTCCGACCCGCGGCGGCGGGCGCCCCGACTTCCTCCCGGGACCGCAGAACTCCGAGACGCGCGGCGCCCCTCCCCCAGGCCGGCGCACAAAGGATTCCGCGGCCGCCTTCCACGCCGGGTTCCGGGCCCGTTCCTACCCCGCGCCGGGCCGGGCCCGCGCGGGGGGATGCTTTCGGGGAACCGCGGACGGAGGAGACCGCGCGCCGGGCCTCGGCACGCCCGGGGTGTGGAGGGGGAGAGGCCGTGGGGAGTGGGTGTGGGGAGGAGGGAGGCGATGATGGCCCCGGAGAACCGGGTCCTCCAGAGCTGCTCCGTACCTGGGAGCGCCCCGGGTCGGGGAGGCCGCTCGGAGCCGGAGGGGACCTCGTTCTGGGCCCCTGGCGGCGGGGCCGTCCTGGGCTGGCGCAGCGGCGGCGGCTGCAGGAAGCCCGGGGCTTTGGGCTGCGGCGGCGGCTGGTGCCGCGACCGCTCCGTAGGCCCCGCTCCGTTCGGGAAACCGCCGCCCTCAGGCCCGCCCCCTCCGCGGCCCAGGCCCCAGCTCCGGCCCCGACCAGCACCTGGAGCCCGATCGAAACCGTCCGACATGCTCCTCCTCCACCTCCGGGGGCCGCCGCCGCTGCGCTCCGGATGGGGGGCGGGGGCGGGGGGTAGGGAGGCGCCGCGGGCCGGCTCGGCGCTGCACCTCACTCAGGCCTCATGGAGGAGGAGAGCGGCGGGGCCCTGCTCGACTCCTCCGCGCCACGGGCGGAGCGGACGGCAGCCCGAGCCCCCGCCGCACCCGCTGCTCTACAGCGCCCGCCCCCCCTCGCCTTTTTTTTTTTTTAATTCTCTCCACCAACCCAGTTCCCCCGTCCGTCCGCCCGCCCGCGGCGCAGCGGGGGCGGCCGAGGCCGGCCACAGCGGCCCCCCGCGGCCCGGAGGCCTCGGGGCTCGCCCGCCGCCGGCTCCTGGAGTTCTCAGATGGCCGGCGACCGTCGCTAGGCCGCTCGGAGGACGGAGTCTCCAGACTCCCGGATGGCCGCGATTGGGCTCCGGCATTCCTCCGGCTCCCCCGGGAAACGTGTGGGGGAGGGCGGGCAGGGAGACGCTTACCCCAGGCGGGTCCGACCCACTTGGATGGTTCTTACAAGTGCGAGAATGACGGTTGATGCCAGGAAAATAAACACGGGCGGGGGGCGGGGAGGGGAGGGGAGCGGGCCTGGCGCCGGGCTCGGCGGACGCGCACCTCAGGGGGCGCGCAGGTGCGCACCGCGACGCCGCTCCGGCCGAGCCCCGCGGACGGGCGGGGAAAGGGGCCCGGCGGGGAAGCTCTGCCGCCCGCGGCCTGCGCGGGGGACGGGAGCGCCCGGGGACGGGAGCGCGGGGACACACCCCCCCCAGGACCCACTAGGTGGGCACCTCCGAGAGGCGCACCCACCCCTTTGCTCTTCCAGAAACTGTGAGACCGTGCACTCCGTTCGGTCGTGTCTCCCTCCGTCCGGCCCTCCCTCCCGGGTCCCCCGCTACCTGTCATGTCTGGCCGAATTAAAATACAAATGCTCAGCTCCTCCTGTCATTTATAAATGTGGAAGCCAGTAAACCCTGCCAACCGAAGCCAGGTGAAATGCGTCTTTATTTGTTTAACTCAATAGGCCCAAAATGTGTTTTAAAATCAGTTTTTCAACATGTAATTAGCATAAAGATGTAAATGGAGAACTCTTTCTCCTGTTTTTCATGTTAGTTGAAATCCAGTGTGTTTTCATATCTACATTTGGGATTGGGCACATTTGCGAGTGCTCCAGAGAATGTCTCTGGCTAATGACTTACCAAACAGTGAAACAAGGTCTTCGTGGTTAGGTGCAAATTAGTGGTTTTTGTCAGGCCTGGTGGTACTAAAGCAAATGAAAGAGGAGTGTAAATAATGGAAAAGAGAGAAATAGACTTCTTCTCCCTTAGATGGAACCATCTCCACAAATTCTGATTTTAGTGCGGGGCTTTGTTTTTCTCTTTTTGTCAGAGTCTTTTCAAAAACTTGTTAACCCTTCATTCTTTTTACTGATTAAACCCTAATGTCTTCGGCTAAATCAGTGAGAAAAAAGAAATGTCTTCAGTAAGAACAATCGTGAATGAATCGTGTTGTTAATGTTGGGCAAGATTAAAACAAAATTAAGGTGAGGTGTTGCTTTAACATTTTAACGTCTTTTATTATATAAGGTTGGACAGTTGTGTGTGTGCATGCATGCACATTGGTGCACACCAGTACTAGGACTTGAACTCAAGGTCAGGGTGCTTTCTCTTAGCTTTGTCACTCAAGGTTGTCATTGAGTCTTTCAGACTTTCCTGTTCAGTCTTTGAACTACAAGTCCTCAGATTTCAGCTTTCTGAGTAGCTAGGATTACCAGTATGAGCTATCGAACACTTGAAGACTTTTTGTCTGGACTTCACTATCTAGAAAGACCCCATAAACTATCCTCAAAAATAGTGTGATATCATGAATACCCCACTAAAGTAGCTGTTCCAGTTCTCTCCCAAGTCTTTATTGGTTTCTACTACGCTTTTGTTTTCCCTTAAAAGATTCGTGTGTTTTTCTGGTGAAGGGGATTTCACCCAGGGCCTTAAGCATGTTAAGCACTGTGCTCTACTACTGAGTTCCTCCTCTTAAAACTTTCATGATATATAGCACCTTTTCTAACACTTGGGACTTTCCTTTGTGAAGGTAAAATGATACTGCATTCATTGTTGATGTGTAGGCATCTTTACAGCCTCCTTTTGTTAATCAGGTATCTTTAACCTTCTCCCTTATTTGCTGTCATGTGACTGACTCCCCCCCTGCCATATTTTTTGGACAGAGTCTTCCTGTATAGCTGGGCAATCCTGAAACTTGCCATCATTTTACCTCATCTCAACTTTCTGAGTGCTGAGGTTATAGGTTTATATCACCCTATCTTCCCTGCTTTAGCCCCCTTCTTTTGTATAAAAGGAGGATTTAGGAATAATATGAAAGGATTTAGCATCATGAAAATAATGTTTATGCTTTATTTTTTGCTTGCCACTGTCTCAAGAACTTTGTTTGCCTTTATCTAATATCTACAAAAGGCACCAAAATACAAGAATTCAGATCCATCTGGGAACTGCAGTAGTGCTAACTTGCAGGGGCTGGTATTGCAAAATGGCAAAAAGCCGCTCACACAAACAAAACTGGGCAACATATGGGATTCCTGGGAAAAATTATCGGAAAAGCCCCATCTCCACATTTCCACCTTATTATATGGTGAAAGAAGTGTAAGTGTAAGAGGGGAATGAAATTTAGAGAATTTGGAGAACATGTTGTAATATAAGAAAGGACCTGCTGTGAATTATGGCAAAGATATTGTCTTAAACTAGACCTGAAAAATATTCTCCAGGAAGACTTCTTCAAACTGCCTAATTTTAAATGTTTTCCCTTGTGATGGCTGAATCTTGAAGAACTCTGTCTTGGTATATAACATGTTAGTATTTGGTTGGTTTGCTTGCTTGCTTTTTTTTTTTTTTTTTGTCAGTCATGGGGCTTGAACTCTTGGCCTGGGTGCTGTCCCTCAGCTCTTCAGCTCAAGGCTGGTGCTGTACTACTTGAGCCACAGCGCCACTTTTCTGTGTATGTGGTGCTGAGGAATCAAACCCATGACCTCATGCATGAGGCAAGCACTCTACCACTTTGAGCCACATTCCCAGGCTGCTTGCTTGTTTTTAACTCAGTACTAAGGTTTGAACTTAGGACCTAGCACTTGCTGAGTGAGCAGTTGCTCTATAGCTGAACTAGCTGAGCTATGCTTCCTGTTCTTTGTGTGTGTGTGTGTGTGTGTGTATGTGGTAGTTGTGGTTGTAGTGATCTCACTTCCTGCCCAGGTTTACTTCTGGACTGCAATCTACCTGTTTTAGGGTTTCCATCATAACTGAGATGATGACAGGTGTGCACCACTACACCCAGCTTCTTGGGTTGAAATGGAGTCTCCTGGACTTACTTGCTAAGGCTGGCTTAAAATCTCATTCTTTCAGATCTCAGCCTCCCATATAGTTATTATTGCAGACATGAACTATGAGTGCCTAGCTAGTATTCAGTTTTTATAATGGCTCTTCCACTATTCTGGCTTGAAGGAAGAGAATGTGGGTATAGAGAATGTCTATACCCTGCAATCCGTCCTAATACTACTTTAACAGTAACAGGACTTTGCTTGGTTTGGCAGCCAGACTAGCTTTCAGAAGTTGCTGACTTTAAGTTCATTTTTGGACATTATGGGAATAGACAGTTCAGCCTTTGTAATGCAGCTAATGAGATTTTTTTCATAAATATAGAGGACATGTTTGTAAATCATATCAAACAAAAGTAGGTATCTAGAAGGCTTAAAGAGCTCTTGAGCTGGTGTTGGTCGCTCATGCCTGTAATTCTAGCTACTTAGAAGGCTGAGATCTGAGAATTGCGGTTCAAAGCCAGCCTGGGCAGGAAAGTCTATGAGACTCCCATCTCCCATCTCCATCACCAGAAAACCAGACTTGGCGCTATGGCTCAAGAGAGCGCTCGCTTTGAGCTGAAAAGCTCAGGGACAGCATCCAGGTCCAGAGTTCAAACACCACAACTGACCAAAAAAAAAAAAAAAAGCTCTTAAGACAACTGCAAAAGAACAAGCCAGTTAGATAATGGGGCTGCTACATGAATGGGGTTAAAAAAAAATCAGGTCGAGAATACAGAGTATTTAAACCTAAGAAAAACTTACCCTAAAATAATTAGCCATTAGCCAGGTGCCTGTGGCTCACGCCTGTAATCCTAGCTACTCTGGAGGCTGAGATCTGAGGATCATGGTTCAAGACCAGCCCAGGCAGGAAAGTCCGTGAGATTTTTATCTCCAACAAACCACTAGAAAACTGGAATTGGCACTGTGGCTCAAGTGGTAAAGCATGAGCCTTGAGCTGAAGAGAGCAGTTCAAACCCCACAACCGACAAAAAAAATAATTAAAAATAGCCATTAAATGAAAATTAAAACCCTATTACATTTCACTATCCACTTACCAGGATGGTTTAAAATATTTAACCCAAACAAATATAGGATGTATCAAGGATATATATATATATAAAAAACTAGAAACTGAGTCACTCACACTTTATTGGTAAAAAGGCACAAGGGTAGTCTGGAAAAATGTTTTGATAGTTTGTTCAATACACACATACACACACATATCACAACCACACACACACAACCCAGCAAGTGCATTCCTGGGCATTTCTCCCAGAGAAAGATTTATGTCCACATAAAACCTGAATCTAAATGTTTATAGTGACATTGTTAATAATAGCCTCAAACTGGAAATAATCCAGATGTCCTTCAATGAATGAATGAATGATGGTATATTTATTTATACCACAGACTACAGCTCTGTGAGCAAAAACAACTGATAGAACATTGATATATCTCCAATTATGATGAGCGATAAAAGGGTCAATCTCAAATGATTATTGTGATTCCATTTTTATAGCCTTGAAATAAAAGAGAAAAAAGCTTAGTGGTGGCAGCTCATGTCTGTCATCCTAACTACTCTGGAGGCTGAAGTTTGAATATTAAGGTTCAAAGCCAGCCCAAGCAGGAATGTCTGTGAGACTCATCTCTACTTTAAGAAAAAAAAAAGAAAGGCTGGGAAGGTGGCTCAGTGGTAGAGCGCTTGCCTTGCATGCAGGAGGCCCTGGGTTCGATTCCTCAGCACCACATAAGCAAAAAGAAAAAAGCCAGAAGTGGTGCTGTGGCTCAAGTGGTAGAGCGCTAGCCTTGAGC